AGAGTCTTGTACACAGTGTCTTTCATGAAAGCCACTAGCTTGGAAATGAGCGCGGAGCGACCTCCAATTTTGGTCTCGATGTCGAGTCCGCTCAGACCACGATCTTCGACCTGGTGGGTTGTAAGGAAGTCCGTGAACCAACGCTTCCCGACCATCTCGACTGTGAGGTTGCGACTGCTATCTTGAGCTGGACGGCATCGAACTAGAACAACAGGCTTGTCGGTATCGAGCTTCGAGCTGTCATTCCCGGCAGGCTTGCTTTCTTGTTTGATCGCGACGGCAGTTCCAGCTCTAGTTGTCTTGGGACCTTCTTGGAAGTGGCGGCGACGACTTCCACGACGCTGGTTTCGGAGACCGAGTCGTCGTTGTTGGATGCTGCTGAAGTGTCGGCGACTGCAGCAGTGAATTGGCGACCTGAGTGAACAGACCAAGCTGGGACTCGTATCCCTTCTGTCACGAACGTCGAACTTGTCTCCAGCATTCTCATGCGCACGGGAGTTCAACTTTGGGGTCTCACCATTGAAGAACAGCGCAAGGTGCTCTCCCAGGAGGACGGGCACGTGCTACGCCGCCTCGAGAATGACTATGAATGGAACGACCCTGAGCAGCCATTCATTGAAATTGACGACGACAATGATGAAGAAGGGAGCAGGACGAAGACGAGGACGAGCACGAGAGCGAGAATTAAACGAGGACGAGGTTGATCTACGAAAATACAAGAGATGGAGCCACTACCACTAACATTGCATGTTTGTGTTTGTTTAGAGTTTGACATCGTTGTGCAGCAAAGAGGACTACGGTACAAAATTTGCTACCCCGTTCGGTTCAAGAGGGAGTGCGAGAGGAGCCAAAACCAGCTGGTGGTGGCAATCACGAGGTGAACTCCCGGGACTCGCTAGAAGAGGTAGACGTAGAAATCCTTTTAATTTTAGCTTATTCTTTTGTGTCATCCCATGTCTACATCGTACTGCACATCGGCCTCCGTTCGCACAGGTTGATTGTTGTTTCTTGTTGTCGACAAAGCCCTTAAAGAACAGCATTACCAATAGCACACAAGTGAGACAACAATGTTTATCTTCAGCTTGATCGTAGTAATCTGGCTTCTTTTCTTACCATCTTGCCTTGGTGGAAGAGACCATCCCCTGCAAGATCCAAGGAAGTTCGTTGCCGCGACATTCGCCATCATGGCTGCCGCTGATCAGGATTTGTTCGAAGGAACTACCAAACGGGAAGGCAGAGAACACCAGAAGAGAAAGAGAAAGTACGTTAATGACATCTTCAATGAGCTGGGTCCCCATTACGTTCGAAGAGCTTACCGTATGGAACCAGCTTCTTTCTGGAGGCTAGTTCGATTGCTGAGACCCTACCTGGAATACAAAAGCCCCGACAAGAACTGGAGGAATGGTGCAAAGAATGGACTCATCCCATTGCCAAGCAGAGTGAGCGCTGCCATTCGATACTTCGCTGGTGGTTCGTCCTATGACATAGCTGGTGTACATGGAATTGGTCACACAGATGTCTTTCGTTGCGTTTGGAGAGTGGTCGATGCAGTAAACAAATGCCCTGAGCTGGATTTTGCCTACCCCTCCAACCATGAAGAACAACAGAAGATCGCTGATGATTTCAAACACAGTAGCCGAGGAGTCTTTTCGTGTTGTGCAGGAGCAGTGGATGGAATTCTCATCTGGATGGAGAAGCCCAGCGAGAAAGAATGCCAGATTGCGGAGTGTGCACCGAAGAAGTTCTTCTGTGGCAGGAAGAAGAAATTTGGGTTGAATATGCAAGCCACATGTGACGCCCATCGCCGCTTCCTTGACATCTACCTTCGACATCCTGCTTCAACGTCGGACTACTTGGCATGGTCATCCTCCCCGCTGTATCACCAACTGGAAACCAAAGGATTCATGAAGCCAGGATTGTGCATCTTTGGTGACAACGCATACGTCAATACACCCTACATGGCAACTCCATACAAGGCAGTGGGTGAGGGACCAAAGGATGCGTACAACTACTACCATTCCAATGTTCGAATTACCATTGAGTGCGCCTTTGGGATGCTGGTACGGCGATGGGGAGTTCTGCTGTGTCCCATTCCAACAAAAGTGACTATCGCCAAAGTGACAGCCATGGTTCGATGTCTCTGCCGGCTGCACAACTTTTGCATTAACGAACGTATGAGAATGAAACCAACAACAAACTCGCCAACAATTTCGCCAGTGGAGGAACTTACAAAGGATGTTGCTGACCGCCTGGCCGTTGATGAAATGAACATTGTAATTGAAGGTGGCGGCTTGGAGCACATCGCCAAGTGCTCTGGCGAGGACTTTCGGCCAGAAGCCCTTCTTCATGGTGGAGAACATTTTGATGATGTCAGCTATTGGTGTCGAACGTCCAGAAAGAAAACTGTGGACGTTCTTCCAAGAGAACGGATGTGTGCGCTGGTGAAACACATGGGTTTGGTGCGTCCAACGCCTCGGCACTGGGTGGGCAAGACCCCAGCCCGCTCTTACAAAAATCTTAGTGAGTAGATAATGAAGATATAGTACCACATGTTCGCCCACATCAATAATCTGTAGACAGCATAAAGCCAGGCCGACAAGGAAGAGTCCGCAACTGCTCGCCAAATTTTAAAGAGGCGAGATTGATTCCGAATGCCTTCTGATTCGCTCAAACTCTCAACTGCCATTGATTGGCAATGATGGGTATTGCAGAAGATAGACGAAGTTGGTAATTTTCTTTAACTCCTTGAAACTATTTGTTAATTCTACTCGGCACATCAACTTGCGATTCTACACTCAAGCCAAGCCAGGTTCACAACTGATCGAAACTGCAGAACTCTCACAAAAAACGCACTCTTCCAAGAACAACACTCAGTTGCCCTCTTCTTCGGAATCATCAGAATCAACAATGGGATCTTCCACAATGGCCTTCTTCTTCTTTGGCTTGGCGGCGGTCTTCTTCTTCTTCTTGGCGGAGCGCTTGACCGACTCATCGAACTCTTCATAGTGCATCTCATCGATGGTCTCCTGGATAATCTTGATCTGCTCACGCAAAGTTGCAAGGCGAGACATGTACACGTCGCTGAGCTGCTGGCTGGTTGCCTCCAATACTTTCAGCGAGTATTCCGTTTCCTTGTCTTGGGTTTCACGGAGTTCCTTGAAGAGACTTGCACGAGACAATGTCACCATGGACAGGCTCATGCGCGAACGAAAGAAAGCCAGATATTTCTCATCCTTGCGGCGCTTCCTGGCATTGGATGCTTCCGCGGAAGCTGCAACTGATGGACAGCTGGTCGAACTCGCCGAGGAACCTTCAGCGATGACACTGAGCACGTTCTTCAAGATCTCCTCTCTGTCGGCCAAGTGCCAAAGGTAAAGAACATGTTCTCGTGTCATGGAATCAAGGTAGCTTGCTCGATTGTCACCACACTGCAACTCATTCTCTCCAATGTGTCCGAAGTCGTCATCATCTTCATTTCTCTGGCCAAATCCATTTCCACTTTGCTCCCAGCGACTGATCATCTTGATCAGCCTGGCTCGACTGTCACCAAAGCGGCGCTTGATTTCATCTGGAGTTATGAGGCCCGGCATCTTCTCGAAGGAGCAGTCCAAAACCTCTGCGAAAGCAGAATGCAAATCAGGTAAGCTACTGGAAAGAACAACGTTGTCCGAGTCATTGTAAAGCCTTGCGGCTGCTTCCCAAATGGTCTCGGGCCTTTCACTGGAGTTTCTAGCGTCCAACTCATCCCTGCTGTGTACTTGGGTACTCTTGACAAACAGGTCGCGGACTTCCTCGGACAAAATGCATTCATAGACACGAATCCAAGGCTCTGGATAAGCCCAGGCACCATGTCCACCTTGCTTCTTTTCGCTGGCCCTTTCTTCGTTCATACGAGTGCTGAGGTCAAACAACTTCTGTTCTTGCTCGATGACATACTTAACATCTCTTTCTTCAGTCAACGGGTAAAGCTGCATCCATTTAACAAGCTTTTTCTTGTCCCAGTTCTTGCAGGCAGGTTGCTTTGTGTTTGCGGCCATGCAGCGACGTTTGATTTCCTGAATCAACAAAGCGGAAGTGGGAACCACCTTTTTTCGAAACTTCATTGAAGCATAGGGCTCTTCATCAGTGTTCCCAAGCTGGCGTCCTTCCTTGGTGGTCAAACCAATGGCCATTGCCATAAGTTCATTGGCCTTTTGTCCATTGATGCGATGGCAGCGCTCAGCTGGACCCAGAGTGGAAGTCAAGTTCTCATTGGGGGCAGGGGTGGCTATGTCATCTTCATCATGAAAGATACCAACATTGGCACGGGCAGGGGTATTGGTAAGGCTCATGGTTGCTTCTTTTTCTCTTCCAACTACGATGTGCGATTATGATGACACGATGGCGGGCCTCTCACCAGGAGTTTTTCTTCTCCTCCGAAACAGGGAATGGGCGGCCTCTCTTCAACAGAATATCTACTTACCGAACCTTGGCAGCAACCACGTTGGCTGCATGTTAAAAGGGTACGTCTTCACTACTATGCGAGGCATGTTTCTATGTGTTTCTATGCTCTACAGCACCATCATCCTGTCATTGTCATTGCATTTGCCTACGTCTAACAACGACTTTTGTTTCATTCTTTTCCAGAATGTTCGCAAACAAGAGCCACATTGTGGACTGAACGCACCAATCAACCAGAGAATTGAGTACCGGGTTGGAATTTGGAGCTGCGCAAATCAAAGGACCTCGAGTTTGCTCAAATCCAAATTTGGAGTTTGGGCAAAGGCCTGATTTTGGGAGCATTCCTGCCACGTATGTCCCAAAAAGGCCCCAAAGTTGGAAAGTCGAAATCCCAAAACAGTTGTTGAAACACTGCCTAAAGTAGCGACTAAAGGAATCCTTTAGGTGGTTGTTTAGTTCAAGATTCATATGCCTCCTGGCTCGTCTCCGTTTCCATAAATCTTTTATTACCAACACCTAGTATTCGCGCGCTCCGCGCGCTCATCCCTTTCTCTGCTTCGCCCCGAAACAGATCCCTCATTCATGCGAAAAATGTGAAGAACGCCTTCGCCCCGAAACAGATCCCTCATTCATGCGAAATGTGAAGAAGCAAGGCGATTTCATGTGCATGTACATGCGTTGACTGTATCCCGTCAATACAATACTAGTCGAATAGTAGACTTCTACAGAGCCTCTAAGTAATGCACGCCGGTATAATTCAAACCTCCACTCCCCATCGGTACCCTTACCCCTAAAAGCAAATCGTCTCCGGGAGACGAAATTTAGTCATTATCCTTTAGTAATGGTGGTGTCTACCAGCAGATGACTAATCTCGGACTAAACAATTTAGTCGAGTTTTTAGTCAAAACATGGAGTCTACCATGGCGACTAAACAAATTGACTAAACAATTCATGGGAACAATACTGGACTTAAAGGACTCAAAAAAGATTTAACAAAAGTGATCACTTGGTGGGCTACCAATATTCTATCAGCATGGTGGATTTAAAGGACTCAAAATCAAAGACTTAACCAAGTGATTACTTTTTGGAGTTAACAAGACCCCTTTTCGGAGTTAACAAGACTCAAAACACACCATTGTTCTCCAACTCGATCAATTGACAGTCAAAGGCCGAGAAATGAAAGCCATCCCTCATTGCAGATCCCACACTCCATACTCTGCAATGAGGGATGGCTTTCTATTCTCAACCGAAGACTGTCGGCTTGATAAAGTGCGATAGAGGTGCGGCTGATACTCCTCTTCGATCTTCGATCGTTCGATCATTCGATCGCACCTCTACTGTCAGCCGATACTCCTCTTCGATCGTTCGTTCGATCGGTTGCACCTCTACTATCGGCAGATACTCCTCTTGGATCGTTCGATCGGTTGCACCTCTACTATCGGCCGATAGTACTCCTCTTGGATCGTTCGATCGGTTGCACCTCTACTCTATCAGCTCTGTCGCGATGCTCTGATAGTGAGGCTGTGCAATGAGGGTGCTGTTCTTTTTTCAAAGTGCTGTTCTAAAAGTGCTGTTCTTTTTTTAAAGAGTTCTTAAACAAGCTTTAGTCCGTACAACGTTTAGTCCCTATGGTAGACACCACCCACAGAGACTAAACTATCGACTAAACTATGAAATATGGCTTAGTCGCTACTTTAGTCGCTCCGGTAGAGACCGGCCTGAGTCCTATTGCCTCGAACAAGTCAAAAAAAGGGAGAAAAGAAAGGCTCGCAGAGAAAGAAAGGAACAGGGCAGTCTTGAACAGCTCTTCAGCAGCTCCTGACTTCGAGCCCTCTTCGAGCTTCTACCAATTGTCGCAAAAGTGTGCTAAGGAGCTGCTAAAGTACAGCTTTGAGCATGTGGACAGGTGTACTATGTGTAGCGGAGCTATGCATAATTGAATTCAGAAGGAATGGCCAAAGATCGACCCGGTCTTGAAACGCAGGCCTGCTTTTGACTGGGGAACAATAGTAGCTCAGCTTCTACTTCCTTCATTTTGAATCTTTGAATCCTCGCAGGAGCAGCCGCAGCCGCACAGCAAATCAGTGCAATCAAACAACAAACCTTGAGGTCCAGCACAGGAATCCAGCTTGGTTGGAAACTTTGTGCAGGTACCATTCAGACTGCAAACGGCATCAGGGATAGTACCATCCAACAATGGGTTCCCATGCAGTGCAAGTGTGTGGAGAGTTTCTTGCAAAGCTGACAATTCTTGAGGGACTAAACCAGACAAGTTGTTGCTGGCCAAATTCAAAGCACCAAGAGCACTGAGTCCACCAAATTCAGTGGGGATCTTTCCAGAGAGCTGGTTTCCTTGGATTTTCAAAAAATGCAGCTGAGTCAATTGGCCCAGCTCTGTCGGGATAGTCCCAGTGAGGAACTCATTGTCCTGGAAGTTTAGGGCTACCACCAGATTTGTTAGGAGACCGATTTCACTTGGAATTTGGGATGATAGTTGGTTGTTCCGGACGAACAGCCCAGTAAGCCCAGTGAGCAAGCCCAATTCGCTGGGCAAGGTTCCAACCATGTTATTATTAGAGAGTGTCAGCATTGACATGTTGGAAAGCATTCCAATCTCACTTGGTAAAGTTCCTGAATATTGGTTGTGATAGAGAATAAACTTTTCAAAGGTCTCAATCTGTCCAAGTTCCGTGGGAATTATCCCTAGAAAACCAAGGATGTTAGCAAAGATTCTGCAGTACCGGTATAATGAAGGAACAAAACACATAACCAATCAATCAATCAAGCAATGTACCTGTGAGATGGACACCTTCCAAAATAATCCATCTTAGCTTTGAAAAGATACCAAGCTCTGTGGGCAATTTGCCCTGCAGATTTTTGCGTGTCAGGATTATGGTGTCAAGCTTGGTTAAACTCCAGAGCTCTGAAGGAATGGGCCCATCCAGCTTATTGCGACTGAGGAGAAGGCTGCTCATGTTCGAGAACAAGCCAACTTCGCTTGGGATTGTGCCTGTCATCAGCGAGTCAACGTAGGACAGACCTTTCAGGTTGTTCAGCTGCCCAATCAAGCTTGAAATGGTGCCTACTAGATTGCTTCCATCAATTGACAGTGTTTGTAATGAAGTCAGCATGTAAAGTTCTTCTGGCAAAGAACCACCAAGATCGTTTTGGTCCAGCCAGAGATGGAGATACTGCCCATCATTGTCACAGTTTGTTGATGGTGGAGGCTCCAAAAAACCAGCCAAGAAGCCTGGGAAAACCTTAGACATTACATGCTTCCTGGAAAAAGTAGGCTGGGTGAACCAATCACATTCATGGACAGTATGGTTGAGCCAGTTGGTGCTTGTCAGCCAGTTTTCTCCACCAGTGGCAAAGTAGAGGACGGCCAGCGCGAACTTTTGCTTGATCCTATGGTGAGAAAGAAACGGTAAACTTTCAATGTCCTCCAAGAGCCAAATGTAGGCTTTGGTCTGAGGCGAGTCGATAGAATTCAAAATGGCAGTCTTGGTGTTTGTTGGGAACAGAGACAGCCAATAATCGGAGTACAAAGTGGGTGACTGCGATGGGTTGTGGGTGGGTCCCTCGGTGGGCTTGGAAGCTTCCACCGTATTTTTGTTTCCGGGTGTCACAATGGCAACCAAAATGAGAGTGATGACCAGCAAGCCAATGACAGCCAAGAAGATCTTGGTTTTGAATTCTTTCATTCTCTTTTCTCTAATTCGGTCTTTGGATTCGACATCGTAATCCTGCGCCAGTGTCAAATTATTGGGATGGGTTCCTTCATCGTCGAGTACAGGATGAGCCATGGCCAAACCACTGTCATGGTAGTTTTCCGCAGGAGCAATTTCGTTGCCAAGTGTCGAGTTTACTACTGGTTCCATAACACTATCTTCTTGTGTTTGTGTCTCTGTAGTGGCATCAATCGTCCGAGTACTATAGCAGGGAAAGGCGCCTGGACGACTGATACCGGCTGGGCCAAGTCCTTGTTCTCGTCGTAGACCCACAGGCTGCGGAATGTCTTGTTCTTCATCGCATCCTCCTTCCCATTGCATTCGATTGGGTAAGGTAACGTCCTTGTGAGGTGGTGATTCATGAGTGGCAGCTTCTGAGAGTGGTGACACCAACTTGTAATCTTCGGTCCTAGTAACAGAAGTAGTTGGTTCCATCGTCTCAGAATCAAATTCCACCGAAACGTGTTCACGTTGGATCTGACGTTCCAAGTTGTCTGCGGTGTTGGTTGATGATGTCAAGGAACCGTGGCTCCGGCGTTGTGATCCAGCCCCGGGTGAGGCCGCATAGGCACCAGGGATACCTTCTGTGGTAATTTCACTGTCATCGTGCTGTCGGTGTTGATGCTGTCTCTCGTGCACGAGTTTCAAAAGGAATCTTACATCATCTTCTTCAGCGCAGTCTTCCATGATCTCTCGCTCCTCTTCCTTGTGACAGTCATTACCATTGTCAATAACACGGTCAACATTCGTACTACTAGTACTGCTTTGAATTCGGGCTGCTACCACATCCATCAAATTGAATTCTTTGTCTTCCTTGTCCCCTCCTAAAGAGTCCTCCATTGTTATTACTATCTCAATGATCAATTCCTCTCGTGTGGCATTTGTCCGAGAGTTACCATTCCAATCTACCACCCCCTCTCGTGAATTTCCAGTTTTCAAGACTTTGTTACCCTCTTTTCCAAGGTAACAAACTACTGTACGGTTGTACTCTACCGTCGTATTACTCGAACCTTGCTTCGAGCTTGGGGTCAGTCGCTTACGTCAGTTGATTCAACGACCAGACCAGCTCAAGAGTTGCTAGAGAACACCCAAATTACCAAAATTGAGTGTGCGATACTGATAGTACGTTAAGTCTTCTAGTGATTTATGATTAATTCTAAAATCGCTTTTAGTCCCGCAAATATCCTGGCTGAGCTTTTGGTCCTTTGAGATTTGAGATGACGGAGCGGATGCTGTTCTCATCACGCATGAAGAACGGTCCATAGAGAATTGACTAAAGTGGAAAAAGGACACCGAAGGTGTAATAGATATACCGGGCGAGCTGACTTAAAATATGGGCCGGCATAGTAATATTGTTGAAGTTTGCCTGAAGGTAGGGTCATTAGATTTTTCCATCTGAGAAAGTGGCGTGGTAGCTTACGGGAGCTTAGAGGTGTGCAACGTGAGATATTGAATTTTTCTATCTGAGAAAGTGGCTTGGTAGCTTACGGGAGTTTAGAGGTGTGAAAATGTGAGGAAAATATTCAGGATCCGTTGCTATAAAAGAGAATGTGTAAGAAATGTGGGGGCCCAAGAGGGGGCTTCGGTTTTAGTTAAACTCTAACCCTAAGGATAACCAACCAACCAAAACCAACCAACCACCACCACAATAAACGGGGTCAGAGATCACCGGGGTCTGCCCGGTATATAGAAGGTCTCCAAGACCATCTTCTTGTGTTTCGAATTCCTCCTCTTTTTTTTAAAGATCGATCATGCACCACGAGATAACAAGAGGCAAGTACTACTAGCTAGTAGTACCATTTCGTGTTGCCGACGGCCGACGCCGCCGACAAGGTATTGATTCGAGGCTTTGCCGCTAATGATATCCTCTCTATTTGATCTTATCTACCTCTCTACAACAGGGGAAGATGCTGCTATGTTCATAGTTGGATATGCGAAGATGTCTTGGTCGTCCTCGGCAGCAGGAGGAAATTTACATGTACGTAAAATCACACCATGGGTCTATTATTGCTGCAGGTGACCCTGTTCAAGAGTGCAAGGCTTCGAATTGGTTTTTTCCCTTCATTTTGGAGAGAACGACGCTGGAAGATAAGATGGCCACCACTGCTTGGAATTGACTGCTAGCTAGTAGAGCCCTTCCTGTCACTAACAACCTCTTTATTTTCTGTTTATTTTAAAAAGTCTACAAGTAAGTATTCAATAGGAGAAGTCGCGGGTATTCTTTGTGGAAGAAGATTCATGGCGGGTCGGTATACGATACGCAACAATCAACCTTGGCGCACTGTGCACTGTGGTGGGGCGAGATACCGTACTGCAAGCCACCAACTCGCTCGTACGGTACGACTACTCCGTACTGTATTGCCTCTGTCAACAGGGAAAGGACAGGTATCATTGTGGAAGAAGATTCGTGTGTCGGCAACAATCAACCTTGGCTGGCAATGAATGCAAAAAGATGGCCAAGGCAAGCAAGACCAAGAAGAACGGTAGAACTACCCAGTACACGTACGTAGCTACATGTATTGAGAATTGGGATTGAAGAATGATAAGGTATGATAATGATTCCCACTGGCTGCTCGCAAATACGGTTCAAACACTGACCTGCGTGGCCACGGAGCGTTCATTTAGACCAATTGAAAAATGTTCCTGATATCTCTCTTGTATGATTGTAAAACGCTTTTAAAATCAAAATTTGGTTTATCTTTCGGCATTACATTGTACTGTACATGTAGGAGGCTACAAGTACTTACATTGTAGAGAATGCTCTGCTCCACTGGCAGTGGGATTTGATTCCATTCGATTCGCTTCGCTTGACTGCCGCTGTTCCGTACCGTACTAGTAGGGTCAAACCGGCACGCATGGGTGAAATATCGTGCGTAATGGTGGCTACCATTACTAGCTAGCTAGTCAATAGCTATTAATAGCTACGATGGTAGGAGGAAGGAACAATGTGTCGCAATTTTTGACTTTTTTATCTAAAATAAAGATATCATACATAGGAAGGCGAGTAAGTAAGGAGTAGGAGGGACGATATTGTGTGTTATGAATCAAAACAGAGCCAGCGTCGAATCGTCATACGGTGCGATAGCGTTCGTTAGCGTCTTGCATTTCACTTGACTCAATTGTGTAGTTGAGCAAATAATCTCCGCTCGGTGGTGTCTGTCGTGATGTGATACGAGCGGCGCAGTGGTGTCAAGCCTTCTTGTCTTCTTCGGTTGGAGTAACAGCGGGTTGTGCGGCAGTATTGTTGCTGTAAGTGTTGCCTCCCAGACTGGGAGCATATCCATCCAAGGAGTATCCGTATGACTCCATCGAGCTGAAACTGGCTTGATCGTTGAATTCTCCGTTTCCCATTCCTCGGGACGACGTGTATAGAGGTCTTGATCCCATTCCAGATCGATAGTACGCGGATAGTGAAGTGGAAATGTCTTCGGAAACGACTGATTCTGGATAGATGCCAGTGGTTGGGTTTGCGACACTGGCAGGATATTCCAAGGCAGTGTCATCATCTTCATTGCGAGGTGTGACAACGACATTCATGTTGGCAGGTGACGATCGTTCATCATTGTCTTCGTATTCCGAGTCATCTGTGCCTCCTCCAGAGCCAGTGGGTGACTTGACTTTTCGTTTTTCGGCTCCCGACGAGGCAGCAGAAGTGTTGACCCGATACACTTGATCCCGTCGCTGCTGATCAAAGCGCCATGCCCAAAAGAGTGAGAATACCAAGAACGCAAACGCCATGCATGCCACAACAATGGCAACGACAATAATGAGTTCCAAGTTAGCATTGGATGTTGACTTTTGAGGAGCAACATTGTTGGATTGTGTGGTTGGCGTTTGAGTTTGCGTGTTTGAGTTTGGATTTGGGTTGATGTATGCTCTAACATCCATGACGGTTTGTCCCAATCCTTGTGCAGGACTTTCTTGCAGCAACTGTAGCAGGCGGTCGTCCTGTAGGAGTACCTGTCGTTGAATATCTTCGAGGAGAGTCGGCGTCATGATTTCTTGATCCGGGCCTGTATGTTTCCAGAGAGTGACTCCCTCATAAGAAGCAATAGTAGTGGCTCCGTCTGTGGTCTGTTCGAGGAGCCGTTGTCGTCGGTTGTCCCCGTCATGAATGGTCCTTGTGGTTGCGGTGGAAGCCGCCGCTGGTTGTAGTTGTTGAACGCTGCGTTCCTCCAAAATGACAGAATCAAACTCCGGTGAAAGTCCCAGTTCCATTCGTTGAATCTGTGCCGTGAGAGACTCGTCCATCCATTCCGTCACGACATCAGTGAGTGCAAAGCTGTTGAAGAATCGTTCATCGTAGGATGCCAAAGATAGTTTAACGTCAAAAGGGACCAACCGCACCAGGTCAATTCGAGTTTCTCCTTGTGGCGAAGTGATGGTGGTTGTGGCTGTGGCTGTGGCATCGTCAGGTTGTTGCTCAGTTGGATCTTCTGGTTTCTGTGTCTCTGCAAGTGGCTCCTCAGTTGGCTCGTTTGAATTCATAGTGGCTTCTGGCTCTACTTCTTCCTCAACAGCATTCTCCACTTGGACCGTCGCGGCAGGATTCTCATTTGGATCTTCTTCCTTCTTGTCGTCTTTGTCATCATTGCGCTGGTTGTTCTTGTTGTTGTCATTCTCCATGATCCGTCGCATCATTGGCTCTTCTTCCACTCCAAGTCGACGATTGCCCTTCATGACGGCTTCACTACTGCTATAAATAATGGTACTGCCGACTGCTGCTGCTGCTGCTGATGTACTTTCCAAAGAAATACTAGTACTAGTACTACTAGTACCACCTCGTAACCACTGAGAAACCTCCATTGTGCCGCTGTTGGATGGTTGGATGGATGCCGAATTGAATTAATCACTTTCGTCCACGCTAACAATAGAGCCGCAGAACCTTCTTCCTGTTGTTATTGAAATACTAGTACTGTATTAGTAGAACCTTCCTTTGCTTGTCAATAGCGTCCTCTCCTCTCTGGCCGCAAACCAAACTACCATCCAACGCCACTCACAAAATTATTTCGTCTACTCAAAGGCGTCAGTTGGGACTGGAGGGAGGGCCAATTCAAATTTACCGTAGCTTTGGTATCTAAACAAATTGAATAGAAATCAAAGACTTATTGATTACTTTACAATTGTAGCAAAAGAAATAAAACACGGTACTAAACGGGCTTTCGCTCCCGTTGCCACTTGACAGTTTAAAGCTGAATGAGTATCAAGCCAACTGTAGCTTTAAACGATTCGACTTGCACTCAGATTGGCGCGAAAGGTCGGCTGACTGCTTTTGCTACCGGTACAGCCACACCCTGCTGCCTGCTGTACAGTACAGTACCGTACTGCTCTACTAGCTAGCCAGTAGCTGGCTAGAGTACTCTTATGTATCTAGCTTGCTAGGGCTAGTAGCTAGTATTGTAGCATTGTAGCTGGCCAAAGGGTGCAGTCTACTAGTAGAGCTAGCTAGAGTACCACTGTGCTGTCGTCTGTCAGGCTTGAGACGAAAGGACATGATTCCAGTTTATGAATTACCAGCTAGCTAGAGAATGCGATGCTCTTGAGTATGCGATACTCTCATACCGGTAGACCTCCTGGACAACAACCAAACATCGGACTCATTCGCAAGACACTTTGCCGATGTATTCAAAATGATGAAACCCATGAACAAAGATGTCCTACGGAACAAAGATTTGGTCATGTGAACTATCCCTATTCTGTATATGAAAAGATTGATACCCATCCTAAAGGCTTGGCTTGTTGCTCCTTTTCCCTCCGCGTTTGATACATATCATGTTGAGACCAAGCAGAAGTGGGAGGTAGCAGATAGTACTGTCTAGCTAGGCTCTAGTAGGCTGCTCGAAGAATGATTGAATAGTGAAGGTTCCAGCTCACTGGGGTGAGCTGGTCTAAGGGGCCCTGCAGAACCAGACTAGGCACCCTCCTAACAGAACAGCCTGAACTAGGGTGGCTCGACTTTATGATGGGCTGATGGTAAATATGGACTGTACCAGGTACTGGGTGTGGGCACAAATGGCTCAGGCTTTGTGGCGCCCTTTAGAATACCTTTCTGCTAAACAGCATTGCCAAACAGACTTCCTGATGGATTCGATTCCGATTCATGAATACTCATGCTTCATACTCCAGTGTTTATTGGATTTCGTGTTCGCCAACAAAAAAACCAATGCACAAGACCTGGCAATCCCACTTTGCCCACAATGCTACTCTCACCAGAACCCTTGCCAGGTTCATGGCGTGTGCTGAGAGAATCCGGGGTCTTCTTGCTGCTGCAGTCGCTTCAAGCAACCTGAGGGAGCAAACCAAGGCTTGACACGATTTACCTTGACACACACAATCGGGATATTCTAAAACAGAGCAAGGAAAGAACTTGGCTGGACGTTTGTCACTCTCAAACGAATGTGCAAAGATCGACCACCAGGGATAAACTCATTTGGTTCAGAGAAGGCCGCAGTGAAGGTGGCGGGGCCATTGCCGCTGATATGGAAGTCTTTGTGGCGTGTGGGTTATCTTGTGGAATGATTCAAAAGCAGTGTTTATCGGCTGGCCTTGCCTGGAATGTGTGGGAGTGCCCATGGGAAGTGCAGCGCCATTGGACTGTGGATGTAAAGTGGTATGAAGACCGATAAAGGTCGCTAGCTAGAGTGGCCTTTTACTCGGCATGGCTGGGCCATGAGGGAACAGAGGGACCGAGTCAGAGTCGAGTTGGTTGCCGCCCCCCCCTCTAGGTTGTCAAACAATTTGTGCACCTGCAACAGTATTTGGCACATCGACTGCGGTAACAGCCGGATTGCCTTCCAATTTGTTGGAGAGGGCGCTCAAGTCTGCTGGCTATTCGCAATCAGAACAAAAACTCTTGTATTTTAGCCATTGGAGCTATAGTACCGGTAGTTATCAAGAGGGACTTGCTCGAGATCAATGTCTGTCTTGACCAAAGCCAGGCAATCGAGAACCCTTTTCATTCTTCCCGTCCTCACTTTGATTATCTTTGCCCAAGACACTGGTATCACCTCTGCTTCCTCCAGCTTTATTGATGACTGGCCTCCCCGGTTTCTTTCCTTTCTTGATCAGATCCCGTACTTCTTCACCAGTCAAAGTTTCATATTCCAGCAACGTCTGAGCCAACAGCTGGTGCTGTTTGGAATACTTTGTCAGCAATGCCGTTGCGCGTTGATACGCAGCGTCCGTCAACTTTTTAACTTCCGCATCGATATTAGCCCGTGTTTCATCGGATGCGTGCTCTTCACCGGTGGCACCGCCATGGTAGACAATTCCAACCTGTTCACTAAAGCCGAACTTGGTCACCATGGCTCTGGCAATACGTGTTGCTTGCATTATATCACTGCTTGCACCGGAGGTGACATTGTCAGCTCCAAAGATGACTTCTTCTGCGACTCGTCCTCCCATCATCACATCCATTGTGGCGAGCATCTGCTTGAGTGATTGTGATGTTTGGTCGCCTTCAGGCAACTGCGTGACCATTCCTAATGAATTTCCTCTTGGCATGATAGTCGCTTTGTGAATGGGGAGGGCCCCTTCAGTGAGTGTTGCCACGAGTGCATGACCTGCTTCGTGGTAGGCTGTACATCTCGCCGTTTCTTTGGTGATGACGGCAGTTTTCCGTTCGGCTCCCATGAGGATTTTGTCTTTTGCAAATTCTAGCACGTGCATGTTGATTGCGTTCAGTCCATCGACACTTGCTTTGAGTGCAGCTTGATTCATGAGATTGAACAGATCGGCCCCACTAAAGCCAGTGGTACCTCGTGCAAGAATGTTGAGATCAACGTCCTTGTCCAGTTTGGTTTTGCTTGCGTATAGTTCCAGAATTTCCTTGCGTCCGCCTACATCTGGCAATGGCACAGTAACGTGTTTGTCGAATCGTCCTGGTCGCAATAGAGCGGCATCCAAACTCTCCACAAAGTTTGTGGCTCCAATGACGATAATTCCGTTGTTTTCATCGAAACCATCAAGCTGCACGAGTAGCTCATTGAGTGTCATTTTGAGCGCGGACTGATCCTTGAGCCGTCGTGTTCCTCCAATGGCATCGATTTCATCAATGAATATAATGGCCGGACTTTTCTTTTTGGCCGCTTCGAAAAGTTCCCGGACACGCTTTGCGCCCAATCCAACGTAAACTTCTTCGAATTGCGAGCCGCTGCTGAAGAAGAAGGGCACATTGGCTTCACCGGCAATGGCTTTGGCCAATAGCGTCTTTCCAGTGCCTGCAAAAAGAGAATTGTCAGAGGTAAGTACATGTAAGTGTAATCGTTACTGTACGTGAAAAAGTCGATCCGCGTTAGGTTTTGTAGCGTACCAGGCGGTCCAGTGAGGAGCAATCCCCGAGGAAGCTTTCCGCCGAGGCGCGTGAACTTGGAAGGATCTCTGAGGTAGTGCACAATTTCTTCCAATTCCTGCTTGGCTTCGGTGACTCCCTTTACGTTTGCGAATCTGACTTGTACGGGTTGCTCAGCTTCTTGTATATGTTTGCTGTTTTGGTTCATTCCTACCGCTTTTCCGAGTCCTTTTTCGTCTAGCATGGCCCCCAATGCCGATACGACGACGAGTGTGACAACAACGCGTCCAAGCAATCCCAACAATGCCGCCTTGACCGATGTGGATTGATGCATTTCCACATGAAGGGGATACTTTGGATCGGTTCCTCTCAGGACTCCTCCGCCTGCTGAATGCCATGGTTGGCCGCCAGCTCCGGCAGGAGCACTCATAATTCCCGGGCTAAGAATGGCGTGAAGCTGGTGTACTTGTTCTGGTTTACTGGGTTTGACTTGTATCTGGTGTTGAAGAAGTTGCTGAAGAGCCTCTCTTTGCTGTGGTGGCATGGAATTGTTTGCATCTTGAGTCTTGAGTAGTCGATGAATGAGAGCACGTACATCGATTTGTCGAAAAGACTCTGTGTGTTGCGCAGCCTGCAGCAAAAGAATGACAGATGGTGTATTGACGGCAAAATTGGAAAAGCTTGGATTTGTCATTCTCTCGACGACAACGCTGGGGTAGTGCTTGGCCAGTTCGTGCAAGAAGGCGTATTGCGCAGTGGCGTCGTTGGGCGCAGCATTCGCCGCAGTCTCCAAGTTCTTGAGCTTGAGATCCACCAAAAATTTGGGCGTGCCACTAAAGAAGGATCGACTGGAACTTGAACTGCTGCTCTTGGCATGGTACAAGCTACTGCTCTTGGTACTGATACCAGTACTGGTTTGCAGAGCCGAGTGAAAGGGTCTCACGGAAACCGACACCCGAGGAAACCAATGGACATTACTAGAAGGAGTATTCCTGTTGTGGCTCAATCGATTGCCGTACAATTCCCGCAACTTGGAAAAATCCTACCGTACATACATACATACATACATACATACATACATACATCAAGGTCGAAGAATGTTAGAACAGATTGAATTCATTCTCGAGAAACCAACAGCAACAGCAACAGCAACAGCAACAGCAACAGCAGCAAACATTAGGAACTTACATGGTATCGAAGCTGTCCTGCATGCGGCATGATGGAAAATAAGTCGAGTCGAGTCCTACGGAATGACTGTCACTCTCTGAACGACTCAAGTTCCTTTCTTCACGTTGAAAGCTTCTCTGTCGTCGGATTACACTACTAGCTAGTATTTTAAATAGTACGGTACCCAACAACACTCCTCCTTGTTGATTTGATTCGATGCGATTCGATTCCAACAGTTTGGCTTGGGATTGGTCTTGGCCTCTTTTTTCTTTGAAGCTGGTGGTGTGTGCTGTTGTTTGCTGTGTCATCGTGCTAACGTTCTTTTTTTTGCATTCCTGGTTGGAGCACTGTGCGACATTCTTTTAATAAAAAGTTCCACCTGGAAGCTTCAAAGACGAGTCGAGTCGAGTCCTCAGTCACTCCGGTCCCACATATGCATACCGTGCATACTAGTACAGTACTCGTAGCTAGCCTACGACTGTAGCTAGTACAGTACGACTGTACATCGTACCCCTACATCATGGGAGTAAACTTTTGGAAGGGTCAGGGCTCGAGAAAGAAAAGGCGAAGGAATAGCTAGCTAGCTAGAGATTCGATTCATTGCTGGGATCAGGGAGACAAAACTGGAGCAAAACGAAGTTTTTTGACTAACTGATGAATGTGGGATGGCTTTCCTTTTGGGCCCAGGGCACAATCAGCGGTCAGCCACTTTCTCTGGCTGGCTGGATGTCTTGCAACTTGTGTAATGCTGGTCACGGCCGGTACCGGTGCCGATGCGGTAATTTGTCAGCCCATGATGTAGTGGAAGTCAGCATTATGTTGCCGCGATGATGTGCCGCTTCACAGCATCGAATACTGTACCGGTACTGTATAAGAGAGGGTTAGGAAAAGGAAATCTACTTCATCTGTTCTTTATGGTCACTTCATTGATCACTCCATCAGCCTTCGTAATTGCGGTAGCGGCTTGCAGCAACAACGACAGAAACACTCCGTAACGGTACCGCACTTACAGCTTCCCGAATGGGATCTATTAAGTTTTATTCTCTGTCATAGTCTCAGCTGGATCCCGCTTACCTTCCGCACTCCTTTATTAACCATATGAAGACAACGTCAACCAAACGAAACGAAACGAAACCAAGCCAATCTGTCTCCTGACACTGTACCGACTCGCTCGTCCATTCACCCGCCTGAGGGAACCGAATCGAATCGAATCTATCATCGGAATCATCGTTCATTGGCTAAACGCTCTGTCCTACTAGCTACAGCATTGTCTTATGGCTGGCTGGTCACGTTTGTTGGTTCATCGAAAAGCATTGGCACCAAACTGTGCAAAAGGATCTTCCTTTTCTGGCGACCTGTTTGCAGTTGCAGAAGCTCTTCCGTTTGGAGCAGCACCCATCATTGGCATTCCTCCAAAGTTCATGGAGGCATTCATTTGCGGAGCTTGGGGCTGTTGCGCCATCATCATGTTTGGGTTCATTCCCATCATGACGTTTGGTGTGGAGTTCATTCCCATCATCATCATGTTCGGATTCATGGTGCCTCCCATCATTTGCGGCATTGCTCCGGGACCTCCCGCAGCTGGCATTGCGTTCTTGTTCATCATGGCCTGCATCATTTGAGGGTTCATCCCACCTTGTTGTTGCTGTTGCATCTGTGCCTGTAGTTGCTGCATTTGCTGCATCATTTGAGGGTTTTGCTGCATCATGCGCTGCATTTGTTGAAGGTTTCGTTGTTGCTGTTGCATTTGTGACTGCATTTGCTGCATCATTAAATTTTGGTGCATTTGTAGCCTAGAATTGTGTTTTCCACCAGCGTTGTTGTCTTGAGCGGCCGCCGACGACGACGGCACCATGGAAGGCATTCCAAAAGCTGCGGGTTGCTGCTGCTGCTGTTGGGGATTCATGTTCATGTTTTGCATTTGCTGCATCATGGCCATCATGTTAGCTTGGTTGTTGTTGGGCGTCATATTGTTGATTCCAGCTGCAGCGCCTCCAACACCAGGCACAGCAGGTGCACCCATTGGCGCATTGTACATGTTGAGAATGTCTTGCTGTTGGGTCTTTCGAGTCTTTTCACGATCTGGTGTTTTGGACTTTGTCCGCATATCCGCTCTGGATTTGCTGCGGCTTCGAGAACCTCTTCTCCGTCCACCACCCGCCCGATCCTGTCCCCCCTGGCGTGTATCGGCCATCTGTGCAGGCGGTCCAGCTTGAGCTTCCGTCTGGCCGAAAAAGTCTCCAAAGGGAGCTCCTCCGTTGCTGCTGCTGTTCGTGGGTGGTGCGACAGCTGGTTCGACTGCCCCAAAGTCCAATAGATCCGCCACGGCAGGTTCCGGCTCTTTTTTGTTTCGTTTTTTCCCTTCACCTGACTTGGATCGCGACGGAGCTTCGAACGACTTGTTCCTGGTGGGTGCTTTCTTTTTCTTTTTTTCCGCTCTGAGTTTGGCCGCATCAGAGACTTGTGTGTCGGGAGGAGGTCCGAAATTGGCAAAGTCCGCTCCACCTTTGGGCACGAGATCATCAAAGGATGGTTCGTTGTTTTGGTAATTGACGAGCGCAGTCGGGTCAAAGAATTTGCGACGTTCGTACTTGTCCCTGATGTAGCGCTCTCGAGTGGTCAAGTCGGCACCGGAAGGAGGCTTTTGGGCTCCGAATCTCGCAAGATTTGCTTCCCAAATGGCATTGACCTTTTTATTTCCTCCATTTTCCATGGCCAAAACTTCCTTCTCCTTCCCTGCATTTATTTATTTATTTAAAGTTGGAAAGAAAAAGCAAGGTTGGTCAAACGAATGTTTTAGAAAAGCGGGCATCATCGTCATTTGGTCACTCCACTACAGCTGTGCGTGCGGTACCGGTACTTACAGGAATCCAAATTGATCGACCGAACAAAACTAATGTGCACACCCAATCGACGGTGCGACCCAGAGCATTCCAAACAGCAAAATGCACCCGTCGCCAAGGTCCCAGGAGGAGACCCTGGTGGAGCCACAATCAGAGATGCCCAACGTGGCTGACGCTCCGGGCAATCGGAGCACACTTGGTTTTCTGGCTTTTGCATGAGCACCTTCAGGCGCTTCTTCATTTCCTTTTGGTCTGCCATGGTGACTTATTGTATTGTACTGTACTTGTACTTGTACTTGTGTGACTACGAGTGAGGACTTGAGAGATGAATCCAATCGAATCCAATCGATCCGTTGGTGCTCCGATCACAATGACAGAATGAAGTCAGGGTAGTAGCTATGCCGATCCGATTGTTTCCTACTTCGTTCTTGGGTCTGAAGCTATCGATATCACAGTCCAAACCTCTGCTCTCTCACGTCCAGGTGCTTCTAGCTAGCTAGCTAGCTACTAGTCGATCCAACAGAACACAAACAACAACAACAACAACAAAACAAAACTTGTAGTCTAGGCAACAGCGGTTGTGCTGGTTGGTGGCTTTGCTTGACCATGCCCATTTGACGACTAAACGGATGACCTCAACTCCGTTCCATCGGCATTGTGCCTCCGTCGTTCCTCGTCGTGACGGACGGACGGCGTGCTTACCCATAACTCTAAAACATTTGCTATTATTGGAAATTTCGAAATGGGAAAACAGTGGCGCGGTGCAGCTGTACCGGTATGAAGGGAGTGGGTGAATTACAAGCACATACATACATGTAGTAGAGTAGATCACCTTACATGTTGGTCAAGTTATCCAGCTATCATAGATCTAGCTAGCTATGCATAGTTCATATCGGTAGCTCTGGGCGAAGATTGGTTTTGGGACCACAACATACACAACGCAATGGCTGGTGAGGGGAGGAAGAAGGGGGCCTCTCATTCGAGATTGTGCAAATCAATGATGGCGCGAACATGCGCAGCTTCCCGCTCCACATCTTCGTCCTCGCGTCCCTGCACAAGTGCCTTTAGGGTCTTCAAAGCCGTGCGTTGCACATCACACCGGCCTTTCATTCTTTCATCCTCCACTATAGCACGGAGAAGATCCAATCTCCCATCCTCCACCATGCTCACCCAGTGGATGCTAAAGTGCTTGACGGTTCCGCCAACCCTCTCCCGAAAGCAAACCTGTACCAGCTTGCAATAAACACCTCCTGGCGATGTAGGGTCGTTTTCAAAACGATCAAAAGCTTCCTCTATCTGCTGACTTTGCCATCCACCTGCTCCTTCGCCATGATCGGGGACCCATCCATCCTTGACACGCCCGTATGCCAGCTTATAGCAGTTCCCAATCCCAAGCTTCTTGGGATGGAAATAGTCATCCTCATCATCATCACCATCACCAAGGGTGCCAACAACCTACCAAGCAAAAAGAAAACAAGAGAGATACAATGCTGAGGACAAAGGCACCAGCAGGTATTCAGAGACATTCCAGCCTTATTTACCTCTGGCTGGGTTTCTTCCTTTGCAGCATTCTATTCAATCCAGGCAAAGGGGACACAAGCAGCAAGAAACAAGATGAGCTTGATGTTCCAACGGGTATCATGCATAAAGACAATCCAGCAGCAGCAACCTACCTGCAACAGACCTATGCACTTGTTCAAGTTGGCCAAGTCTGTAGCTTCCCAACTGCTGCTTCCCGCCTCGTGCATAGCTTGAGCAAGCTGCAGAACAGTGATGTCTGTGTATCGTGTGAAATTGCCTCTGTGCACAAAAATTGTTCCCCAATTTGTTGTTGTCGTGGAGGCCTTTTTCTCCAGCAAGAACTTGACGACTCTGTGCATTCCTCGACTCACCGCCACAAAGAGTGGGGTCATGCTGCTGAAGTCTCCCTCAACGGCACTCAAGTTGACGTCCGCACCAAGTTCAACCAAAAGTTTGGTGCAGGCTAGAATTGTTGCCTGTCCGACGCCAGGTGCGCTGAGTACCTCCACAAGTATAGTGCTTCCCGGCTGCATCCGCCGATTGATGTGGCTGGCCTTGAGTTTGCCATCTTGGCCAAAGTTGTCCAGAAGCGAAAGTAGTGGTTTCTTGGATAGCTTCTTCGTCACTATCATTTCGACTATTTGATCCTGAGTGAAGGTTGTCTTTCTGCAAAACTGAAGATGACATTCCTTGAGCCTCTCCAAAGAACTTTGCCCCTTCACACGCTGATTCAAACGTGGGGATGATCGCTGCACTGCTGGTGGGGCAGCATGTCTTGAAAGGTCAGAGGATCGCGCCACTGGTGGCTGCGGGTTGTAGTTTTGTAACAGGTCATCTACTAGTATCTGGTCTTTGAACACATCCCGGCCGTCCTTGCTCAGGAGAGCAATGCTGCGACCAAGTTCGGGGGCTCGATTCGTTGGCCTCGCTACAAAGCTGATAATGAGCCCCCAAAGAACATTTGGTATAGAGAACAGGTTGAGATCAGGGGGTTGTGTAGCTGTACTGCCCATAGTGGGTGGTGTATCGCCCTCTGCGGGTGGTGTATCGTGCTCCTCCTTCTTCCTTTTGGCACTAGGAGCCGTCATCGTGGACGATCTTTTGGACAACATGGTCTTGCAAGTGCAAAAGGAATGTGCTATTCAATTATCGGATAGGTTGTGGAGCACACTAGCTAGATAGCAAGCTTGTGTCGCCTGTTTGACTGTGGGAACTTGTAGGTATCAGTGTATGTCGTAGAAGTGCCCTTTTGCAGTAGCCAAATCCAAAGCAACAGACCCCAGAGCGCTATAAACAATGTTCGTAGTTGATCGTTTTTCTCAGGACACTTGTTTGTTGCTGCTCTTCTGTTTTTATGAAAGTCACGGCGCGCACCGTTGGACTCTTCTTTGCCTGAGACTGGCCCTCACTGGCTACCATAGATAACCTCCCTACTCTACTAAAACCCCTTCGATGGAAGCGGTCGCCGCAGCGTGCGTGGTGTGTCTGGGACAACACAAACTATGGTGCTTCCACGATCGGCAGTTCCACGACCACGATCTGATGTTGGACACACTGGCGAAGTGCCCCAACTTGAGAAGCAACGTGTCTACGGTACTTCGGTTGGGCCAGTCACAGAAGCAGACGCAATTGGGTACTGGAAGTTGTGGCGAGCTGGAGGTGCTGTGGGACTTGCCCTCGTAGCGGTACTATCGGTACCGGTACGGTAGCAAACCTGACAGGAGAGGCTTGGGCAACAGTGCAGCTTCCCTATCAACACTGCTACGGTATCACTAGTACGTACGCTGAGAGCAATGTTTGGACCAATGAAAGAATGATTGTAGTGATAGAAGCTGGAAATATTATACCAAGCAGCAGGTGTTCCTTTCGTTTATATAGTTCTCTTCACTCATGATGCCATTTCGGAGTTCCAGGTAGAGCATGATATGAGGGTACACAGCGAGACCTGCAAATAGCACCCCCAGTGGACTCAAGAGAATCAAGTTGGCAATCACATTCACACAGTAATAGAAGAGTGCACTGCCTACCAGGCTTGTGTCGTATTGCTTCGCACCCCGGATCCCCAGTGAAAAGAACACAGTGGAGAGAAGGCCAAAGCCCAGCGCGATTCCAAGTATCGTTTTGGACATCTCATGATTATTGAATCGAAACCATTCTACAGAGGATGCTCCGACAGTGCCATCTTGATCATCATTCTTTGTTTCAAGTTCCTCGTAGAGTGCCAGAAGCGTGATGGCCGCGACGATTTCGACTAGAGCAAAGACAAGGCTTACAGCGTTGCATGCGATGACTGCGCGCCGCATATCACAGAGGCAGCCAAAGCATGAATGTCCTCTTCTCTCATTGGAAGGAACATCTCGAAAGGCGGGGGAACGATGCTTTTTGACCGACTTCCAGTTCTGGAAATCGGATTCACTTCGAGGTGTCGCAGCTGGAGGTGCGGGGAGTGATTCCATCATGGCTGTACTGTAGTGATCGGCCGTTGCTTGGTTGTGAGCTACCGGTACGGTAGTCTATAGTGTTTCTTGTGGATGTTTTCTGCGTTTGTTTTAAAAATGATTTTCGGTGGAAGCAGGACCGTCCGACGTTTTTAACTCAGGCGATAAACTTTGACACGACTGACTTGAGTACAAATAAGGGCTTGTTTTTAAGGGCTTGTTTAAGGGCTTGTTGCAGATTTAACGGCTTGTTTTAAGGGCTTGTTTATTTAGGGGCTAGTTTGCTCCTGATAAGGGCTTGTTCTATGGGATTATCGCGAAGGCTTAAGGGTTTGTTTTCAGAACTTAAGGGCTTGTTGTTAAGGGTTTGTTTTTTAAGGGCTTGTTTAAGGGCTTGTTGAAGATTTAAGGGCTTGTTTAAGGGCTTGTTTCCAGTCGTGGCAATTTCAATTTTTTAAAAATCCTGAGTGAAAAACGTCGGACGGTCCAGAAACATGGATACATGCATGGTGGAACCTGGAAGGACAAGCATCAATACACTGTACGGGTTACGCTTGCTGGGCAACATTGTAAATGCGGGAAATCATAGTTGAGTCGTGGTTCAAAATTGAATGCTTATGTAGCGTTAGAAAAACGTGTACATGTACCGTACGCACAGAGAAAGATTTTTATTTGCTTCCCCAACGTTTATCCCGCAACTAGTTCTGTCACAGTTGACTCTCCCGGTACGGCAGCTTTATCGCAACCAAGCTTGCTTCATCATACATGTGCAATGGGAGCACAGGTGCAAGTTAGCTATTGGTAGATAGACGAGGCCGTGAAGACGTTTGTCTTTGGCCGATGAGCAACCAAGTCCATCGACCACACCCCTGATATTAACATAGTTAGGAATTACACCCCTGCACGTCGACATCAGCTTGCTTTCTTGTCAGTTTTGTGGTTTGTTCAAGAGGCATCCCCTTGGCGGCCTCATCAGAGACAGAGGCATTGAAAAGCTGAGACGGAAGACCCGCGACGGCAAAGCAGGTGAGACTCCTGTAACCCCGTAATCTTGTACGACTCACTCGCGGACCTGGACCTACGACTAATCTGCGGAAGGTTGAATTGCATCTATTGGCTGAAACTGGAACGGAGTGGATTCCATACTGCATAGGTGGTGTCTCGTGCGGTAGGAGCAGCGGGCCTTCTTTCTCTATGATTGACTTGACTCGAGTGTCACTCGACTTGCTTGTCTGGCGAGAATGGCTGGTTCTTCAGAACCCTTATTGCGTTGGATTTCAACAAACCCAAGTCAGCACTGGATGACGGCCACACACTGGCGAGAACGCTACTTACTGGTAACAAGTTTGGTGTCAAGGGGGCTACAGGTATATACCGGTAGCACGTTAGCACCTACCGGTGTGACCGGAAAGGATGTGGAGATTTGGACTCAAAATCATACGGTACCATGCGTGTAATGTTACTGCAGTTTTTTCTTTCTTTCATGGATGACTTCAACCATCGAATACAAGTGCGGTAGTATCATTTATTCAACATACCAGCTACTACGGTGCATCGTAGCTAGAGATAGCTACATGTATGCATAGTTGCTTGCAGCTATCGTAGGGTAGTGCACAGGAGGGGCTCCAATTGGGACCAGGACCCGTAATTATTCACCCCTTCTCTTCATCAGAGTTGTTGCTCAACTGGCTCCAATGGCTTCTTTTTAAAACCGTGTTGAAATAAATAACTGCCGCCAAACTTGTCTTGTGACCTGGCTGGCGCCTCTCGAAAGAATTCGTCGAAGCCAAATTTTCCTCGTCGAGTCGGGTCGAGCAGAGTCGAGCTGAGCCGAGCCCCAGAGGACAGAGCCTCGAATTCATGCTTTGCACGTGTGAACCACTCTGCGTGGTTGTTGATGCTACCGCTGCTAATCATCTGATCTCATTTATTTATTTTCTTCATCAACAATTAATTGGTGGCTGTGTTCTTGCTTTTTAAAAGCTGTCTTTCATTGAACAACAAAGCAAGAGCCGAATTCCTGCTTCCCACAAGTACCTGTACTCATCAACAAGAAGTGAGAACCAGCGACGGCAGTGTCAAATACCTACTGTATCGGTAGCAAGCTAGCTGGGTAGTACCCGTACTAGCACGGCAAGACCAAACAAGCACGACATTCTCATTTTTCGCAATCCAATTCAAACTCCTCCAATAATAAATACGCCACCCACCTACCGTACCTACCTATTGATACCAACCTATACAAAATCATATCATATCAGATCAGAAACAAGACATGACGTCCTTCCTAACGAATGAAGAAGTCAGTCTTGTTGGCATCAACGTGACAAGCAATGTTACTTCCGATTCCGACAATCCTTCTATGCATACCAGTAATAGCACCATGGAAACTGTCAGTGTGGTCTTGTCCAATGTCCTCCTCTTCTTTCTTATCTTTGGACTGTCGGCGACTGTGGATATCCGCAATTTGAGGCGCCAACTCAACAACAAGTTCGCTATTGGCACAGGGGTAGCTATGCAGTTTGTCATTATGCCCTTTCTGGGTTTCTTGGTTGTCTTATCTCTCCAGAACTATGGACTCACCCAAGCTATGGGGATCACACTCTTGGTAGTCACCAGTAGTCCTGGTGGAAGCTACAGCAACTGGTTCTGTAGCACATTCAATGCCGGTAAGCTGACTTTGATTCTGGACTCAGACGGTACCGTACAGAAGTTGCTCCAACTCAACTCACCATCCTGTTTTGATTTGATTTGATTGAATTGAATTGAATTTGATTGTATGTTATTCACAGACCTAGCATTGTCCGTCACCATGACGTCAATTTCTTCCTTGTTGAGCGCAGGATTATTACCCGCCAACCTCCTCCTATACACCTACTTGGCATACGCCAGCAACGATGGAATTGTCCAATCTCTCGACTTCAAGGCCATTTTCATCACTCTTGCTGTCGTCATGGCGGCGATCTTCTCCGGGTTAGCTGCTGGATACCGATACGACACACAATCCTTCCATGTCAACGCCAATCGACTCGGATCCGTTTCGGGAATATTGCTCATCGTGGTCTCTTTCTTTCTGTCCAATGATTCCAGCGGAAACGAAAAGACATCCCTGTGGACTCATGACTGGCAGTTTTACCTCGGTGTGGCTGCTCCATGTGTCATTGGAATTGTCATTGCCAACATCGTCGCACGCCTGTGCTTCCGACTCTCGCCCCCTGAAGTCGTCACACTCTCTATCGAATGCGCCTACCAAAACATTTCCATTGCTACCTCAGTCGCCGTCACCATGTTCACAGGCAAAGAACGAGCACAAGCCGTGGCGGTGCCCCTCTTCTACGGGATTGTCGAGGCGGTTGCCATTGGATTCTACTGCTTGTGGGCATGGAAAATGGGATGGACAAAGGCACCTGCCAATGAAAACTTTTGTGTCATCGTCTCAAAAACATACGAAGTAGATGATACGGATGGCGAGGAGGGCGAAGTGGAAGATCAACTCGGCGAAATGGAGGACACGGAAAGGGGCGACATTGCATTCTCAGCAGATAAAAAGTATCCCAATCGCTGTCGATTGGTCAGTGAAGACAACACCACCTGTACTTGTTCGTCACACACGACGACTACGACTCTGCCAATGACTCCTGCCACCGTCATCACCACTTCTACTACTACAACCAGCAACGCAGACACGGATGCTCTCAGTGATACTATCACCACGAGTCACTCCTTGGAGGGAAAGAACCTCAGTCAAGACTTCAGTGCCGTTATGCACGGATAGGTACACATGCATGTAGCTACGTCGGAGAGATGGTACCGTGTCCGCTCAAAACCAAGCCGGGCGGAATCGAATCTACTGTGCGGGACAAAATGGTTGGTTGCATCGGCTGCTGACCGAATCCATAATATGCTCTCCCGCCAAAAGGACTTGTCTGCGAGAACAAAAACTCGCTATTGAGTACAATTTCCCGTTCGGCTGCATCCCTTTTTGTCCCTCACCGGGAAACCTTATCATGTCTCTACGGAGACAAAGCGCTGTTCGTGGGCTGGCCACTCGAATCAAAGTCTGCCAAACGACTGAGAAGCAGTCGGATGGCAATGGAAGACTGGCAGCAAACGAACTTGGCAATCTCGAACCAGCTCGTTCGTATATTCCAACCAGTTCGTACCTTCAGAGCCCTGCAGTACTGTACATTAGTTAGGGAAATCTTCATAATGCAGGCCTGAAAGGTACCGCAGCTAGCTTTTCAGATTATTATGTAGTCTAGTTTTTAAAATAGTGTCAAAATGGCGGGCCAGATGTACCGGAAGCCAGACACCGGTGGAACAAGAAATAATAAAGGTGCAGTTTTTGTTCTTCCGCTGCCTATTGCATCGGAGTGTTCTTGAAAGAGGTACCAGGTACCAGCCCCTGGCAGAGATTCCGAAGTTCACAACCCCGTCCCCGGTGCTACATGTACTGTGGCTCCCAGCCAGCTCTGGCCGGCTACTACGAAAGCCGAAAGCGTTGATGCCAAGCACCAGCTAGCTAGTGTCGTATGAGCTGTCGTATGCATACTTGGCTTTGCTACCCTCCGGAACAACCTCCTCTTTCTAGTAGTAATAGCATGAGAACACTCAAGATTCAAGATCTCATTGTTTTTAACGAAACGTGTGTTCATCATAAATCTTTGGCTTGATGCAAATATTGCTGTCAGTACCAGGTACCAGTACCGGACACTTTTCGCGAGGCTCGACTGTTCGCATTGTCCTGCGAAGATACCTTTCCATGAAGCAAGTAATAAGATTGCCTTCGCGACGGCTTCACCGCCAACCACCAAGCACATCAATGCCAAGCAATTGCGATCTTGCCATCCAATTGAAGAGGACGATGGGAACTCTATCCATCAGCTCGATCATGATTCGCTTTGTCGCGGTTGGCTGAGCCAATCCAATCAATCTAAACCGGGCGAATCCAGTTCTGTTCCCAAGGAAGCTGGCACCCGAACTCCAACAAGCAATCCAACCCATCCGTTTCTCTCTCCCACTATAATACAGACGCAGCATCGGCGAAAACAAAGAAAAGAAAGAAAATAATTGGCAAAGGTGAGAGTCAGGCATGGCAACTAAAACATCGCAACGCCCTGAAGACTTTTCGCCCTCTCTGGTTTGTTTCCTTGTCTATTTTGATTTCGTTCATAAAAGACTCACTCCTCATTCTCTCTCGTCCTCTGTCATTTGGTATGGTATTGGTTGTTTTCTACAGTGGGTCACTCGATTAAATAAATAAAAAGCGCCCAGAAACAATCATCAGATCAGGAATCAAAGGATAAGGAAGGCAAAAGTTTCATATTTTCAACTGGGCGAAAGTTGCAAAATCGAATAAAGTTGAAAAGAGCATTGGCAAAGACAACCATGGCGACTGATTCTGCCAAGGCGGATGCTATCAAGCCTCCAGAAATGAAATGCGTGGATGGCAACTGGGCAGTCGCCCATGCAACTTATCGCATGAACGACTGTGCCTACATCTTCCCAATCACTCCCAGTAGTCCGATGGGAGAAGAAGTGGATGATTGGGCGGCTCACCACAAAAAGAACTTGTGGGGCCAAGATCTCCGTGTCATTGAAATGCAAAGTGAAGGTGGTGCGGCTGGAGCTTTGCATGGAGCCCTCGTTAGTGGATCCTGCGCTACCACTTACACGGCTTCCCAAGGGTTGCTGCTTTACATCCCCAATCTGTACAAGATTGCCGGAGAGCTACTTCCTACCGTCATTCATGTAGCCTCCAGGGCGCTCGCCGGAGAGGCACTCAGTATCTATGGAGATCACTCTGATACCATGCTGGTCCGAGGATGCGGGCTCGCCATGATCAGCTCTTTCAGCGTTCAAGAGGCGCATGATATGGCTGTCATCACACAGATGGCGACCTTCACTTCAAGGGTCCCCTTTTTGCATTTCATGGATGGGTTCCGTACCTCGCATGAAATTAACAAGATTGCTCTTGTCAGCGATGAGCAGTTGCGCAAACTATTGCCTTGGAAGCAGATCGAAGAGCACCGTCAAAGGGCCTTGTCGCCTATGCATCCCACGTAAGTCAACTCAACAACACCCTACTTCCACAGTCTGACATCCTTTCATCACCAGTCGCCTCATCAACTTTCCCCCATTTTCAGGCAACGTGGCACGGCACAAGCTCCAGACGTCTTCATGCAAATGGTGGAAAGCAGCAACCAGCACTATCAGGACGTGGACAAGCACTTCATCAAGGCCTTGGAAGACTTCAAGAACGTCACTGGGAGAGACTACAAGCCATTCGAATACCAATACTATGGAACTTCTGCACCTCGCGTGGCCATCATTACGATGGGATCGTCCGTGGCTGTGGTCAACAGCACTCTCAAAGCCACAAAGAACGAACAGGCTTGTCTCATTGGTGTACGCATGTTCCGTCCATGGAATGCTGACATGTTTGTGAAGGCTATTCCAGAAAGTGTCCAACGAATTGCTGTCTTGGATCGCACACGAGAAGGTGAGTGACAGTCCTAATAGGCTAAATGATGGAACTTATATGGTGTGTACGTGCATTGACTCACCATGGTTGCCGCGTCGTCCCCCTTCAACAAACTTCAGGTGGAGCCCAAGGCGAACCCTTGTACTTGGATGTGTGTACCTCCCTTATGCAGCAGGGACGCGGCAGCCTATTCGTGGCCGGTGGTCGCTACGGGCTCGGAAGCAAGGACTTCACCCCTCGAATGGTTATGGCCGTCGTTCAAAACATGTTGCGCAAGAACACAAACGACATACAACGACCCTTTACGGTCGGGATCACCGATGATGTAACAAACCTCAGCTTGACCATGGGAAGGCACGTCAACATCTTTGAAACCAAAGCGGATGACAGCAGTAATGTTACACAGTGTGTCTTCTGGGGGTTTGGTTCTGATGGTACTGTTGGCGGAAACAAGGAGGCCATCAAGATCATTGGCAACTACCACGAGAAGATGTCGGTTCAAGGTTACTTCGAGTACGATGCCAAGAAAAGCAGCGGTTGGACAATGAGCCACTTGAGATTCTCACCCGAGGTCAAGATTGAAGCCCCTTTCCGTGTCGAAGAGAGTCAAGCCGGATATGTTGCTTGTCACAATGAGTCATACGTTCAAAAGAACAAGTTCGATGTTGTCAAGTTCTTGAAGCGAAGAGGAACCTTCTTCTTGAACACAACTGTTGCCTCGCTGCCCGACCCAGAAGAGCGCTTGAAGGCACTCGAGGCATTGGTCGATCCTAAGTTGCTGCGACAATTGGCGCTCAAGAACGTGCAATTCTACATGTAAGTGGTTTGTTTGCTTGATAGTTGTTTCGGCTATGCTTTTTCGAGACTATCGAAGTACAGATCCGGTTCTGATTCCTTTTTCTTGCACTTCTGTGTTTGCTTTTCTCCGTTAGCATGGATGCCGCAAGCTTGGCAGCCAGGTTTGGGTTGGCAGGACGCATCAATATGATATGCATGTGTGCATTCTTCCGTTTAAGCGGTGTCCTCCCGCTGGATGACGCAGTAGCCCTATTGAAGGCTGCCATTAAGAAGAATTATTCCTACAAGGGAGACGCAGTCGTCAAGCAGAACATTGACTTGTTGGATGCAGTTGTTTCGGATCCCAAGTACATGCTACAGGTGGAGATCCCTGCGTCGTGGCGAAGCCTCACGCCCTCCGACAAGGAGCCATCGTACAAGAAGAGGCACATCACTTTGATGGAGGACGAGAAGACAAGGAAGTTTCTGGATGACATTTCAGAACCAGTGACACGGCTTAACGGTGATGACATACCAGTGTCCAAGTTCCTCGAGAACAATTTGTTGGGCGGTGTCATGATTCCTGGTACCTCCAAGTACGAGAAGCGAAACCCTAATCCCAGTGGACTCATCCCTGAGTGGGATCAAAGCTCTTGCACGCAGTGTAATCAATGCATCTTTGTGTGTCCTCATGCTGCCATTCGTCCTTTCGTGGTCACAAAAGAGGAAGTCGCTGCAGCTCCGTTTCCAAAGGAGTTTGAAGTGGTCAAAGCGATTGGCTCCGAGTTTGCGGGGAAGAAATACGCCATCCGCGTTTCCCCATTGGACTGCACCGGATGCAATGCCTGCGTGGAGGCGTGCCCCGAGAACCCCAAGGCTCTGAAGATGGAGAGCATTGACAAGGACTTTGAGAGTAACAAAAAGAACTGGGATTACGCTTACGAGCTGCCTGACCGTGGTGACCTTACGACCAAGCTGACCGTGAGAGGATCCCAATTCCAGACTCCCCTGATGGAATTCTCTGGGGCCTGCGCTGTACGTACTATGTGCCATCACATTGACATGTATTTGTTTGTTGACATGGGGACATTCACGAACGATGCGACTGACTGTCTTTTTCTCTTGTTACTTCCACGTACTTGCTGCAGGGTTGTGGAGAAACGCCGTACTTCAAACTTTTGACTCAGCTATTCGGCGAGCGCATGGTCATTGCCAATGCCACTGGATGCAGCACGATTTGGGGTGGTAGCTTTCCTTCGTAAGCTGGTCTCATTGTTGCCAAGTGTAGAACTACTACTGCCTACGTCTACGTGTCTGTCTAAACCATTGCTGCGCTGCTTTGTCTTGCGCACGACAGGAACCCTTACACTATGTCGAAGAAGACGGGACGCGGCCCTGCTTGGGCTAACTCCCTTTTCGAAGACAATGCAGAGTTTGGGCTTGGCATGTTCACGGCCATGAAGCACCGCCGTGCCAGGCTTGTGGATCTGGTACAAGACTATGTACACAAACTGGATCTCTTACCTGAGGGTGAAAAGAGTGAAGACGAGAAGTCTTTGGAGTCACTTCTTGTTGATTGGCTCGAAGTCAAGGACGAAAAGAGCGACAAGCCAACATTGGTCTATGACAAGATGAAGCCATACTTCAAGGCTCTGTGTCCGGACGATAGTGGCCGCGGAGAATCAAAGGACGAATCTGACATGATGTGCAGGCAGGACAAGGATGCCCTCCTCCACAAGATTTGGTCTGATCGTGACATGTTCCCGAAAATCTCCCAGTGGATCACTGGCGGTGATGGCTGGGCGTATGACATTGGCTTCGGCGGTTTGGATCACATTCAGGCATTCGAGGCGAATGATGTAAATGTCTTGGTGGTGGATACGGTACGATATTGATAAGAGCAAGCTCAGTAGTTGGGACTCTGCAATTCGATACTTACGCCTTGTTTTTTCTCTGCTTGCTTCCATCAGGAAATGTACTCCAACACTGGAGGACAGGCTTCTAAGTCCACTCCTGCTGGGGCAACCGTCAAGTTCGCATCTGGTGGAAAGACACAGCGCAAGAAGAACATCGGAGAGATTTTCATGACTTATGAACATGTATACGTGGCCTCGGTCGCGATCCACAATCAAGCGCAGGTCTTGCAAGCCTTCTTGGAAGCCGACAAGCACGATGGACCCTCCATCATCGTTGCATATGCTCCTTGCATCCAGGTATGAAACTTCGCGGCGCTCGCATTGTTTTCATTTCGATGTTTACATGTTTACATCGTCTGTTTCCTCCTTCCACAGCACGGAGTCAGGCCCCAGGGTTTGAACGACATGATTGACGAGAGCAAGTTTGCAGTGGACAGTGGATACTGGCCGCTCTACCGCTACAATCCGGAGCTCATCAAGGACGCCAAGAACCCTTTTGTCTTGGACAGCAAGAAGCTGCGCAAGGACGTGACTGCCTTCTTGCAGCGTGAGTCAAGATTCTTGAACCTGAAGAAGAACTATCCTGAAATCGCTGGGGATCTCTTTGCCAAGATGAACAGTGACGTCCATCACCGTATGGACCACTTGCGTCAACTCGCCGAGGGATACAAGGATTTTGATCACCCAGACGATGCCGCTGTCAAGGTATTGTACGCATCTGAAACTGGAACTGCAGCTCGTGTCGCCCGCGATTTTGCCGATGCTTGTACATTGTCCCACAATGCCGATGCCATGGACGATGTCGAGTTGAGTGACATTGATGGCAAGACAGTCGTCTTCGTCATTGCCACTTGCGGTCAAGGCGCTATGCCTCAGAACGGAAAGAACTTTCACAAGGAACTGTGCAGTCGCACCGAACCATTCGGAGAGGGCACACGCTTCATGGTGATGGGACTTGGTGACTCGTCATACTTCTTCTACTGCAAAGCGGCGAAGGATGTGGAGACCCAGATGCTCAAGCTTGGTGCCAAAAAGATGCTCGAGATGGGCTGCGGCGATGACTCGGAGGAAGAGGGTATGGAAGCTGGTCTGCATAGCTGGCTTGACCAGGTTTGGCCGGCATTGGAAGTTCCTCCCCCCGAAGAAGTTCCTCACATCACCCCTGTGAAAGTTGCCTTCTCCCAGCGTGCAGTGGCCAACGCCGACGTGGACAAGCACTCTTTGGAGCAGTACTTCTACTCCGATGCGATCAAGGCGGTGAGTGTTCCGATTCTGAGCAACAAGAAGATGTGCAGCGAAGATTACAACCGAGACTTCCGTACCATCCGCATCAGCTGTTCCGGAAGCAACAGGACTCTGTCTTACCAGCTCGGAGATGCTCTTGAAATCTTTCCTAGCAACGACCCGACCAAGGTGTCAGATTTCCTGCACGCGTACACTCATGACTACGACGAGCGCACCGTCGTGAGCCTTCATGCGTTTGGAATTGACGGTGAGATTTCGCTTGGAGCTCTCTTCACGAACGTCCTGGATTTGTTTTGCAAGCCTTCCATGCATTTTATGCAGCAGTTGGCCACTTTCGAGACCAGCGAAGATGAGAAGAAGATCATGTTAGACCCTTCATTCCTCAAGACCGCAAGCAAGGAAACCGGCATTACAGTTGCGGATGCGCTGCTGCGCTTCAGAAAGGCGTGTCCCCCACTACCAGCTCTGCTGTCCATCATTCCAACAATCAAGCCACGTGCATATTCGATTGCCAGTGCCCCGCAAGCCTCGACGAATGTGATTGAGCTACTTGTGTTGATTGATACTTGGTGGTGCGACGAAGGGCTGAGGTACGGTCTCAATTGCGATATGCTGCGTCAAACAGTTGAAGGCGACCATCTGTGGTGTCGCATGAAGGCCGGTTCTATGGATCCTCCCGAGCCAGACCAGCCTGTGATTTGTGCTGGTATCGGCAGTGGTTTGGCACCGCACATGGCGTTTTTGCGCGACCATGTTCGTGCTGCTGAGGCAGGCGAAGAGGTGGCTCCGTTCTCCTTGTACTTTGGCAACCGCAAGCGCGCTGAAGAGTACCTTTATCAGACAGAGCTCGAGGAGTATGAGAAGAAGTACGAGTGGTTCAAGCTTCACTCTGCGTTCAGTCGGGACGATCCCAACAAGAAGGTCTACGTCCAGGACCTTGTGGCGAAAACGGATGATGCGAGACTGTTGTTGCGAGACCGCCCTGGAATGCTTTACATTTGTGGCAATCGCAACCTTCCCAAGCCGATGCAGGACGCGTTGGTCCAGTCGTTTTCGAAGCACAGCGACGACAAGGAAGAGATTGCAAAGGCCACCACGGATATGGAAGACATGTACATCCATGGTCGCGCCCAGCAGGAGGTCTGGTAAAGACATCCACGTGGTCTCCTGACAATGGAATTCACGTAGTTTGCCTGCATGATTCATCATTCGATGCATCATTCATCATTCGTTAGTTACTCTTTTAAAAAAAAAAAATCATACTATAATAGTAATTCGTCGCGAACAAATATGCTTCCTAGATAGCAAGTGGTGGCTACCGGTACCGGTACCAGTACGTTGGGGTGGCTAAGTTAGCTACCAGGTACCTACCACTATCGGTACATGTAGCTTTTCTGTTTGTCTTCGAGTCTTTGCTCCAGATCGTTGACTGTCACTCGACTGTCACTCGTCATCTCCGTGCTTTTTTAATAGTTGCCCGTCGCGCGTACTGTCTGTTTGCCGGTATGCTTCGAGTGGTGGTGTGACAAGCGTTGACAACGGGACTCGATACGTGATTGAGAGTTGCTTTACCGGTTGGGTCAAGCTGTTTCTTCACGCAACGTCGAAGACAGCAGCAAACTTTTGTTGAGTCTGAGGGAAGAGACAATGGAGACGTCCAAGGCAACAGGAGCATCAGCGTCCGCAGCAGTCAGAACAGTGTCGACAGGAAACTCCGACGAAGCCGCCGCCATGACTTTGAGCAGTTCGTCCGCAGAAGTGGTGGCTTCTGATACTTGTAACAGTAGTCCAGCCTCGTTGCGCGCGGACAGCGCCAGCAGTCACACTGGGACTTCTATGCTGCGGAAGGGCACTACTATGATCAACAGCAGAACCATTCCTGCCTCAACGAGCACCATGGCAAGCATTGGCAAGCACGACGCGGAAGAAGATGCAGGAGTGATTGCAGCTCCAGCAGACACTCTCAATACTAGTTCATTCCAGTCGAATGGCGGACCGGCTGAGATTCCCCCAGAGCCGTCTTCGGAGTCGCTACAACAAGAAGGACGGTCGTCGGTGACAGTGGCCATAGATGGTAACAGCAACGACAATGATGGTGGCGACGGTGACAACGACGTGGACGAAGAACAAGCAGAAGAGGAGGAGGAGGACGATGAGAGTGAATATGAATATGAGGACGACGAAGATGCTGCCTTTTCAGGCTTTCTTGTTGACAACCCACCGCTCGCCGCTAGTCTTTCAGCAGAAGCCGAGACCAACGCTTCTGGAAGTGCCGCTGAACCTGCTCGCATTCGCGATGAAGAAGAGTCCATCAATACTGCCGCTGTCGCCAAGGAGACTACTGGAAATGCCGCTGCCAAGTGGCGAGAACCCTCACGAGCAGCGGTCTCCATGTCGCTTCGCGCCGAAACGGAAAAGACTGGAAGTAAGCGACGCCTTGCTCAGGATCTATACCGCATCATGAACCAAGACACGGAAGAAGCTGGATTCTCCATTGGTCCAAAGTCAGAAGATTGCATGGACCATTGGACCATCAAGCTGTTCAAGTTCGACTCGGACAGCAACCTCGCCAAGGACATGCTCGTACTGGGATTCGAATACATTGAATTGGAAATGACCTTTCCCGATCAGTATCCCTTTGAGCCACCATTCGTAAGAGTTGTCAGACCTAGATTCAAACGACAGACTGGATTCGTCATGAACGGTGCTCTTTGTATGGAGTTGCTTACCAAGGTTTGTTATGATCTCGAATGTACATGTGTTTTTTTATTTTTATGCTTACAAACAAATTTTGTTGCTCGTTGACAGGACGGATGGAATCCCGTAAACGACATTGAAAGTGTGATTGTGTCCATCCGATCTCTCCTGGTGGTTGGAGATGGGCGCCTTCAGGCTGCTCATGACATGCCAGAACCAAAATACCAAGCTCGTCTCAAGGCAAGTAAAAAGAGCTCAGAAGATCAAAGCCGCAAGCGGCAAAAGAAAGATGATGAGTCTGAAAAGAGATCTTCACAATCCCAAGATGGGGGCTCCTACACTGTCGCCGAGGCACATGCGGCGTATTCTCATCTATCTGATTACCACAAAAAGAAAGGCTGGGATTCTTCAGGATGGTGGGCTCGAAAAGGCTAAGCTGTCGTGTCGTACAGGCTAGGCTGACTGTGTGGCATGCAGACGAGATGCATTGCTAAATTTCGGCCGTCGACTGCGGTTGACGATGCTACTACAACAACAGGACTCTCGAACGAAGGAAAGAGGTCGGGAAACAAATGGAAACACAAATATAGTACGAGCTATTGCACCACGAGCAAACCGTTTTGTTGGTTGGTCTTCTTGGGGATGAATGAAATTATGATAATGATTTGATACGGAAATGACACTATAAACAATGATTGAGGTGTTCTGAGATCTTGAACTATGCTCAGTCAAGCCAGGCTTTTCTCGGTTTGTGCGCCACAGATTCTTTGCTCAACAACACTAACTACTAGTAGTAAAGCATGAAACGACATTTTGCAAACACTTCTCGCCAGACTAAGAAATAATAGCATCGAATCGTCTTCTTAATACTGTTCTTGCCCACTACCTAGCTAGCTAGTACACCATACTTTCGAAGTAGCTAAGGAGGTCCGGCGTACTCATGCTCTTTTTCATGTCTTCTTGAGCGCCACCCATGCGGCTCAGATGTTGGATTCGCCGCAACCCCACGCTGGGAGCAACAAGATCATCGGTATCATCAGAAGCTAGGCACATCAGCTCAAATCGGAGGGTCAAACGTATCCGAGCAAACCAGTTGATCCCATGCTTTCCCGTTCTCAACGGGACCCATTCCTCCAATTGCCCTCCTGCGGCAAGGCCATCAATCTTAACATCGGCATCACCCAGGGGATTGTCAATCAAGAGCTTGCGCTCGTATACAGACAGTTGCAAGACACATGGTGGACCCTTCGAAGCACCCCAAAAAGCAGTAAACTGGTGAAAAACAATCCCATTTTCAAAACAACGCCACTGGCCAATGGCCAAATGCAAAAACCTACCTTGAACAGTATCTCTCGATTGCGGTCCAAGCTGACTCCGTCGGAAGTAACGTCCTCCGGTAGTGGGAAACGGAAACGGACTACACTTCCCCAAGATGCAGGGGCATTCGGACCAGACGACTTGGCAAGTTTTATGGGAAGAGTGGCGGCACTGTCCAGCGTACGTGTCTTGCTTGTTAACGGTGCACCGGAATCAGAACGCCGAAGACGAAGCAGAGCGTAGACGGTCAGCGACAAAGATCCTCCAGGTGCAGTCAGATTCTTCAGATCCAGCAACTCTACTTGAACCAAAGCAAGGAATCGTTGAGGCAGACGGATACTGCGGAACAACGAGTTTCTGTAGAGATGCTGTCGAATACTGTTGAAAAAAGGGGCCGGTTCGGTCGCTGCACCGTCGAGGTAAGGCATGTCTCCTCCCTCCCCACGCTCCCATGGTGGGTGAACCGAAGCAATGGCCTTGGTCAAAGATACTCCACCCTTCGCTGCAGTCCACAGTTCCAGAGCAGGAAGGCCTCCAATCTGGCGGAACACTGCCTCGCAAGCCGTAGCCACCTTACCCAGGCTGAAAGCGAGAAACCTCTCGCGACCAATTGACGCACTTTTAGTTTCACCCTCTCGGTTGTCAAGGGCTTCTACTTCCCATGGGTCCACAATTCTGTAACGCACGCCCGTGTCCTCCTCAGGCTTGGCCCCCTTTTGCGCCGAGTATGCCTTGAGCTGTAACCTTGATAGGTCAATCGGTTCGACGACACGAATCATTTCCATGGCATCCAACTTCTCTAGGGCTGCCTCTTTGGTCTTTTCTGAGCCGTGGCTCATCAACCATTCAATTGCCTCACTTTTGCTAAAAAGAACCACCACAGTGCTGTCGCCGCCATCAGCGAGTCGCAGCGTTCGAAAGTCAACTCCGGAATTCGGTTGGATCATTCTTCTTATTACCGAGTCTCCTAGTCCAACTTCCTCCTCAATCAATTCAATGGCAGTTTCTGAAGCTGAAAGAGTGATTTGTGGAGATGAAACGGGGTCTAACACTTCGCCCAAGAACGGGGCAAGCTCGCACTCGGACGCCAGCTCCAAGGATCGGCACCAGGAAAGATACGGGCGGAGCATCCTCGCCGAAGCCGCATAATCTTCGTTAACGGCGCCAGCGCCAACAGTCATCGCATCTTCCTGGTTAAGCGAAGACGTATCAGTCCTTTGGGGGTCACAGACTTGGTCTTCGTACTTGGATGACGCGATGGCACTCAAAGGTTTGCGAATCGAAGAAAGTACCAACAATTCCAAAAACAAGCCGAACACGGATTGACGGAAATCCATAACCTTTTCATCGTGGGCCAACTGGTTGCATTTTACATTGCTGGAGTCCGCCCCATTTGACTCGGTTGGGCTTGCAGTATTTCTTTGCTTTCCAAATAATGTGGTGTCAGTGGCTGATGCCCCGTTGGTGTCAGGCGGATTTTTCACCAAGCTGTCCGCACTTCTCAGAACTAGCTTGCGGAGAAAGACCGCATTTGGGGAAGGCTGCGACCCTTCATCTTTAATTACTCGTTCAGCGGGGGGCTGGTCGAAGCGGAGATCAAAAGGAAGAGAGGCAGAAACTGCTTCCAAAAGCTTCATCAGTGTTCCAAATGGACCGAAGGAGCCGCAGCGAAACCCCGAGTCGGACAAACGGATGATTGCATGCTGCACTACATCATCCTTTTTCACGGTTCTCGCAGGCTTGGGTCGTGGAGGTTTGTCCCCGTCTTGTTGACCTAGCCCATCTGGATCTGCAGAAGGCGGAGCTGGCGCGTCTTTGGTAGGAACGAGATTTGTTTTGAAGCTCAAGGTGAACACGCCATGATCTTCCACATGAGGCCGGATTATGAAGCAACCCGTCGACTTGTGTCGTAGCAAATCAGTCGCTTCTGATCTTCTACAATCAACCAAGAATTCCCATCCACCACTGCTCGCTTTGCCCGTAGACCTACCCTTGCCTTCTTCATGGCTGATAATCTTCAGGCTTGTCCAATGTTGCCGTCCAGCTTCGTTATCCATATGGCAGTCTGGGTCGCTCTTTATCATTGTTTCGAGGCACTCGTAGTTTCGATTCCAACTGGAAATTGCAAAACCAACACGAACGGCAACTATCGCTTCGTTGATGGCAACACCGGAGAGTGGCAGCGCCCCACCTCGATGCAGCCACAGGCACAGCTCTATCTGCCAGCTGAGACGCGACGCCTGTTCTCGCAAGTACAGGCCAGCCATGTGAGAGGCCGTCTTCCCAGATTTCAACGGGGGGTCGTTCGAAAGAGCAAGCGCATCACATCGATTCACTGTGAGGTGCGCCGCATCTCTCAACAGGTCCTCAGCCAGATCTCCACGCTGACAAGACAGGTGTAGGAGAACGGCATAGAACATTCGATTATGGTGATGCGGCGCTGCCAAGAAGCTTAGGGCCAAATCAACGACGGCCTGTTTGTGCATGCCGTGATCGTGACAAATTTTCTCCGAAAGGTCACGAATGCGACCAAGAATCAGTTCGCCTTCACAAGGTAGTTGTAAAACTTCAGCAGCTCCAGGAGGAAGCAGCGATTCGCCAGCTCTTGAAAATGGAGCCAATGGAGGATCAAATGAGTCTCCATGGAGTTCTACCATCAAACACGCAAGCTCCCGAAGAAGGCGCCTTGCAGCCGAATACAGGAGCACTTGTTCTCGCCATTCGCACCAAATTTCGGGTGTCTCTAAAGGTTCGATGGTATCCAACTTCCGCTCTTCTTCTTGTGTTGGCTTTGAATGATTTTTATTCTCGCCACTTGCCTGTTGCGGATTCACAGTGGGGATGGATGAAGCAGCTGTGCTTGTTTTAGTTCCAGGAGCATCAAAGGAATCAAAGATTGAGGATTGCATTTCACCAGCCGTGGATGCGGGTTTTGGCTTTGGTGGTGGGGCATCGAATGAATCAAAGATTGAGGATTGCATTTCACCAGCTGTGGATGCGGGTTTTGGCTTTGGTGGTGGGGCATCGAATGAATCAAAGATTGAGGATTGCATTTCAGCAGCTGCAGATGGGGGATTTGGCTTCGGTTTGGGTGGTGGGGCATCGAATGAATCAAAGATTGAGGATTGCATTTCAGCAGCTGTGGATGCAGGTTTTGGCTTTGGTTTGGGTGGTGGGGCATCAAAGGAATCAAAGATTGAGGATTGCATTTCAGCAGCTGTGGATGCGGGTTTTGGCTTTGGTGGTGGGGCATCAAATGAATCAAAGATTGAGGATTGCATTTCAGCAGCTGCGGATGGGGGATTTGGCTTTGGTTTGGGTGGTGGGGCATCAAAGGAATCAAAGATTGAGGATTGCATTTGGTTTACAGCAGTTTTGGTGGTGTGGCGATGATCGTAGGAGTCCAACATGGACGATGTCATTCCTCCATTCTTGTTCCTCGCTGCGGCTTTTTGATTTTCGCTGTCAGCGGTTGGAGTTTCTCTTGTGTCCCTTGAATCGCATTCGTGCAGCAATAGTCGAACGCACGGAACGTCAACTCCGCATCTCATTAGAATGCGTGACACAACCAACGACGAAGCGAACATGGTTCGCTTGTTCGCATTCATTGCCTTCAAAAGAGTAGGCCCCGAAAGAAAGTTGATCAACTCATTGACTCTCGAGCAAATTCGGACACTAGGCTGCAAGGTGCCTGTGGTGGCAGACGCCGTTGTCCTTTTGTTGTCCCGCGCGCGATCTAAAGCGATTGGAGGCAGCACATCTCCAACATCCGGAAGGATTGACTTGCCATTCTTGTCTCGTGCCAATCCTGCGAGCCAAAAAGATGCTTCCTCGCGTTGATGAAGCCACATCAGTTGCACCGCGGTTAGGCAATTGTCGTCCTTGCTTAGAGTAAGGCCACGGTCCAGCAGCAAGTTCCTTGCGCCGCTTTTCAGTGCTGGCTTCCAATTGCTAAAGGGCTGTTCAGCAATTGCTACTGGGTTGAGCGCTGCTGGAGCAAAAGAGGCATATCCACCGCCACCTCCCAATCCCATAAAGCTTCCCATTCCACCATTCACACCGTTGGTTTGGCTAGTTGCAGATACCTCTGATGACTCCATCAATCTTGCGACCATGAAGGCCAAATTGATATCCTGAAGCTGCGTTGCTATTACCTCCAGCGATGACTTCAAGAAAGGTGGTTCGGCGAGCAGAAAGAAGGCGGCTGCAGTTGTGTACTTTCGCTTTCTCAATAAGCTAAACGCGTTCTTCTCGGCAGCTCGTCTTCCACGTTCGCTCGAAAAATCATGGTCTGTAATGAAACTCAAAAATTTTCGCCCTCCGGCAGATTGGTCTGTCGCCGCAAGATTGCGTAGCGTCCGCATTTTTCGAGCAATAATGAAGAAAAGTGCACATTCCAATATCTCTCGTTTGGCTTTGAAGCTGCTTTGGCCCACTTCTTCAGATAACTTCGCAAGAGCAGCATCCGATCGGATCCAAAATGGGATATTGTATTCTCTAAGAAAGTTCCAATCAACGGTGGCACCAGGGACACGGACAGACTCGATGAGTTCATTTTGTGAATTGCTCATCAATGCACAGAGTGTGGCTGCTGACGGTAAGTGCTCCTTTATTGCGGGGCCATCCATAGGTTTGCTCGCTTTCTTCTTGGTCGAAAACGGCTGAATGAACTCGTCGAACGTACGCTCTTTCTCCTGATCATCACGTGGTATCAGTTTCAATCTCGCAAGCAGCTCTGACGCCAAAATGAAGAATTCCCCCATCGTATCTACCGAGTTGAAATTAGGTCGTGCTAGAACAACTTCGCCAATCACCCAGAGAATTCGAAGCTCATCAGGAGTAAACGAGTTCAGTGCAGACGGCAAAGAAGCTGGCCGTGCATCTGCTACCCTGGAGGGATCCTTTTGCTTGTAATCATTCTGGGAGAATCCATTCTCTAATACAGACTGCAGTTTTCGCAACCTCATCTCGTCTTCGTTTGGTTCTTCTTGGGAGACCCTCGAAAACATATCGGAGCTGGACTGCTTGGGTTTGGCTTGCAGCTTAAATCCATGGCCATCGTCACAAGGCTCTTTCAAGTGCACAGAAGACAATGACGAAAGTATCGCCTGTTCCGAATGCAAGGCCTTCAATGAATCACCGCTTGATGCAACGCAAGTTGACAACCAGACAAAGTAGCTTGCGACCCTTTTATACAATGAATGATTGGGCCCTTGGACGTCCGTAAATAGCCTGGCCAACAAGGAATCAGGATGCCAGTCAGGACGAAGATACTGGGTTTCATCGCAGTTGTGGACAATGGATCGCATAGCAGAGACCAAGTGAGGGAAAGTGTCCAAAGGGTTCACAATTCCGTGAGAATGTGTCGACAATGTCGAAACTCCAGAGCCGGGAATACTCGTGTATGATATCACTCGGATTGGATTCCAGTGCAGCAACCCCGGTAGTCGTTGGAATACTACCATCTCTGTGCGAGTAAATGTTGCCAGAAGCGGAAACGAGTCCAGAAAACCAGATTGTATGAAGCACAATTCCACGACATCGACGTGAGCACCAAGAGCCAAATCAACTCCAACGTAATCGTTCATTTCCGCCGACTCGTCATGTCTGCCCCCTGACGGATGAGGCCTTGCCGACCAGACTGTCACTGTAGGTAGCTCGCCAGTCTTCCATCGCATTGTCGCCATTAGGTCGATCGACGACGCACGCACAGTACATGTATCGAACGGGATGCTGCCAAATCGGAAGATGCCATAGTGTCGAAAAGTTACAGCGTTGTCCTCCTCGCCCAATGACGCGAAAATAAGGCTCACGCTGCCAAGATCGTCACATACCGCAAGCGATTGGCTTTCAGTCCCAGTCACAATCATTGACATGCTTTGAACCATAGGTTTTCGGTTACCGTCGATTCTCGAAACGTTTGAAGACAAGTCAAACATTCCCAAATTACTGACTTTTGCTTTGTCAGGATTGCAATCAGCAGCAACTTCCAACCGACGGGCGTGTATCCTACAACCCTCCGAGAAGAACAGCAAGGCTACGCCGCGAACATCTACATTCGGAGACCCATTCCCAGTTAACCAAGGCAGCAGAACAAAGCAGGATTGAGCTGTCTCGCTACTTGAGGTTGATGAGAGAAACTTCCTCCCAACGGCCACAAGCCGACAAAACTCTTGTTGCAGTTCCCCTTCTGCACCCACAAGGACGGTTGCATTACTGCCGCCGTCACTGTTTGTGCGGCTCAAGAGGCTTCCAAGACTGCCTCTTGATTCTATTCGTTGATGTGGAGATGATTGGCGAGTGCCGCTAGTCACCGAACTGGCTGCGCTGTCTACCCGAATCCTCCGTTGTGGCCCTCCACCCACCCCTAGTATTTGCTCCATTGACCGACGGGATCCATCAGACTCTTGTACTTCCATCGAGAAAGGATCAGGATTATCAAGGCTTGCTTTCCTTCTTCGGCCGTTGACCCGCCTAAACCTCATGGAAAGTGGATTGCCGGCTCCTGCGTTCGCACCCACCTGTCGTACAGTGGAAATGATTTCATCAAAGGAGATGCCTTCCAGTCGAACACCGTTGACGCTCAAGAGCTCGTCGCCGAGGACTATCATGCCCAATTTTTCTGCGGGTAGGCGACCGCCTGTCAAAGGGTGTTTTTTGTAAGAGCCGGCAATTGCAGGCATGCCATCCATTTGAGACTCTAACCTCAAACCTAATCCGAAGTCAGGGTGGGGGGTTATCATCACGTCGTATTCTTTCGGCTGCCCAGACTTTCCTTCGTCATCGCTATCATTGTCTGCCCCCGTTGCAGTGCCAGCAGCAGATAGCTCGGGAAGGGAACCATGAGACTCGACTCCGTTGACACTCCCTGAGAAATCCAAGAAAGGATCAGCAGTGGGCATGGGTGGTTCTTGTGCGCTCCAAGGTGGAGGAACTTCAAAAACCATTAAAACTCCTGACGAAGTAACAACGACCAACATGGGTGGACCACCAAAGTTCTCATCTGGCCACCACATCACTGCTTTTACTGTGTCTTTCCCCATAGTGCTGGACGGCAAGAACACAGGAGGCAAAGAAAGAGGGGCTGGAACCAGACTGCAATCACGAAAGTACTCCGCAATTCCCACACTTTCCAAAGCCGGTTCATCCAGTGCCTTTTCGTAATCATGCGGTTCCCAAGAAGATGGACAGATGGAGAATGTGCCTTGTTTCATCCAAGATAATGAGATGGACGTTGAATCAGACCTCACTTTTGCCACCAAACGGTTAGATTCGTAGTCAGTGGAAGCAAATATTGCCTGCGATGATTGTTCTGGTATGCCAGTAATCTTGCCGAAACTATCAGTAGCTCCTTGCTCAATATCAGGAAGTGACAAAACATAACGAACGGCACTTCCAAGCTCCAGCTCCCCCAAGTCACGATTCCCCCACAAAGGGAATTCCATAACAACCACATTCCCACACAAAGCGTGCGACGCCACTATCCGCAGTTCGTTCGGAGGACTATGGGTGCCGCCCAAAATACCTTCACCAAACGGACCACCGGAGGTCGCCGATGGGCCAGACGACAATCCCAAAAAGGCCATGGCTGACCCGCTCAAGGTTTCTTCCGAGTGTACGTCTGACGTTTCGGATAACCAAGGGTTCCATGCCGGCCATATACCGTGAATAGACAAGCAATCGTCGCCTGAATTCAGGATATTTTCCGCAACCATGGATCCAGAAGGCAGCATGGAAGCAACACTCTCAAACAATGCAGGATGCATGGTTTCACTGCCACGTTTCAAGAAGCTCAACCGTGAAAGCCTCAATGCTGGAAGCACTCCGGAAAAAGTTGTCTCAGCAATCCATGCTCCAGCTGCAGACGAGGGCGAAGAATTGTGTAGCAGCTGACGACCACTTTGCAGCAGACTTCCAGCTGCAACGGCGTTGGCATCGTCTGAAAGAGTTGCTGAGCTAGGACTCCGACTGGGAGGTTTGGATTCGGGTTTGTTTGGCGCCAATCTTTTTTGGGTTTCCAGGTCACCTAAACTGAAGGCAGCAGCTCCTCGAACCCAATCTACTCGAGTATTTGGCGGCGTAGTCCATTCCACAAGTCGATTCCAAGTTTGTTGATTGTAGATTCTAGCAACGCAGTCATGCATGGAGTATGTCAGCAATAGGTCGTTTCCCTGCTCTTCGTCGGGTTCGGTCATGGCGCTGGCAGTATTGTGTCCCAAACCACGGAATGAGATCCTGGTGACCGATTCGGAGTGCTCCAGAAAGGGTCCCTGCTTGAAGAGTATTCCGACAGAGGCTGTTCGTTGCAGTTTTGTTTTGGGTTGTTGGTGGTGGTGCCCTTGAGTTTGGACTGTTTCCTGCACCAAACTTCCGTCTTCCCTGTCTCTCAGAAAGGTCTGAACACCACATATCCTTCCATAAAGACCTGCAGTCCCAGAGTCTAGCACAACGGCCAAAGCTTGACCATCGCCCGAGATTGCTGCAGTTACAATTGGTCTGATTGTTGTTGTTGTCCACAAAAGTTGTGCCACGGGTGGAGTTGTGTTTGCTTCTTGAGTCGGTGTGGAAGTAGGAGCTTGTGGCGTCGTTTGGTCCATTTCTCCCTGATCAGTCTTTGATTTTTCCGTATTCACATCAACGTCAAAGACTGCCAATTGGTTTCGATGGGTTACAAGTAATTTTTGGTCCTGCGAGGACGCGAGTAGCAAATTTTGTCCCGGTCTTCGGACGTCGCGTTGACTCCGAATGACAACGTTTTCGCCTGGCTGGTAGAAGACTTTGCTACAACGAATAGTGACGCCGTTTATCCACCTGAATCTTCCGAAAGCGTGAATCTCTGGATCGGTGGGTACAGGCACGTAAGTCTGAATGGTTCCATCTGACAGGGCAACAGCAATCAATCCCGAAGTTTGATTGGCCATGACAGTGACAATCTTAGTATCGTCCAAAGTTGGCGGCAAATCCAAAGTTTGAAAGACCAACCTAGTCCTTGCACACATGCCATATATTTTCCACAGGGGGGAATGAGTAGAAGCAAATATGACTTCCATTCCTCTGTACGTAAGTGAACAGAGCATGGAAGGATCGTCGGCTTGGGTTTTCTGTTTTGCAGCTGCAAGTGCTTCGGCAGACACGGCAGCAGCTGCATGTGTCATGCTGCTGCGAATGGCGGCCAAAGTGCGTTTCTTGACAGCAGCACTTCTAGGGTGAACTCCCGGAGCCTTTGTTTTGTTTGTTTCATTTTCATTTTTTCCTTCCGAAACGTCCTCTTTTGATTCAATTCTGCCTAGTTCATTTGGAGGTCTGAGCGCCCCAGGACGGGTAATACCAGATGCAGTTCCAGTTCTGGCGACGGGTGTGTTGTTACTTCTAGCGGTGCCTCCTGCTGTGAAGGTTCCCGGCGCGTCAGCAGATATTGTCATTTCTGTCATGGCGGAGACTGTGTGGCGATCCATCGATTGGGGCATCACTGGAGCTGCCAGCGACGTCGAGGCAGTCAACGAGCCATCGGTGCTTCCACTGGCACTGGCGCTACTGGCAGCTTGTGATCGATAAAACCCTTCAGTAGATCGGGTACGGTTGCTGCTGGTGTTCATTCTGTTCTTGCTTGGTGGTTGGTTTCCTTTTCAATGCAATAGACAAATAAATTACCAACGATCATGGGAAATTCACGCATGGACACTTTCGACTCGACTCTCGAAAAATCGAATTGCCAATGGCAAGACTTCTATCGCTCTCTCTGATCAACTTCCCATGCAAAGCGTTGTGGAGGTGTCGGAGTGGTGCAGTTGTGGTTGTGATGGTGGATCTTCTTCCTTTGGCTGTTTGACCAAGCTGGATGTGCGGTGTCACGTTACTTGACTAGCCACTAGTAGCTAGCCGCCTTGGCTCATTCCAGCAGATCTTGCTGGCTCGGCAACAGATCTATCCGCTGACGGGTTGCCATGTCATTATCAGCTGCACCAAGTAAGCCAGTGCGTGTTAAATGTACATCTTCGTAGTACATTTATCCGCGGGGCTTTCAACGGCTGGAAAAGCTCCGGGTGGCCATGCTCAAATCATTTCGTTTATTCACCATTTGAGAAAAAGAAAATTCTGCTTCTCTGATGATTTTGATTGAGCTCTAACTAAACTTGTCTTACTTGAACGATGAAGTGGAAGTTGCAGACATCAGTCTCTCAGCTATGCATCATTTTGTTGATTCTCTTGACTGAATCATCCCAAGTGTTGGCATCCTTTTGTGCCACGGGTCCTTTTGCTTGTAATGAAAGACAAGGCTTGGTTGTGCAGCGGTCTACGAGGTCCACACGGTACAAGATACAAGCTGTCTCTCCAGACAATATCCCCAGTGAAGTACATGTAGATACGGTCCAGATACAGAAAGCTGAAGCCTTGGAACTCACACACTGGACGGAAGTCGCCACTGCAAAGTGCCAGGAATGGATTCAAGCCGTGGATATCAAGCAAACTACTACGTTCTTCCTCCTTGTTACAATCTTCCTCTTGGGCGTCCGTCAGAGACAACAAGGCATTGAATTCGGAAAGGCCACGTCGCAGCTCAAGATTGATCACCTCAAAGATGAGCTCCAGACAGCAAAAGACAGTGCCAAGAGTGAAGATGAGCTCAACGCAGGGAAACTCAACGAATTGCACTCACAGATGGTAGGTGACCTTTGCGTAGCGGTACAAGTACATGACATTGTATTCAACCGAACCAGCAACTCGTGTACAGAGTGAAGTGATTGATTCCATTCTCATCAATATTGCGTTTCCAGGATGAGTTGCAAGTGCGGGTTGGGACACTCGCTGTTGCTGCTCAAGAAGTGACACGGCAGCTGCCACAAGAAAAGGCCGATCCAAATACAAATAGCAAAGCTAAAAACCTTCCAAGGAGGAAAGCAAAAGCAGAACAACTATCTTCCAGTTCTAAAAAGAGGTCAGAGAAAAGGGGCGTCTCGCCACCAAGGGCAGCGAAAGGGTCCAAGGCTTCGTTCGCAGAATCTGACAAAGAGAACACAAAGAAGAAGGAGACGAAACCAGCAAAGGCAACAGGGGCTGCCAAGGCAACAAGAGGTGTAGAGGCGGACGGGAAACCCGAGACGAAGGAAACTCGGAAAGTTGTAGCAAAGAACCAAACAAAGACAACAAAAGTGACCTCCAACAAGACGAAGGAAGCTACAAAGCTAGATTGGGCCAGATTGGCTCCATCCACTCTGAAACGAAAGACTGTGAAAGAACTAACGGGCTACTTGGAAAAGAAGGGGATTCAAGTAAAAGACGAAAATGGGAAAACGTTCAAGAAAGACACCCTTGTGCACTTGATACTAAATGCATCAAAATAGGTCTCCAAGCTGCTTGCTCGATGGAATACCGTATGTCAATCAAACCTTTCCTCGCAAATCCCATGCCATGCTCACTAGCTGTACTTCGTGGTACAGTCGTACGGGTACTTGTTGCCGAAGCTCTGGTTCCCTCCCTACTTCCTGTGAACCACGGAGCATCACAAGTTGAAAGGCAAGAAGAACGAACGCAACCACCTACATGGCTTCGCTACTTGCTTGACCACACACGTGTTGATACCGGTACCGGTATGGTACCAGTGTACCGGCGAAGGTCATCTGGTAGCTTCAACTTACAACTTGTCCAATTAGCTCTTTTTTAAGACTTTTAAACCAGGAATGTAGCGAACATCTTGTCTATCGGTCCTCCGGGGACCTGCCTCCTTCCATCTATTGCAGTTGACGTGACACGACGTTATGCCCACAAACTTGAAACACACAACGCTGCGCCAAATATTCATTCGAATGGCTGTCGTTTGCACAATTCGTTCTCCGAAGTCTTTTTACAAAGAAATTTGTGAAACTACAACTTCATTTCATCGCTCGCTATGCACATTGGTAATCGCAGCCGGCAAAAACGTTGAGCATTGTTGTGGGGCGTGGAAACAAGCAAAGAAAAGCACCCTTTCAAGTTATGATCCCACCCAGAACTCAAATGTACCAACGAGTTCCATCGCACTTCGATTTGCCGGGAGGATCCGGCGTCACCATGACGGGCTGCTGCTGCTGGTGATGATTGTGATGCTGCTTCGATTTTGGTTTGGCCGTCTCGGGAGTGGGTGGAGCACTCCTTCTCGACTTGCCACTGCCATTGCGATTGCGTGTTCGCGCACTCAATAATCCATCGGCTTGTCCTGCCCGTCCCACGACTGCTTCGTCGTCAACATTGACGACGCGACCGGAACCATCGACATCGTCTTGGCATGGCATGATACCGGCACCACCGCTAATGCAGTTGAAGGATGTTGTCAATTTGGAGCAGATTTGTTTTCCGCTTTCCAGGCTTCCTTCGACAGCACCTAGCTGCCACATGCGTTGTTCAATTTCCTTCAAGAACTGTTGTTGCGGGCCAATGACACATCCTGGCCGACAGATTCTCATCCATGCAATGACTTCCGAGGCCGTGAAACGGTAGTGTTTCATCAAGTACGCCCCGATACAGGTTCCTGTTCGACCCAACCCAGCCTTGCAGTGTACGGCAAAGGCTTCTCCCACAGGGACGCTTTCGAATCCTTCAACCACTCGATCCAGGATCTTCATGGGTGGACAACTGCCATCGACGTAGAATTGTTCGAGATGATTAATCCCAGCCTTTTGAAAGTCTTCTTCGTGGTACGCCTTTCGATTCAAGCGGACAACGAGTGAAACGTGTTTCTTTTTGAAGTATGGTATGTAATCCGAAGGAGCCAAAGTACAGTAGCCTTCCGGAGAAACCCGTCTTTCGTAGCTAGGTCCCGCGAATGCCAAGATTTTTCCGTAGACGATCCAATTCAAATCTCCGTTCTATGATATATATATAAAATAGATAGAGATAGCGGATCGAGGAGCAGAAGCACAAGAACACGAAATGAGAAATGAAGCATTCCCCCTCACACTGGATGGCATAACGGCATTGCTGTGTACCTAATACGGTGCGTACCTCGACTTGTTCAAAATGTTCGTATTCTTCGACATCAAAGTCTTGAAAATCAAAGAATCCATATCTGTGTGCCTTGTCCAATCCCTTGAGGCAATCCCAGACGGTCAATTCGTATGTACACGCACAGGGAGATGCATCATGAAAGGGAGGAAGTGGACTGATGGTTGGGTTCGCCCTTCGTGAGAGAGGCGGGGCACTTGAATTTTCGGCCGGAGGGACGGGGAACGCCACACTGGACGCCAATCGAAATCCATTGAGTGCCTGTTCTGGAGTCCGCTGAAGATACAAGATTTGCCAGCATCCAATGAGGCAGACAGCGTTTGCTCTTTTGGCGGGAGCGGTGCTGGAATAGAAGCATATGATGTGATTGGGAAGGTTTTGAAGTTTCTGATTGAGTTTGGTGCAGAATCGGTAGAGTTGACCAAGGTTGAGAGGTCCAAAGTCTAGGAAGAAATTCCAGTACACGAGTTCATTGTCGATGGAGTAGTAATGTATTTGTTTCTTTTGGCCTTTGGCGTCTCTTCGAAAGGACGCATCCTGAGTGGGCCGGCTCTTGGTGGCCATGTAGTAAACACGGTCCTGCAATTATATTTAACCATACAACACGAGAAGATCAGATATGCAACGACACGAGCTTCTCTCCGCAAAGGAGACCAGAGATCGATCGATCGATGGATCGCCGACATTCGAAGTGCTTACCTCAACAATTTCGACTGCTGGTCGGAGCGGATTCTTAGCCATGGTTGCAGGTGCAGTATACACTGCAGCAGAGTGAAGACTACGAGGAGCAGCTGTGGTGCTGCTCGAAGCCTGGGTTGGGGAAGGACGGAACAGAAAAGAAACCATAATAATGAGACAAATGCTTGACAGAATACCGGTAGCTAGATAAGAGTGTATCGGTTGAACCTTCAGGAAACAGGCCCATCCCCGTCTCCTTCATGGATCGAACAACCCACCCACACCAAGCATGCACAACACCACTGCTGCAAACACTCCTTTCGGATCGCTTTCCCCATTACTTACCAGCGTGTGGCGATCGACTTCTGTGGCCATTGTGGAACACCTTCAATGAAATGAACGGATCGGATAAGATAAGATAAGATAAGATAAGATACAAAGACGAAGAACAAAAGAGGAATCTGCCTTGGCTACCACCAACGACCAGCGGCTCGGTTGTTCTTGTGGCAAGATCAAGACATGGCACCACCACTTTTCGTTCTTCTGCTGTCGACTGCCACCGCTACTGATTCACTGTGACTACCACATCATTTTCTAATTGCAATCCGTAGCAGCATCGTTTTAGAGAGTCACGCAATAAACACCGTAAATGGCGAATCATGCCGGCTGACGTTTGCAACTGAACGGATCAATGTTGACATTAATCAATGAGGACAGCAATCCAAGATACTTAGACTTATCGCAACGGCGACGATGATTTGTTAAACCATCTCACATACTAGCTCACATTTTACTTTTTGGCCGTGAAATCGGAACAGCGATGACAGATATCGATGTGCCATGTCACCGGTATCATTGATCACACCTACCGGTACCTGCCGGTATGCCATACCAGGTACATGTATGTATGATACTACCATAGTATGATACAGCCAAATGATTGATTCATTCGATTCTTTGAATCATCCATACTCTCTAGTGCAAACCTAACCTGGTACTGGTACCGGTAGCTCAGCTCATCACGCACATACAGTATGCATACTAGAGTATTGGCTTGCAACCAGCAGCACCAGAGACTTTTTAAAAAAAGGCTGTTGTAGCCGTACCGTACATGTGCATCGCTGGGCCATGGGGTTAAAAGGGAAAGGGGGTGGTACCGGTACCGTACTCGTGTACTGCATTCCCTGGTACCCGTTCATAGACATCATCTCCCAACTCCCAAGCTACCGCTACATAAATTTACCCTGGTTAGAATTTAAGCTTGCGTTTGCGCTTCGATTCTCGTTCTTTCACACCGTCAAGGATCGTTGCAAAGAAACTCTTTTCCTCTTCCTTACCACTATCCTTCAATTTATTCTTGGATCTCGTGCTCACACCGGATGTTCTCGTCGCATGGCGAGCATTGCTGCCGCCTGTAATAGCAGATGGTGCCGAAGAGTTGCTCAGTGAATTCAACGCCGAAATTGCTTCCAAATCGTTGGCAGAAATCCTTGACCTGGCAATGGAACGGTTGCTGCGGTTCGGATCCACGGAACAAACAACAAGCAGAGCGAAGCAAGCAAAGCAAGCAAGCATTTGTCAGAAAACTGGGTTTCAAAGGAAGCAAAATCAAATCGAATCAAATCGAGTCAGCTCAACAGAAACAACGCACTTTGTATTCCCTTCGGTGCCGAGTGACCGACGACTTTCGAGATCTCCAAACTCAAAACCATCCAATGTCCCGTTGCCTCCCGCAAAAAGTTCCGAGTTGACTTCCGGTGACCCATCCAAGTCATCCTCGTCTTCTTCTGATATCCGACTCTTCTTCGAATCACCAGAAACACAAGCGGAGTCTTGGTCCGATGAAGAGCGGGGTCGGCGCCGCAACGGCGATTTCAACATTGGTGAAGGTACCTTGCTAGGCTTCGATGCGAGTGATGTCGTCGTGTTGCTACGCTTTGGCGTTGCCGCAGCTGTTACATCTTTGCTCTGCCTTGCCGCCAGTCGTTTCGAAGACCGTGTCGAAATGAGCGAAGTTGTGCTCTTCCGCTTTGTCCCCGACCGGGTCATAGTCATACTAGACGTTTCGTCTTCGGCTTCTTCGTTGTCACTTGGCGTTCCATCTGGCTTTTCCTTGTCGCTTAGCGCGGAATCTACTTTTCCTTTGTCATTTGGCTTCGCACTGGGATCCTTGACCTCAGCGGTTGCCGTACATGCTGGCTCCGGCTTTCCCAAGCGATTGGCAAGGGTGTCCACAATTGCGGCCCTTGGTTTTTCGACTGTGGCTGTACCCGGCATTCCCAAACCATTCGCAAGGGTATCCACAATCTCAGCTTTTTGTTTCTCAATCTCGCGTGGAGACGGCTCTGCCAAACGATTGGCGTGGGTATCCACAATCTTGGCACTTGGTGGTTTCTTGGCATCGACTGTAGGCGGTTTTGCCAGACGATTGGCTAGGGTATCCACAATCTCAGCCTCATTCTCCATCAAATCGTCCATACCAGCATTATGGGACCAATCCGCTTCCTTGGCGTCAACCGCAGTTTTCGCAGAGACTGAAGTCGTGGGCTTTCTTTTGGAGTCAAATGAATTTGGCAGCCGCTGAAGTGTTTGTTGCGCTTTTCCAGGTAGTGCCTGCGAAGGAAGAGGCGGCTTGGGATGTGTTTGAGTTGGTCGCTGGGGTTGGGGTCTCGGTGCTTGCTGTTCCTGGTGTTGATGCGGCAGTCTTGCTTGATGCGGCTGCTGCATCTGTGGCTTCCCTGCAACTGCATGTGGTTTTCCTGTCGGAATTTTCTGGGGAGGACGAGGCTGGTGATGTGGATGAGCTGGTGCATGTTGAGGTCGCGGCAACAGTGGCCGACCTTGCTGATGCCCCGACGTGGAATATCGTGTATGAGGGTGTGCACTTGGCCCACCTTGCTGTCCCGGAACTTGCTGCCATGATACTTGGTGCTGGCCTGGCACATGCACTTGCTGCTGCCACACCTGACGTTGCATCATTCTCCTTTGCATGTCTTTCCGATTGTTCTGCCTAATCTTTGCCGCCATTTTAGTGACCGGATCGCCCCCTTTCAATTCCCTTTGCACTGTTGCTTTCGCGCGACGCTCAAGCACTTGATACCGCTTGCGCAAATGGCCGCGGTCACGATGAGGAATCAAGCGAGCCCCAATCTCTGCCCACATGTGGCCCATTAGAGGTACGGCCCGTAGAAGAGTCAGGTCCTCTTCTATCGACCAGCGATGAACATTTAGGATTGCAGGGGCTTTAGGCTTCTTGATAAGCGCCACCTTTTCGTCGTCGATATCGTCGACGCTTTCGAGTTTGGGAGGTGTCAACAGGTCACCGGTTACCTTGTCAATTTTGATCCCATTTGCCTTGTACAACATGACGCACAGCTTCGAATAGCGTTGAGAAATGACGTTGATCGATCGATCCGGCAGGAAACGATCTGCAATGAGTACCCACTGCTTCTCTCCATACAAATTCACGCCACGCAATAGAAGGTTGTCTGAGGGGGGAAACACGATGCGAAGGTTCTGTACAATGAGTCAAGCGAACATAGTTTACAACAACATCATCTCTAGGCCTGGAGATATCATGATGCCTTACCCTCCCCGCTGGTGAAAATTGACTTGAACCTGCGGAAGAATCTTTCTTGCTCATCAGTCATTGGAGCCTGAAAGTCATCTCCGAGATACTCTTGTGATGAAGTGACGAGTTCCGATACGTCACGTTTTCCTGGAATCAAATGTTCTTCGTAATCTGCCTCTGAATGTTGCAGCATTCTTCGGCACACTCTCGTGTACTAGATAGAGAGAGACGGATAAGAACAATAAGTGAGAGGTGATTGCACGTGGCATCATCAATTTGCATCGCCACTCAAAACCCACCGGTTCCTCTTCGCCATATCGTGCCTGTGAGGGCTCTATTTCTGTTCCAATGCTCCGGTCAAGTGCTTGAAAGGTTTCCTGTAAGTTTTGAAGGCCCTTGATGTTGAAAACGCTTTTCCGATTCGAAGCATGCTGCTGCAAGCTCTTGGAGAATGCTGCCCGAGTCAAGCGGCGTTGGTTGCGAGGAGCAGCAGAATCGCAAACGTCCATGGGAGACAATTCTTGCGAAGGCGGTGCCACCTTTTCAACCACCTTCTCCACCTTCCCCTCGCTGCTGTCAAGGACCCTGCTGCGTTGGACGGCGTCACTTTCTTCAAATTGCAGCGCGTGTCTGATCGCGTCTTTTCGATTCTTTACGGCAAAGAGAGGCAATGCAAGACTGTGAGCACGCCAAGGTTTTTATTTGCGACCCCTCTCTGCCCGATATCTCTCAACACCCTACCTGATCCAAGTCTTGAACCATTCCGACCGCAGAATCCAGGACTTGTATGAGGTCGTCGATTGCTTCCAAAGATAAGAAGTCTGTTTTGTCTCGAACTCGTGACGTTTTGGCTTCATGCGCAGCTTGGATTGCCAAAACGGCTTGTTGTACGAGAGTCTGGTAGTGCCGATTTAACAATGTCTGTAACCGTTGCACCTGCTCTGGGGTGACAACTGCCTTTGTTCTCATCCCCGTTGCTTTTCTCATTGGTGTAGTTGTCCTCAGGACAGATGTAGCAATCACGTGTTCATCGGCGGTCCCCCCTTTCTTGGCCTTTTCGGGTGTTTGACTGTTTATTGCCTCTTCCGCAAAGACTGTTGACAAGCTCTCGCCGTCACCCCTCTTGCCTTCTTCCTCTTCTTGCGGATATTCGTGTTTCTGGGAATGCGCATACGACGTGGAAGTTGTCCCCAACAAGCTCGCTACGGCAGCCTCAAGATCTTCCTCTTCAAGACCCCCCAGTTCTTCTTCTAGTTCCCGGTAAAACAGTGGATCAAACTCGGGCAAATCCAACGTCCACGACGAACGTGTTTTTCTGGGAGAAGAAGGTGTCTCCGCGCCCTGAGCTACCAACTCCGCTTGCTTGTTGTAGTCTTCGTTGGAAGAGGCAACGTTGTTGTCTGCGCCATTGTCGTCTTTTGCTGGAACAATTGCTTGCTCTGTATCACCATCCTCGTCCTCTTCGTCTTCTTCGTCCTCTTCTTCCATATTTGTGAGTTGAAAGTCTTCTTCCTCGTCTTCATCTTCGGGCATCATCTGAACACTCTCGCTATCTTGCAATCCCAGACTCTGTACGAATTTGATGTAATCTTCGTCTGCCGCATCGTAATCCAAAGCATCCAATCTCAAAAGCGAGGGTTCCATTGTCGCTTCATTATTTGTATCACCACCTGCTGTCGCTGATGGAAGAGTCTTGGTAGTAGCGATTCTTGCTGCGAGACTTGCCGATGCCGAAGGCATTCTGTAGTTATGATTTATCGGCATGGTGACAATGGTCGAAACCCCACTCGACGTTGTCGGTTCTTCCCTCCGTGGAGATCTTTCGCTGTTTACCTGCCTGTTGCGTCCCCTCTCAGTCTTTTCGCTGCGAGCAGTGCTTGTTGCAGCAGTGTTCCGCAATGGTGTGGTTGCGTTTGTTGTTGTTGTTGTTGTTGTTGTTGTCGAGGATGGTTTATCAGGGCTTGAAGGTGGTGCTTTTCTGGAAGTTGTGGAAGACGTTTGATTATTATTGTGATAAGACTGAGTTGTCTGTTGTCCCGCCTGATGGTGATGGTAGGAGTATGGGTATGGATATGATGGATAGGGAGGATTGTTTTTCGCATTGCTATTATTAGATCCAGCATGATTCGACTGAGGTGGTGGGTAATGCGGTGGGTAATAAAAATGCGGTGGATAAGGATACGGAGGAGGATACCCATGAGCGTGTGGACTTGGACTTGTCGGTGGTGCGTGTGGTGCGTGTGGATAGTAGACAGGGTGATGCGGATAATTACTCGGATTGGTAGTAGTATTGGTCGCGGAAGCAGCTTCGTTGGATGCTTTCTGGCTTTGAGATGGCGGCGGCGGATGGTGTTGGGGAGGGTAGTAATAGGGGTGATGGTTTGGATAGTAATGTCGGGGATGCTTGTGGTGTGGAGAACTAGTTTTTCCACTGTTTGTGCCTTGGCTCCCAGAACCAGATTTACCACCAGTCGTTGTACCTGAAGGCGCAGCAGCAACAGCGGCAGCAGCAGAAGCAGAAGCAGCAGGAGGAGGATACCTGCCTCCCGTGGATGGACTGGTAGCAGTAGCGGCTGCGGCTGGAGTTTTTCGTGTGTTTTGGAGTGTGCTGCGATTACTGTTGGAAGTAGCCGAAGCCTTCGTGCTCTGGCGTGTCGGCGTGTTTTTCTTTTGTTCTGATGCCATCGTTGCAGCTATCCTCGTGTATCTCGACACTCCTTGTAAGTCAAGTCGTCTTGATTTTATGAACACTGCCGACCTCCTCGCGTCTGATCCTTCGAGTTTACAGCAACTGTTTGACACACCGTCTACTCTACCAAAGACACTACCGGTACTAGAATGATAGCTCGAGCGGAATCAATCGTTCTATCCGTCACAACTGTTACTTGATCAGCACTCAAAGTCAAAGGATACGGTACTACTAGCTAGTAGAACAGGAAAAGGAACACAGCTATATCGAAGCAGCTAGCTAGACTAATATATCGAAGCCGGGTTGCAATGGAAGCAGCAAACGAAGGTTTTAGGCGCGCGTCCGCGCCGCTTTCAGGTTGTTTCCAATTGACGATGGCATCAACTACACGGCAGATGTGCGACCGATTGAAATAAGGTGCCAGTCCTAGTACGCTACCAGGTACAGTACGGTACCGTCCGAATACTAGCTAGTACATGTAGAAGCAATCCAGAGACGAAAACAAAACATAGTGATACCGGCACATGTAGCATACCGGTACCACTCATACCACTGATACACGGCAATGTCTTCCATCCAAAAGATTTGCTTCTACCCATGATTCGCTCTACAAGAAGAAGCAAGCTTTAGCTAGGATGGCCCACAAATGTCTCCTGCCACTCCCAGCAGCAGGCCTATATACCCCTCAAGTAGCTTCTTTCAGTAGATAGTAGCCCTGTGCAGGGGCCGCCTTTGGACAAGCAAACTCTAGAGGACAAAAGCTCAATGCATTTGCTCTTTGAAAATATGATTTTCTTTCTCCTTTCTCTCCTCAGCACAAGCCAACGCAAGGTTCCAACCTGCAATCCTCTTTTACTACATACATGTGCATGCACACATCATGATAATATTCAAATAAATTGGATGCTGTTGAAACCCTTGGGACCAGGTGGTGGAGTTGGCATGGTGGGAAAACATTCAATAGCTTGGATGGCTTGACGCTCACTTTTCTAGATGACGAGTCGCCCCGCTGACTGCCAAAGCCAATATTTTAGATTTAACAAATCAAAGGAAAGACTTGGTAATTAGGCAGATCATTCCATTGCCCTCATATGAAAATGCGACGGTTGGTCCTCCCCAGTCATGGCAACGGCCGCAATCACAACATTGACGAGGCGAGGTGATCTTCTCATCAGCCAGCTAGAGCTACGACTGGCTGTAATAGCTTCTCTGCTCTTAGCTTGTCAAGCAAGACATCCCTGTCTGTCTCTTTCGTTGCGTGCAGTGCCTCTCTACTACTAGCTAGCTTAGTAGTAGCCTATTAGAATAGAGCTCTAAGTTGGCTACCGGTACCGATAAGCAACTAGCTACACTGTGTAGAGCGGAAAACAGGAATCTACAATACCAAATCATCAGTCGGTCGTTGAAGGGCTAAAAGGCATCGCATCGAATTGAATCAATCAATCAGTTCGGAACAGTACCGGTAGCACACAATCGGAACATTTGACCCAAGCAAGTCAACAGTCAACCGCAACACCATGGCACAACCGACATCCTCGCGGCGAACAAACACGTCGTCATCACGAGCTCGGTCGTCCTCTCGGCCGCCTGCCTCAGGGCGTAGTTCAGGACATTCGACATCCACCAATCGCACTGCTACGTCCTCTCCCAGACCAGCAGGCAACGATTCCTATCATCATCGACCGTCTCGACCGAGCAGTCGACAATCCGCGCCTTCTAACAGCCGCCGAAGAAGCTCCAGTGAAAATCGATCTCATCCCAAGACATATCATGTGCGCTCGAATCATCAACAAAGTCGTCATGGACACGGACATGTCTCTGGCGTTGATTCGTCTTCAGACGTCGGATCAGAAGCTTCTTCCGGCGGTTACCGACGATCTCATCCAGAATTCTGCGGAAGTAGCAACAACAGCAGCACTCATCATCATCACAGAGATGAACAAATGTCTGCATCGGGTATGAACAAGAACTCGGCGACACGCAAATCACTTAGATCGCAGTATTCCGGGGACGAATCACCCGTCTTCAAGCGTTCCTCGGTTCACAGTGATATGTCACAGAATAGCAAGGCAGCCAAGAAAGTCATTGATGGTAAGGCATCCACACTCGGATGGGATGATCGCTCATCTATCAGTATATTTCTGTCTCACTCACCATCTTCGTTCCTTCGTTCGATCCATATCAGAGCTCAATCGAGCTTCTGGATCTTCAGACAGACGAATAGCAGCCATTACAAATGCTTGTGCCGAGTTTGATCATGGAGATGAATCCAAGCACAACGCAGAACTACACTATGGAGCTGCAACCATTCTATCCAAAACACTTAGTATGACGGATGACGACGACGAAATTCGTATGATTTGTGCTGCTATTGAAATGGTCTTCAGAGGAAGTCCCAAATATGTTCATGTTGCCTTTGACAAAGTCGGATCGACCATGATCCCTCTCTTGCTGCGGCTCTTGGATAGATGCGAAAGTGGGAACATGAAACACGCCGATGTTAGTATTCTCAATATCACCAAAACTCTACTTTATCTTTCCAGAATCCCAGACTTGAGAGTTTGCTTGGCCAGACAGCAAGGAATGCTGGACGCCATGCGAAGAGTCGCAACTTCCATATTGAATCCGGACTGCAGAATCGCACGCGTCAGAATTGTCGCCAATCTTGCCAACTGCCCAGAGAACAAGGTCTTAATGTTCGAGCATGAGGGACTGCTGGAGAGCTTGCTTCGAATCGGCCATTTGGATTTGTCAGAAACCGCCAGAGAATACGCTAGCACTGCCATTATGGACTTGGCATCTGCGCCTGCGAACCAAGTACCACTGGCACGCAACGAAAAGCTGCTCGGAACGCTCGTCAAGATGGTCCTCGTAGAGAAAATAGCAACCACCAGAGAATCGGCAATCACCGCTCTCCAAAACCTGGCATTCACCAAGGAAAACAGAAAGCTCTTGGTGGAATTCAAATCATGCATTGTGCTCGAAGCCCTCAAGAAGGCACTCAACAGCGACAAAAACGACAAAGCTAGGCGTCGAGCAGCAGGGGCTTTAACTAATCTTGCGTGTGAAGAGACAGCTGAGTTGATGGGAATCCACAAAGGACTCTTGGACTCACTAGCGATTGTTTCCACCAAAGATGAAAATGAAGATGTGCAAATGAGGGCATCCTTGGCGCTGACAAAGATTGCTTCACACGTTACCCATAAGATGCAGTGCTACGAAGCTCTCTTGGATGCTCTGGTGGTTGCCTCGCTCAGCAGTGCCTCGAACAGTGTGTCAGCAGTTATGCGTGTGAAAGCACGAGAGCCGGATAACCGCGAAAGTATGGCTAGACACCCAGGAATTCTCGATACACTTGCAGACATCTGTGTCAGCCCGGGGGCAAAAACCAAAGACAAAGACAATGCCATGCGAGCAATTATGCATCTCACCAACGAAAACAACAATCGCAAACTAATGTGCAACAAGAGTGTCCTCGAAGCCTTGGTGAAAGGAGCATCCTCCACGGGCAAGGACACGGACGAGATGAGAGAATCTGCCATTCGCGCCATTGAACGACTTGCCACTGAGTTCTCGAATAGACCGTACATGGCTAGACACGAGGGTCTCCTCGTTGCGGTGGCTCAGGCAACAGAACGAGAAGCGAAGATTGAAGAGAGCGGTGCCAAAGTAGATCATGCGCTTTTGGCAAAGCCACTGTTAATGAGTTTGCTGGTGGCCATGTAATGTAGCTGGGAGGCATTGGAATGATTCAATCGTGATGATACTGACAAGCTCTACCGGGCAAGGCTAATACTGCTGCTCATTGTGCGCCCACGGCATGGCGCGTGTATAATATAAGTAACGTTGTTGCTCTTGGCATACTTAATGGTACCGGTGTCGGTACCGTACCAAATGAATGAATTGAAGTTGTAGAGTTAGACAGACGTTTTGGATTGTTCTGTACGGTACGGTTCGGTAGGATGGTGGTGATGCACGATAAGGCTTCGACTTTGCGAGTGGGATCTGCTAGGGCACGACGCGGTTCGTGCCGTACCGGTAGCAAGAGGAATCTTTTGTTCTGGTATGGTAGCTTCTGTACTGCTCTGGAGGAGGAGAGCGGACGAAACTACCCTTGACAGTTGGTTCAAAGACAGAGCAAAGCAGCAAGCAAGCAACAAATGTCAATAGTAACACTGCCATGAAACCTAATGCCAAGGAGCTTGTAGTGCCGGTATCAACCAAGGTGTTTCCTTTGTGACTGCTCTGCTAGCTAAAACAGAAGGGCTACGATATCTGCAGGGCATCAGGGCTACGATATCAGCAGAGCACCAGCATAGGCAGGATGAGTGAACCCCCGTGGCGAGAACCAGCTATAAAACCACACACAAAGGTGCCAAAGAGATCAATGGTTTCGCAGCTCTCCAAGAAACGATGCAACAGTTTGGCTTCGGCAGGGCTTATTGGCAGCAGCAGCAAGGCCAAGGGACACAACGTGCTCTATCATTACTTTGAAGGCCAGGAAGAACCAACCAACCATATAGTTTTTCCCTGCCGGTATAATAGATAACCCCCTCCTTCGGGAGCCCAATCTTTTCCGCTTCCCTCTTCTAGCTAGCCAGCTCTACATTTGTACAGTACCAGTACTAGCTAGCTAGCTACAGGAGCATGGTGCCCTCCCAGCATGCGGCATGAAGGCGTCTTCAGAACGCGAATGATTTTAATCCCGCACCATCTCCACACATCATCTACGCACATCATGCCGTTGCAGTCGAGGGTACTAGCTAGTACCGACTGTGCCACATGTGTTTGTGAATGATTGATGAGGGTGTACCGTACGAACTGAAGATGATGAACCTTGTTGCGGCTGCTTCGAGCAGGCGTCCGTTCCTACCGGTGCGTGTAGCTCAGGTACAACGAAGAAGCAGACTGTTGATTCCAGTACGAAGACTTTCCGAGAGTGCCTTGCATACATGTAGTAGCCGATGGAAGCTCCCATGGAGTGTGCTGCGATCATTCAGCAGCGGCAGTGGAACCGATAGTTTGGGTCCTGGTACAAGTAGGAGTAGGCGAGGAAGAGTCATGGATCGTGCTCGATTGTATGAGTATTTGGAGCTGCAATCGTTCTCTCCAGATGAAATGAACCTTGCTTTTCGCACCATCAGCACTTTTTCAAGCTTAAGGCTCACTCATGATCAAGATGATGTTATCGATAAAACACAGATTCAGGCTTTCTTGGTGGATAGGTTGGCACAAATTCAAAATCAGATCGTCAATGACAACCAAAACAACGTCCACATTCAGGACACTGATTTCACAGAAGAACAACGACTGGAATATGCACAACAGGACGCTGAACGATTTCTTCAGGTCTTTGTCAACCACAGCAGAGGAAGCGGCAACAATAACGAGAATGGCCCGGCCGGTATCACCGTTTCAAAAGATCAGTTCGTACAAACCCTCACAGAAATGGCTACAGCAGTCGACATGAAACGAATGTGGCCCATTACAGCATCCATTCTATTAGTGGGAACCAGTGTTGGCGTGGTCCTTCCAGCAATGCCTTTCGTCGTAGAAGCACTACAACTCACACCAGGACAATATGGAACCGTTGTCAGTGCCTTCGCGCTATCCAAAATGGCCAGCAATATCCCAAGTGCAATCCTCGTAGAGAGACATGGAAGAAAACCATACTTGACATACTCGTTGGTTCTTATTGCTTTTGGGGTGGGAGGTATCGGCTTTGCTGGATCCTTTGGGGAACTATATCTATGTCGACTTCTAACGGGCGCGGGAGTGGCAGCACTCACCACAGCCTCACAACTCATGGTCACTGATGTTTCCACCCCACTCAATAGAGCCACGACCATGTCACCCATCGTGTCAGCTTTTGCCGCAGGGACTGCCTTGGGACCTGCTTTGGGAGGGACCATGGTCGATCAGGTTGGACTACAGAACACTTTCGCCATGGTGGGCGCATCGTATCTGGGTGTGGCAATACTCAATAGCATCATTCTGAAAGAAACAAAACCACCAAAACAACCCTTGTTGCATCTTTTCCACGACTTGCCATGGGTAAAGTTGCCACTCACAAATCAAAAGCAGCAAGACAAGATTAGCAACGTTGCTCCGGTAGACAACAACAACAGCAACAACGAAAACAACCGCAGCCAAACAGAAAAGGACGATTCAACCAGCTTGGCTACAGCTGCCAAGGATGCATTGGCTCAATGGATCCCGCTCTTTCACAATGACCAGATTCGAAGTGTCATGATCATGAATGGGTTCTATTGGTTTGCACTGAGCGGGTCACAAATGACGTTGCTGCCTCTGATACTCACCAGTCCAGCACCAACAGGACTCGAAATGTCGGCTGGGGCGGTCGGTCAAATATACATGTCCATGAGTTTGGTCCAGGTGCTCAGTAATCCGTTGATGGCACGGTACTTGGTAGATCGCATTGGAAAAGCTGCTGCCATTTCGGGGGGGTGCACAGTCATTGCGGCATCCATGATAAGCCTGCCACTTTGGACAAACCCTCCAGAGAACTGGCCAATCTTCGTAGGTACTTTGGGATTCTGGGCGTTGGGATCCTCAATGCTGTCCACGGCCCCATTGGCATACATCTCGGATAAAGTCACCGAAGACAAACGAGCTCAAGCAATTGCCATGTTGCGCACGAGCGGGGACGTTGGATTCTTGTTGGGGGCATCATGCACTGGTGGATTCGCAGACCTTTTGGGGGGGAGTCTTGATCTGGCCATGCAATCCAGTGGAGGTCTCTTGTCGGCTGCCACTTTCTGGTTCATTGTCCGACAAAAGCTGCTGTGGAATACCAACGGCAGTGCTGAGAGCACCACTGGTACCACTGGAACTTCCACTAGAGACAAAAAGCGACACTGATCGGATAAAGCTGGCAACTCCGTTTCTTCAATAGTAATGTACTCAATTATGTTCAATTTCCCGTTCAATGAGCAACCTTAGCTACATAAGTTTTTAGGTCGTCACAATTGCTAACTGTAGACTGAAAGCCACATGCTGGTGGTACGAGTACCCGACTGCTTTTATTTTGAATTGCATCCATAGACGAGGAATGAGTCTTCCCGTCCCTTCCTTTTGACAAATCCAACCTACTACTCGTAGTTTCCGGTACCGTACCAGTACAGCACCGTGGCATTCGGTTAATCCTTCCTGAGCATTCATAATTATTAGTCGTAAGCATTTAGCAAGGCACCGGCAAAGAGGGAAACCTTCCGTAAGGCCTTCACGGATCCAATTTCATCACGTCTTTTGCTTCTTTGACGCCTCTGCGGAGCGAAACAGCTCATCCAGGTTGTAAAGATCATCGTCTTGTTCAGCGCCCGCGGCTTTGCCGAGTGCTGAAAATTCGGCCTTCCGTTTCAAATTACGTTCCCTCTCGAGCGCCTTATCTTCCTGACTTTGCGAAGACTTCATCAATTTCCCCTTCAAAGACATCCAATCTTCCACAAAGCGACGCCGAAAGGACCCAGAATTGCTGTTCTCAATATAGTCTAGCATGTAGTAGTGGCGCAGGGCTTCAACCGCAGTTATACGTCGACTCGGGTCCAAATGAAGCATCTTCGCCAGCAAGTCAACGGCGCCTGCATGCTTCTCACTATCCTCTTTCAAAACATGCTGGATTGCCTTTTCCACGCCACGTTTATACTTCTTGGGCGGTCGAGAATAGTGGGGGTACTTGACACAAATCTCATAGTTGTCCCTCGCAGGTGTCCCAACAACCTTGTACATGCTGTTGAGGAGAGCCTGGCGGTCTCGACCAGAGAACAGCGCTTTGTTCAACAGAACGTGTGCAAGCAAGCAACCCAGTGACCACACGTCTGTTTCCTTGGTACGCTTGCTGCACCCAAACAGATTCTCCGGAGCAATATAGGGGTCACTCACGTCGTCGTCGTCATCCCCACGGCTTTTGCGATCCTTTTTGTCTTTTTTGTTCGCTCTCGCAAATTTCAGTGGGTCAAAAGTGACATTTCGATCCTCAGGGGATATCACAGTCGCACGATACAAGCCTCCCAGTTTCGCCACTCCGCTGTGGTCAATGACAATCTGATCCGCCTGAAATGATCGAACTACCACATGATTTGTGTGACAGTGAACTAGAGCAGAGAGCAAATCGTGGAACCAGGAAGAAAAGATTGCTGGACCAATCCCTGGGCTGCTGCTGTCGTTGTCGTCGTTCGTACCCTTGCGTTTCTTTCGAGACATGAAGCGTTGCAGGACAAAAGGAGATGGCTGGAAGACTAGATGCGGTCCAGTTAGATGCTCTTTCCGCTTCTTTTCCCGTCTAGCCACCTTTTCATTCTCTTCGCTAGTCCGAAACAAGGAGAAAATGTCGTCTGCGAGTGAGCTGGCTGCCGCTGGGTCTGACGAGTCCTTCTCTGGTTGCTCTTCTTCTTCCTCCTCCTCGTCTGGTGGAAGCGCTACCGCAACAGGTAAGATGAAGTTTGGATGCCCTTGTGGTGAGGGAATGACGCTGTGAAGCTCGTTTAGCAATTGCATCTCTTGCAGAGCAGCCGCAGAAAACCCCATTCCCAACCCGGAAGACCGCTTGGACTTTTTCGATTTCTTCGTTTTCTCCAATTCTCGAGTTTCCACCTTTTCGGATGGCCAGCGTTGTAGCGACACTGCCACGTAGCGCTCGTTCATGGCGTTTTTACCATCCTTGCTGCCACAGAGCAAAGGAAACGAGCCTGATTCGCCCGAGAACGACTGCGTCAGACGCTGAAGCCCCCCGTGCAGATCGTGCGGGTCGGAGCGGATCAAGAACATGTCACAGATTGAACCCGTTGGACTGGGACCATGCTGAGGAGGGACCCACCAACGCAAGCCAACCTCTCGTAATGAGGACGCTGCCAACTTCCCTGGCACGCAAATTTTTCCACCCGTTTTTCGACCCCATGAGGATCCACCTGAAACTTCCGACTGAATCGTCCCACTCCAACCGTCCCCAGAAAGGATGCTGCTCATGCTTAGCAACCCCGGCTTGACCTTTGCTTGCAGCTTGTTTTTGTTCAGCACATCAATCTCGACTGAAATGTCCACAGAGGGTGGCAATGGATTGCCCTGCACATTAGCGACACTGGCTCGGAGCAGATGCTCGGCAATGGCAACAGCTCTCCAGGAACCTTCAAGTACGATGTCATCAGCGTCTTGGACTGCACTGTCTCCAATGTAGATATTGCACTTGCTCTCTGCACTGGCGCCATCGACGACGGGCAGTATCACATCTTTCACCAACAGCCGTGGTACACCTTGGATTGCGTGGCGACGACAATCGCGACTGCCGATAAGGCGAAACCTCTGCCCAGCCTCGGACGTCGTGGGCGTGGTTTGTTGTCCAAAAGAGGATGCCATGCACTTGACGCAGATTTCCTTGATCCGAGGAAGATGCATCTTCAGATTTTCTTTCCCTTCTTCGAAAAGAGGGTGTGAGGAGCTTCTCTTGCTGGTGGGGATCACCTTGATTGACTCTACGATTATCTCTGCGGCCTGTGACACTTTAAGCGGGATCAGTGCCAGGGCCGGAAACAGTTTGTCAATATCACAATGTAGGAATCCTGCTGCGGCAGCAAAAACGTACTCCACGCCATACTTCAGCCACAGCGACGAACCTGCTGCCAGCACAGGGCCACAACAGGCAACATTGAGAGCATCTTGTGCCACTTCTCCCTTGAAACCGGCCGCTTCCACAGCTGCGGCCACTATCCAGTCCGTTCCCCGATTGAACACGTCATAGTCAAGTAGGGTCAGAATTTCAGATTCTGCCGTCTGGACCTTATCAGCCAAAATCAGCACTTCTTCCTTGCTGCCATCGAACGAAGCTCCAGGGTAGAAGACCTGGTAAGCCGCCTTCAGCACCTCCTCCAGTCGCTTCCACTTCGAAACTTTCTGAGCTTTGTTGGCCAAAAAGATGCAGGCAAGCACAATCTCTCGCACTTTAAGTTGGGTGTCGAAGTCGTCCTGCTGGCACACGATCGTGACGAAGCGGTAAAAGATGAGAGCAGCGCTAACCCCGCAACCTGCAGTTGTCCCGAGTGCCATGGTGATGTCAGCAATCTCTTGACATGAATTGCACACTGTCTTCTCGTCGAATTGTTGTCGCGAGGGAACGGCAGCAGATTTCACTGGTGTGCTGCTGGTGCCGCCACTGCTGTCAGAGGCCACATATTCAGCGGTCACAATCTTGGACAGCGTCCAGTCCCTTCCAAAAATCCAATTTTGTCGTCGAATGCAGTGATCCCGATAGATTTCGATCTGCAATCGAATCATTTCCTCTGCCCTCCGTACCCTTTCGTTTTCCGTATCTGCAGAGCTCTTGTCCACGTCAATAACATCGGCAGTGTGAATTGCGAGGTATGAACGTCCATCGATACGCAAGTGGTCCCCAGTCATGTGATCGACCATCACAGCAGCCCCTGTGACACGCTTTACATAGTCAAAGAACTTGGCCCCATTTTGAATCATAAAGGGGAGATACACTCGGTCAGCACCAAGATAAAGGTATTTGACACCTCGGGCCACTTCCGATGCTCTCGTCTGCATCAGCGCCCATAGCTTGGTGACGTCTTTGGGATCGCATCCAAAAAAGATCTTCCTGGGTGCATACGGCGTCGCTTCGCCTACAATGTTGTTGGATCCATCGATACGTCCCTTGTCCTCTTCGGACTGTACCCAAACCGTGCAGCGCTGCGTGCTTTCGAAGGACACAAAAAATGGCGACTTTCGGAGATCTTCTCGGCAATCCTGACTCATCCTGTCTGGTTCGTCTTGTCGGAGCAACTGAAACTGTTCTCTCGTTAATTCTCCACCAAGGAAACCGAGATCACGGTAGAATATTTCGTTGGGTGTCTTTGGCGCCTTCACTTCAGCACATGCATCATTAAGATGCAGCCAGACGTTCTCGCGGGCAGCGTGCATGTCGGACTGCAGGGTTGCTTCCATCACAAGCTTGGCGAATTGCTTGCTTTTGCTTTCCGAATGAGCAAACGAAATGTTGACACTGCGGCATTTTTCCCTGACAAATGGCAATCGTCGCTTGAAGTTATCAACGGCACATCGAGGGATGACAACTTCTTGTAGATTATCGTTTGACTTGGTGCTCGCGCCGGTGGCCAATCCTGTCAACCCGGCTATGCCGAGTCCTGTGCCCCCCCGATTGGCTGCCATGACCACATTCAGCTTGCCGGCTGGCTTTGAGGCCGACCCTGGAAGAAGTTTTGGATCCCCAAGTGACGCTGCTTGTTGTTGTTGTTGCTGTTGTTTGGTCAAGTAGATGACGTTTTTCTCCAAAATGGTGCACGCCTTTGCTACGTTGTATCCCGAAATACTAAGTTTCCATACAGTCCCATCTAGGGACTCGTCTAGCGCCTTGTGTTTTTCGACATCGTCCGGATCATTTGCGTCTGGTCCCAGCGGAGGTCTCGCAAATTGTTTCGGCACAATGGAAACTCTACAATTACGTTCGCACCGTTGAATGAGGTGTTTCGCCCAGAATGCTTCCTTGATGGGTGTCTGGACGTAAAGGTAAGGTTTGATAGCTTTGAGTTCTTCAATGGCATCTCTGTCCCCTGCCCCAACTTTGTCCAAAAGACTGGCGCCCCCGGGTCTGTTCTTTGCATTTGGCGACGCCACCAACGTTTGCAAGAAGCTCCTCTGCCAGGATGACGACGGAGAAGCGGCTGTGCGGTTGTGTAGTACCTTTTTGGCAATGACAAAATCCCGAGCTCCCGCAAACATGGACCCAAACCCTACACCAGCGCTGGCACTACCATCATCGCCGACATCGGACTCATCGAGCAGTACCTGCCAATCTTCTTTAGCGAGTTCCTCCCATACTTCTTCCCAGTCTGGTCTGTAAATGACGAGATGTTTTTTGCTCTGTTCATCGTATTTGCACACATCGGCATAAAAGTACTGTTCGTGTTCCTTGGAAAGTATTCGGATGCTGCGATTGATGATTTCTCTTCCAGCGGTGCGTGATCCAGTTTTCCAGTGTCCTTCCGATATTTTTTCGAATTCTACTTCTTCCAAAGACTTTGGTACTTCGAGCGTCCCCCGACAGGTGTTTGCCCCACAATAGCATTTTGTGGGTGCCCTTCCCTTTTTGCGTTCCCATTGATAATCGAAGGAGAGTTCTTGACCTTTTGGTATATCCCTCGTAGCGAATATTCCCGCTCGTATGATGCCTCTGACTTTCCATCGTTCCACGACGCAGTTAGGTTCACACGAGTGATTGATGTATCGTGCGACACTTCCCTTTTTGCGTGCATCAAGGTATACGTTTGTGTCAAGTGCCATGATGTAAAGTCGTCGTTCCTGTTTGTACCGGTGGAACAGTTTAGAGAGGAAGGATGCTCTTACAGCGCGTCCAATGTATTCGAGTATGAACTCTCCCTTTTGAATGTGTTCTAGTGTTCTGAGTCCTCTTCCCTTGGGTCCGGCATGGAATACTTCAATTTGTTTCCATTCTTTGCGTTGTATTCGTTTGTTTCCGCAGTATTGTCCCGCTTCGCAGTTTGATCTGCATTCTTCTTGACATGCGAAGAGGATGCAGGAAGGGTCTATACAGTATCGATACTTTGGTTTTGTGTTTGTTTCAGTGTCATTTGCATTGTAGGTTGCTGCACGACAGAACTCGTCTTCGTCGAAGGAGGAGACGGTGCACCCACAGGGATCTCCCGACTCTAATTTCGGTTTCATGGCCAGTTCTGCATTCTTTTTGTTGCTGTTGTTATTGTAGTTGTCATCATCTGGAGAGGCCCATTCTACTTCATCAATGAATTCTACATCATCATGGACTGCCACAGGATCTCCTTCCTTTTTGTCTTGCACATCTTGCATGTCATCATCAGCGTGGTGATGAACGTTTTGGAGTGAGTTCGTGGTAGGTGATGGTTTTGGTTTTCTGGTCAATTTTGGCAGATCATGTATATGTTTCATATTGTTGTCGTCTGATGGTTCCGTGTCTTCTTCGTCATTTTCATCATCATCATCATCATCATCGTCCGTATCGACTAGAAAATCATCCTCTGCCGTTGAATCCTTGACGCGTCTGGGCTCATCGTCGTCATCATCATCATCGTCAGTGTCGACCAACGAGTCTTCTTCGTCATCTTCCAGTGTGAGGCGTCTCTTGCCATTGGGTTTGGCAGGTTTTCGTGCCACGGCTTTGACGGGTCCTTCCTCTTCTTCCTCGGATGAAGATGAAGTCGAGGAATTGGCTGAGGAAGAAGAGGAAGAGTCGGTCATTGTTGCATGGCGCCTCTTGGAAGAAACACTGGCCTTGACGGAGGACTCTTGCTGTGGCGGTTGCCGAAGCGAAGGAGAAGTAGTGGCACTTCCGTCAACGGTTCCACTGACACGGCGAGGATCTCCACTCGCAAACATCAATCTCTCGAGACGATCTTGATAGACGAACACTAGACTCTGAATCCTCCTATGCTTGAAACTGCTGTTACTTTTAGATACATGTACAGTCAACGAAAAAGGACAATTTGCTTGGCCATGGCTTTTTGACGGTTGCTGAATGTGTGGCGCCAATCCAACAAGAATCGAATCGAATCGAATCAAGCAGAGTCCATTGAGTCCTGAGTTGAGTCCATTGAGTCACTGAGCCTCAGCTAGTCAGGTCCGTCCACCGAAGACAAAGCCGTACCAACACTCTTTAGATCTATACATCTAGCTATCAACTGTAGCTAGCTAGATAGCTACTTGCCGCTGGCCACAATGACCAGCCAGAGCCTCCGAAGCAGACAATGCAAGTTTTAAATAGAAACTCAACATTAGGATAGCTAATGATTACTGAATTGCCCGGCCTGACAAGGTCAAATGAGTTTGCTGCTTTTGGCCGAATAGAAAATGTGGTAAGGATAGGCAAAGTCTCACGTGCATAAGAAGGACCCATCAATCAATCAAACAAAGGGCATTGGAGCAGTCCTGTAGTGGTGGGATCCATGACTTGGGAACCTGCGACTTGTCCCTCGGTTGCAGCCATCCAACCATCCACAGACACTACCAACAAAAGTTGCGCCAAGATTTCCATGTGTAGGTCATGCCATTTTCAACAATACTTCTTCGCGCCAGATCCATAATGTCCACATTACCCAGGATGTCTTGCACATTCTGCCACACCTTCAAGAAACCAGCTTCGTCCACTACACCATCAAGGGTGCCTGCTTCCTTCGTCCAGCATTGTATCAGTTTTTCTATCTCCAAATACTTTTTCGTTGGACCTTTCGAAACCAACAAGTATGCAATTGGTGGGACTTTCTTGAATTCAACAAAGCTGACGCTGCCAGGTACCTCCGAAAAAAGTCTGGCAGCCTGAAAAATCGTCTCCTGTGGAGGGGACAAAATTACACCATCCTGGCCACAGCAAAAAGGGTCGAAGCCGCTAGTCATAGTGATTCCACCAAATTTTTCCTCCAGTTTCTCCCACGCAGCCTCGAACAATTCAAACTTGAGAAAACCCCGTGGTCCCAGACGTTCTAGATCCTCGGGGGAGCGATCCTTGCGGGAGGCATGTGCCCAACACTCTGCTTCTTGGTCTTTGCTTGCAAAGCGAAAGGGTGGACAAGCATACAAAACTTCACGGCACACACCACCAGCCTGTCGACCAAATTTGAGTCTCGTCCAGAGTAAACCAACCTGATAGATGATTCTCTTTTCTTCTTGGGAAATTTCTTCTTGGTAATCTTCTGGATTGGTTGAGGGCCCTTTGAGGCAAAATTTTAGCCTATCTTCATAAAACTCATCATCATCATCATCGTCATACTCATATGGTTTGATGACCATTAGCTCTTGTGAAGGCCAACTCATTGGGCACACGGGAGGGCAGCCTATTCCACCCAACACTTGTCCAACTACATTGCACACATATCGGAATTCATCCAAGGTGACACTTTCGAAGCCTCTCGGTTTCCCAGGATAACAGCTAGCAATCAATCCCTCCCGCCAGCATTTGCGCAAGTCCTCACCTGACAGGTCCTTGAGCTCCAGTATGGTGTTGAATGGTGCCACTTGCTGAAAACTCTCATAGCGGACTCTACTAAGATACAGCATCAGAGGAGCGTCACCGTTTTCCAGCACATGCGCAGCCTGGAAAGATGCAATGAGTCTTTCTTCCTGTTGAACTTTCAACAAAACCTTCGCCTTGTATTTGTCACGGTTAAATCCTACAAAAGCATCTTCAGTTATGAAGCCAAGTTTATAATTGATGACTAGAGACACACCCATTAGATACAGTGAGAGAATAAAGAAACACACGTCGGAAATGAGACATTTGGAACTCACTGTCATGATAATAATCTTCATCTTCACCTTCATCATACTCAAATGGTTTGATGACCATTAGCTCTTGTGAAGGCCAACTCAATGGGCATATGTGAGGGCAGCCTTTTCCACCCAATACGTATCCAACTGCTATCCACACAATCACAAATTCCTTGAAGTTGACACTTTTGTAGCACTTCGGACTATAAGGATCATGGAAAGCTTCCAATCCCACCCGCCAGCATTTCTTCAAGTCATCATTTGACAGGGCATTGCTTTTCAGCAAGAGAATGAATGGTGCCACTTGCCAAAAACTCTCATAGCCGATTTCGCTAACAAACAGCTTCAGAGGCGTGTCACCATTTTCCAGCACATGTGCAGCCTGGAAAGATCTAAAGAGTCCATCTAACTGTCGTTTTTGTGTCGAAGCCTTGGTGTTGTGCTTGTCAAGGATATCACCTCTGGGCTTGCCTCCCTTCCAAAAAGCCCTAACAGTGGCCTCATTGGTGGCTGTCAATACAGGAGCAAAAGTTACAGATAAGTGTTCAACTAAAGCAGCAGCTGTGGCGGTTGCCGCCTCTGCCACCGTGGGGATTGGTGGTTGGCGTGCAGGCATCTTCCTGACCATCACCTCCTCCGAGCTCACCCCTGTAGGAATTGCAAGGTCACGAGCAGAACAATGGTACGGTAAATCAGAAGACCAAACAATAAATTGACAAAGCACACAGGACACAATGACCTACCAGTACCTATTGTGGTTGGGTCCAGCAGTTCACCAGTAGAAACTTCATTGCTGCTACCATTGATTGTATCCATGGCAGGCATCTTCCTGTCCTTCCCTTTGTCAGAAATCGCTTTGTTAGGAATTGCACGAGCAGAACCATGATAGATATGAGGACCAATTGATAAATTGACAGAACCCAACACAGCCACATTCTGTCGTACCATCGTGGTTGCCACCATTGCTTTTATCCATGGCAGGCATCTTCCTGTCCTCCTCATCCGTGCTCACTTCTTTAGGAATTGCACAAGTAGAACCATGATAGATGAGAGGACCAAGCTTTAAACGGACAAGAGCAAACATTACACAATCACCTACGGGTACCTGTTGTGTGCCTGCCACCATTGCTTTTATCCATGGCAGGCATCTTCCCGTCCTCCTCATCCGCGCTCACTTCTTTAGGAACAGAACAATATAGATGAGAGGACCAAGCGATAAAATGGACAAAAGCAAACATTACACAACCGCATGCTGTCGTACCATCGTGCTTGCGCTTACCACCATCGTTTCTATCATCTATGGCTGGCATCTTCCTGTCCTCCTCGTCCGTGCTCAGTTCTTTAGGAATGGCACGAGCATGAGAGGACCAAGTGATAAAATGGACAAAGCACATTACACAACCACATGCTATCGTACCATCGTGCATGCGCTTAGTGCTTGCAGTGACAGCATCTTCGCCTCCTCGTCCTCCACCTCCACCACTTCCCGAAATGGCTGGCACCTTGAAATATTGAGACGTGACTGCAGAAGCACTAGTTTGTTTAGAGAGTTGTGCCACCACACCAGTCGCCGTGCCCTCTAGCTAGTTCCAACTTACCTTGGCCAGATGTCACTGACGCCGCTGCTGGTACCATTGGAATCGGAGGTTGGGGTGCAGGTGCATGCTCTGCTCTCCCTCCATGTCCTCCTCGCCCATCATGATCTTGTTGTCTTGCTCGCCCTCCACATCCTCCTCCTCGCCTTCCACTACCTTGTCCTCTGTTGCGCCCTGCATCTGCTCCACGTACTCCTCGTTCGCGCCCTGTATGTCCTTCTCTTCCTTGTGCTTCCCTTACAAGCTGTAGATTTCTCCATCTAGCGGCTCGACCCTCAATTTCTGCGGTGGTAACGCTTGGCTCCACAAAAAATCCTGTAGTCCATGATAAGTCGTCCGGCATGTTGGCGTAGGTCAAGTTCTGGAGAGAGTTGCTGTTGGTTTGTGGACATGGACTTGAAGAGTGAGCCTGATGCTTGGTTAACTGACAACAAAAATAGCCCAACCAATGCAGCTCTCCAACTTTCAACCCGGAAGAATTGTTCGCAAACAGTACCAAGACGGCTCTCCCATTAATTTTCTTCAACGAGGATGAATTATTTGTGAGTCTTCGCCCCGCCGGCTTCCGTAGATGATTTCCTTAGCCTACTTTACTGAAATCCCTATACCTACATCTACTACGGTACAGTAGTAGCCAGCCATCATTGTATCAACCAACCGATGAAACACACATGCTACTCCTTATAAGGCTTGCTCGGTGCATACAGTGTATGCCATACTGTAAACTGAGCCGGCCCTTGCCTTGGGTGCATGCTCGACGGCATGGGCCCATGGAGACTCGTACTCGACGACTCCACTCGACTGAGGACACTAACAGTGGGTGGTGCGGGGCACCTCTGCTCTATTATAACAATCAATCTACATGTGTCTAGCCTCTTGTTGTGGCCTTGGAGTGTTGTCGGCAGTCGATAGTGAGTTTGTTGATTTGAGTGGCGTCAGTGGTTCCGGGAATGATGGAAAAAAATGGGAAAAACGCAGTCACGGGCTCGTGGAGCGGTCATTGAGCTGTGCGTGGGGGCCGTAGTCACTCCGAAATGTCTGCACAAGGGTCCTCTTGATTGAAGAATCTTGAGTCAAAGACTTGAGTTGTCAGATTTGAATCTCCAGAGAACCCAGGACCTCTGTGGATCGTCTCATAAGTGTACCATGTAAACTGTATGGTATCGTCTCCTAAATCGTTCGGATTGTCTCCTATTCCGAAACGATCGTCTCTTAATTGGAATGTCTCCTGCAGAATCGTCTCATAAATATAGGAGACGATTGCTTTCGTCTCATAAATCATTTCGATCATCTCCTACGCCTTGCTGTATCATCTCATAAGTATTTTTCCACAAATGACGTTTCCACAGAGGTCCAGGCCTGTCCACACACTGTGACATGACTTGGCACTCCAATGTAGCACAGAGCCTCATAATTTTCCTTTTTTCATTTTTCACCAATCTTGTGCCAACTACCACCAATCTTCAAAGCACAGCATCAACAAACAACCACAATGAGGATCCACCGACTTCTTCTATCGTTCACCGTTACTACTTCTACCTTCCATTAACAACAACAACAACAACAACAACAACAGAAACTGCTACTACTCCCTTGATTGCTGCGCTATTTGTTTTGCCTTGAAGTCAGTGCCTACTTTGGTAGGGGCAAGACTCTTGGCAACAACATGCAGCTAGCATTATGGTTAAGTACTCCAAAAGCCATGAGGGCCGAGTCTTTGGGTTTGGTGTCACCCATATCCCTACCAAGAAATGAGAATCTTCAAAGCGCACTGTGGCTGCAGTAGCAACAACAACATCAGAAAATTTGAACGACCCACCGACCACTACCGACCGTCGCCATCGTCACCATTGTCTCTACCGCTGATCCTCCTGCCGTCGTCGTCGTGTGCTCATGGTCCTCTTCTCTAATTTCCTTTAGAATGAATGGGGCTGTTGACTGTGGTTCGATGCCTTGATGTCTTCCACGCTGTTGTCACCTTGACCACCAAGACGCTGGCTCTCATACGCTTTCAGCATTGTCTTGAGTGCCTTGATCTTCTTTCCAGAGAGCTCCTCTTCGGTGTAGTCACGGGCCTGCAGCTCTGTCTTCAAATGAGGGATATTTTGGTTGCCAGTGACGGAGCTGAGAGTGATCATCCCTGCCATGGCTGCAGTCTGATTGGTCCGTCGGTTGGTATGCATGGATGCCATTGCTCTGTCTTGAAGGGCCTGTACTCGGTGTGTTCGATAGTGGTTCTGTCGCATGGAGCTTTTGATTTGTCCAAGTGCCGAATAATAAGCTTCTCCACCCATGCCATCAAGTAAATCTTCCTGAATGAGAGTGTGTCGGTTTACTTTCACGCCTGCTTCCACATAATGTGTTGATGAGCCAAAAGAAGATACCGTGATAGCATCTCTTCCTTGAGTTGATCTGGATCACCATCTCAAAGACAAATAAGACCTAGCCAAACCTCTTGTGCCACATCTCTAGGCAGTTGCAAGTACTCTTCGTGAGCCTCCACAAAGCTCTGGATAACGTTATAGAAAAGCAAGCTTCAGTGGAATAGTAGCCTCATGCACTTCGCTGCGGTAATATTAATAGACAGCAGGTTCAAAGAGTGGATCTTCTTAGTTTGAAAAGACTGATGCCACCACTCTTGCCACCAGAATCTGATGTTCGACCATCCAAGCAGAGGGTAACATAACATCTTGGTCTTCTTTTCTTGCTTTTGTGGACAAGTAGAAGCCAACGGGTCAACTGTACATGTAAGCTTGAAGTCTTGCAAGTGGGTAGAAGCTTTCCAGTCTTTTTCACTGTCCACGAGCTTGCTTGACATGAGAAAGTATGGAACAAGTGTCTGGTGTGTCTGGAAACCAGGTGTGCGGGAGAGATCAGCGCACTCCTGGAGCCGCTTCCTTCGATTGATCATTCAATCGATGGGCAAATGTTGCTATTCTGGCTAGTACCGGTACTCGCAAGCTAGATATTAGTACTAGTACTAGCTACCGGTAGTAAGGCAGAGCGCCTCTTGTACTGTACGGTCCAGTACCTCACGGTCATGGTACGAACGAGTCGAGTCGACTCAGACTCAGTCGGTACGTACATGTACTGGGTACTGGTACCAGAGAACCAGTTTTGGTACGATACGACTGTACCGCAATCACTCGGGACTAATAATAAAACTTAACCCTATTGTAGTTCTCGGCGGTCACATTCGGTCATTCGTGACCGTTTAGGAAGCACAAAAACCAAACAAACCAAAAAACAGCCAACAGCGAATCGACCTTCCTTTCCTTGCTTCTATTACCATTGATACCGTTGCCACTATTGCTGCTCTGTTCAATGATATTGCATCGGTACTTCCTCTACAGCAGTTAGTTTCGTTGCCAACCCACCAGTGATTAATTATCATTACCCATGGCGTCCATAATCAAGCTCCTTCGATCTCCAAAGGATGAGTTCCCAAAGGCGAAAGTGTCGTTTTCAATCCTTTTGGATCCTGACAACAATGTGCATGATGTAGCGACGATGGAAGTGCCTGTATACGAGATGGGGGACGTCGAGGATTGGCTGGAGTGGCGCAAGCTTTTCGATCGTCTCTTGACAGCCAAGAACTTGGAGAAAGGTCCCAGTTTGTTTCGTCATGCGAGAATCCTTTTGGCTGGAGGAGCCCTCAGCAAATTCAACGATATTGCCACAAAGCACATTGCCGATAACAACGACGAAGAAACCAAGGAAGCCTTCGATGTGACCCTCAAAGAATTCACCAACAGTATGCTGCCCTCACACACCGCCAAGAGAGTCAAACGGTATCTCTTGGAAATTCAAAAACCCATCTACATGTCCGTGTCACAGTTCGTGGTCCGTCTGCAGCAAATGAATAGTTACTTTCCCTACATGCCGGACGTTGGAGGTCAAAATGTCATGTTGACACCCACTGATATGAAATTTGTACTGGAACAAGCCGTGCCTCAGGCATGGAGGAGCGCTTTGGAACGAAGTGGGCAGCATGAAGCCATGAACTTTAGCGAAGTCGAGGACTACTTCAAAACACTGGAACACCTCGAGGAAGAGACCGTCCGTGGGAGCAAATCGTAATCTTGCATTGCTAGCTAGTCAGTCTAGTAGTAGTTCATCATCTTGTTTTATACTACCTGGTACCAGGTAGCTACTCTTGTCAAGCGCAAATCTGCACGAACTGATTGGTTTACAGAATCTTCTACGTGGGCTCCGAGACTGGTGCAACGAGAAAAGAAAAGAGCACTAGCTAGTACTACCTGTGTTGACTGTTGATATCGATATCGCACGCCCTTATAGCATATATATCCCCGAGCAGCACGAAGCGACGAATCATCGTTTGAGTACAACACAGTCGAGTCGAGTGACGAGTCGGTACGAAAACAATAATTCGTGATTTTCCGGCGCACGAACAAGCCAAATCACCAGGTCGATTACTCGACGTTGACAGGTCCTACAACACAACTGTCACGCAACAAGCTGCGCTCTGAACACTGCCGCAACAGGACCGACAAGGTAGAACACCACAAAACGCCGCAGAAACAAGTTGCATCCATCGGCAGACCAGTTGCGAGTTTCACGGCGCGATGGACAGATCCCGTGATCCGTATCGAGCGAAGCTTCCACTACAATAGCGACCGCTACTGCTAGCCAGTCGCTACTGCTATCAAGACAAGAGCAAGCCATCGGTCCCAATAGCGACAGCAGCGCCATTGCATCGATCGAACAGGAGCACGTCTTTCGGAACAAGAGGAAGGGGTATCCTCGGCCATTGCCTAAGCATCTTTCGAGACCCGCATTCCTCAGCGCTCCCTGTCTCCAAGGAAACATGCAAACCTGGCCTTTCTACGTCCGTTCCGACAGATCCTGCACTACCGTACCCTACCGGTACCAGTACTGTTCTCCTTGGTACTGCTGTACTGTACCGGTACCGGTACCCGGTGCTTTTCTGAGGGGAAGAAAGAGAAGCCTGTAAGCGCCAAGCCTGTAAGCGCCAAGCCTGTAAGCGCCAAGCGCCAAGCCGCCCTCCATTTGAACCATTGAACCGCCAAGCCCTTGATTTGAAACGGAGAATCATTTAGATCGGGACCAAGGCGCCAGAGGCATGCCTCGCCTGCTGGCTGGCTGGCTGCTGATGTTTCTGAAGAGACTTCTGAAGCCCTTTTGTGGTTGCTCATTTCGTCTCATAAATCCAGTTTGCCAAGCAACAACAAGCGAACTCGCTATCAACCAACAAACTCTTCGCAATTTCAACATTCAAACAAGATGTCCGGCCGTGGTTTAGGAGGAAAGGGACTTGGAAAGGGTGGCGCTAAGCGTCACAGTAAGGTATGTTGATGGACATGACCACCACAACGTCGCGATTGCAGCATAACACTCACTTGATTCCATTGAATGATCCTTCCTTTGCCTGAGCTTAGGTCCTTCGGGACAACATCCAGGGTATCTCCAAGCCCGCCATTCGTCGTCTTGCTCGCCGTGGTGGCGTGAAGCGTATTTCCGGTCTGGTAGGTGATGGAAACGATTGCATGTTGGTTTCACGCACCGGGTATTGCACGATCTGGACTCCTCCTTACAAAACTCTTCTCTCTATTCCAAGATCTATGAGGAGACTCGCGGCATCTTGCGGGTATTTCTTGGTAGGTCATGGACGGCTGTGATGGAAATTACATGCTGCCTGTGTTCTATCTGTAATGTCCACTCACACCTTGCTGCCCAATCAAAGAAAAAACCATTCGAGATGCGTGTACTTACTCGGAACATGCCCGTCGTAAGACCGTGACCGCAATGGATGTCGTATATGCCTTGAAATGTCAAGGCAAGACTCTCTACGGATTCGGTGGGTAGACTACGATACTGATTATCATGCCTGATGATCAATCCTGACCATTTACGATGCCGATCAATCCGCATGAAACCAACAACCAAAAACAAACAGGGAATTTTCATTCCCACCATTGCACAAAGCCCCTCCCTCCCTTGATACACCACAGGCGCTCAGGTGGAGACAATAGCAATGATGAATCTACCTACTCTAGACCCCCGTTTCTCTTGTGATATCATTAGCTCCTCCGTACCGGTGAGCGGCTGTTGTTGTTGTTGTTGTTGTTGTTGTTGTTGTTTGATCCCGCGACATCTTTTGTTTTTTGTTTGTTGGTCCCGCGACACCTCGGGTTGCGCCTCCCTTGAGACATGGTGGGATTGGATCCTGCCTCCAAGCATCCTTCAATCATGGTTGTTATTTTAATATTATTAAATAATGGCATGTTCTCTCCCTCCAACAGTCCGGTCCCAGGTCCCACATAGACTACTATTGCTTTGTTTAACGGAGTCCAACCAGTTTACCGAATACTGCTACTATTGATTCGCTGCATGTACATACTGCTAGCTGGCTAGCTAGCTAGCTCTAGCTAGTAGTACAGAGGTAGTAATGTACGGTACCGTACATACAATACGGTACGCTAGACTCACTCCATCAGAGTATGTACTGTACTGTACAGTACAGTATGCGTACCGTACTTTACGTACGTGTCATGCTCTCTAGTACCGGGAGGCTCATGCAGTCAAGCCGTACCGGTACCAGCGTCTGACAAGCTAAGGGACCCCGCCTCCCACCTCCTACCGCTACCGGTACCGTACAGTACTAGTACCGTGTGGGCACGTTGTAACCGGTATCCATAATCCATACCGTACACAAGTGTACCCGAGCCAGTACTGCTACCGCCGTACTGGTACGAGGCTCTACAACTAACTGTAGGTGGTGGCCTGAGCATGCATGCACAAGCATGGCGTGTCTTCTCTAACCAGCAGCCTTCTTTGACATGGGAAAGCCAGCTGTGCAGAGATCATGTGGAAGGTGGAGGGAAGGCTTCTCTCTTTTGAGCCCTTTGAACTTTCCACTTTGAGACGAGCTGTTGAATTCTTGAAGCTGAAGCAGAGGCGAGCAAGGCAGAAAAGGTACGTCATGGTGAAGGCGATTTTGATTGGTTGAATCTGCTGCTTTTGGGTGATGTGGCATCGAGAGAACAGACAAATAAATACTACAGTTCCTGTTTGACATCAACTGTGACATCATGAGGGTACGTTTTCGCTTACGTGGCGGTTTTAGGGCTCTAGAGTTCTTTTCTACTTAGAACGAAATCAGACTGTGCAAAAAAGAGTAACAAGAGACCAACCCTTAGCAAGCTTCCTTGTTAGAGTTTCGCTGTATTTTCTTTTGATAGCGATGAGGAAGCTGAGGTTATTCTCTAGTTGAAGTGCCAGTGTTGCGTCGTATAATCGTACGTGAGTTACTACTGTGGTAAGCAATGTACATGGAGACTGCGTTCGTGAGACAAATCCTGGGCTCGTTAGCTTCCTCTCGAATTGCCTCCCAACGAATGCTGGGTTTGATGCTCGCATAATCCTCCTCTCAGAGAAAAACTTTACTGGAGACCAACAAGCATCAAGCATCAAGCTTTTAAAAAAGCGTCTCGTCCATCTACAAGCTACTACACTGCCCCGTCGTCGTGTCTTTACCGTCCGTCTCCTCTCCTCCTCTGTCTCTGCTTATCCACTCTAGCCACTACATCGTCTCATCTCTTCATCGCTCCTTCCTGCCGCCCTCAAGTAAGATGTCTTCTTCGACCGGTTTGGAACTCGACTTTGGATTCGGTGGTCTCTTGGACGCTGGTATGGCCACTGGCACCAACACTGGAAGTACTGCTGGTGGTTTTGCTTCAGGCCTCTCTGAATTCGGTGGTGGCTCGGTGCCTCACACAAATGGTGACTTTTTGAGTACCCTGTTCGACTCTACTTCAGTGCCTGGTGTTGGCGTTGGCGTTGGCGTTGGAGGAGTGCCATCGGCTGCTTCTTGGCAGAAGAAAGCGCTCCTCGATCAACAGCAGCAACAGTTGCAACAGGAACAGAATAGCTTGAATGCTCTCTTGAGCCAGCACAACAGCACTAACGCTGCCTCGGCTACAGCTGCGGCTCCTGGTGCTTCGAGCGCCTCCAATCCATTTGGTGGCTTTGCCACTCGCGAAGACCTTGAGACTCTTTCCTTGAACGCTGCTGCTGCTGCCAATGGAACCACCGCGGCAGCCGCCGCTGCGGCCACTCAGCAAGCACAGCAAAATGCAGCCTTTGGCTCGCATCATCAGATGGCAACCAACACCTCTCAAGCTGTCTCTGGCAACTACATGTTTGTTGCTACCATTGTGGACCCTAACCAAGAAGATGCCCCTCCCCAACAGATGCTCTTTCTCCCAGGCTCAAACCAAGTCATTCCCATGCCCTCCTCACAAGCGCCAGGAACAGCAAGTGCCACAGCCGCTGGATCGACGGCTTCTGGTCTCTCTCCTATGATGGCTCTTGCGAACCTGCCGGTGGTCTTCCCTCAAGCTGGAGCCTCAGCGACATCAGCGAGTGCAAACTCGAATGCTGCTGCTACTGCTTCGCCTTCTGTGACCTCCAAGACCGACTCCTTTCCACCGTTGCTAGAGGCTGCCGCTGCTGCGACCAACAACGCCGCACGTTCCCGCAAGGGAAATGCTGACTTGGGACTTTCCATCAACAGTCCATGGTCGACACTGCACAGCCAGCAGCAGCAACAGCAAGGATTCTTCAGCAACTGGAACGGTAGCAACATGGTGGGAGGGTTGAGCACTGTCAACCCCCTCAGCAGCCTGGAGGATGTATATGCATCGTCCGCGGCAGCTGCGCAGTCCCTCACGGCCCCACCTACGCCCCTGGAACTGGCGACGCTCGGTATCTCGGTTGATCAGCAGCAGCAGCACGGATTTCCCAGTTTCAAAGCAACGGAAGTCGCCCAAGTGCCCGCGGCTGCAGGAAGACGCAACGACGGCGCCAATGCTGGTAAGGCTGCTCAGGCCAGCAGTATGCCCATTCGGCCTCTCAGTGCCTACAACTTCTTCTTTTCGGACGAACGAGAACGTATTCTGCAGAATCGCACCGACGAAAACGACGTCTTTGATTCGGCCAAGAAACAGCGTCTCTTGCTTGCGCATCTTGCCAAGGACCGCACTAAGCGCAGGCCTCATCGCAAGACTCATGGTAAGATCAACTTTACCACGCTCTCGAAGCTCATTGGCCAGCGCTGGAAGCAGTTGCCCGACGAACGCAAGAACTTTTACAGAGAAGTGGCGGCTATTGACCTCGAACGATACCAGAGAGAGCTCAGAGAGCGATCCCCATCCTCGTCCGCCGTTGAGGCGTCAATGTGAGCCTCTTTGGATTGGATGATACCGGTATGATGGAAGCCCGAAACCCATCGGCTCGCCGACGGTCTTGGCTGCTCTCTTTCACCGAAGTCATCTGTGTCCTGATGCCGTGTACAGACGCATCCACCTTTGCGTACTCTTTCACACTATTTATGCAAACTCCCATGCTTCAATCAATGCTCCAACTAATTGAAGTCAGAATCCTTCGCCCGACTGAACGAATAATCCTTCATGCAGGCAAAATGTCGTCACCTTTAATGCCATGTACATTGTCACAGATTCCAAATGTTGTTGTACATAATAACTAATAATTAATTGAACAGCAGATTACGAAAACTGGAAAGATTCATCGTCTGATGCTTTGCCCACAGTTCATACTTTAACAGTATCGAAAAAAAATCCATTTTTGTGCCTCAGTGCAGCTTGCTAAGTTAAAGTTGTTTGCTCTTTTGCTTCTGGAGCTGTACGGTCCAACACAAGGCAGAGTCTCTAGCTAGTAGGCTGGGTAGTTCGTCTTTTCTTGCTACCAGCACTCCTGGTGGTGGACGGAGAACGTTTTCGACGACGAGAAGGGGAGCTGTTCTTCTTTCCACTTCGCTTGACAGCAAGACTGCGTCGCCCGGCACTGCTATTTCTGGTAGCAATGGAAGCTGATACAACTGCAGGACCTGCTCTTGATGTCCTCGCACGGGCTCTTGTACTTTGAGCTGTGGTTGTTGCAACATTATTTGAACTTGTAGAAGACCTGGGTGTAGAACCCATTCCAGATTGAATTGGAGTGTCCTCCATGGGACGATAAAGCTTGCCGGTACATTTTTCAGAATTACATAAGCAGATCTCTTGAAGCTTCGATATGTCTCGTGATTCCCAAGAATAGTTCCACACGAGCTCTTCATATTTCTCGACAGGGCGATTCGTTCTCAGGACCCATATCTTCCTGCATTCAACGAAAACTCCCTCTAGGCGGCAGTTTGGATCGCAGCTATGGTTGGCATACCGTGCTTTGCTGCCCTTCCGAGAAGCGTCAATGATCAACGAGACTTCAGTGTTCTTGCTTTTCTTTCCTGCTGGTTTCATATCAACCTCCATTGCATAGTCCCCTTTAGCTGTGTCGGGCTCACCATGCCACGCTTTCAATGCCTTTATCTCCCCTGTATACTCGCACACCACTGTGTCAGCTGGCATGTTCATTGTGGCTTCGAGGCTCAGGTAGTTATTGAAAGGATCATTTCGCCACACTTCAGCTCTTGAGGGGCCTTCAAGGTTGTTGCCACATAACACATTCTTGTGACGCATTTGGCATGTTGAAAGGCACATACTATTTACGTAGCGGTTGAAACAAAGGCGACCTTCAACACACGTGAAGCCAATCCCTTTATTGGCCCGAACAGATGAAGACTTGCAACAGGAACAACAACCAGAACCTGCCTCCTGGCTACAGTGTTGTGAGTCACGGTCCAAAGAAATCTTCCGAGTGTGCCAGTCATTCTTGTCGATAAACTCAAATGTGGCCGGAAGCCCGCGGCTTTCCAAGCAGATGTTTTCTCTCTCCGCCAACTCATTTTCAGTTAAGGGTCGCCTGAAATTGCAATGATGCTTGCTAGCATAGACCTGGATTGGCAGAGGCACTTCTGCTGCCCAAAGTTGCATGTTGGCCTTGTCTTCGGGTGGAACAGGTGTCTTATGGGTAGAATCCCAAAAAGGCTTCAAACTCCCCATGCTCTCAATGCCCATGGCACGGATGAAGATTGCAATATCATACAAACATCCAAGCTCTTTCCCCCTTGTGTTCTTGAATGTTGTCATATATAGGCCACTTTCTTGAATTGTCTCGATGAGGTTGAGGCGTTGTAAGGTCTCCAATGCATCTTTGTCGCTCAGATTAGGCGTGGTTTGGATAGTCGCCATGTTCACATGTCTGTATCTTGCCCAAACAGAGAGAATCCTTTTCTCTTGTGGATCCAATACATCAAGATTCAGCTTCTTCTCTTGCAGCAACATCATCTGAATCTGGTCAAGGGCATTGGACCTAATGCGCCTCAATCCAATCTTCTCCAAGAGAGGAATGACACGTTCATCAACATTGATTGTCAACAAAAGCTCTCTATCTTGTTGGGGGGTGTGGCTGTGGTACTTGTCCTTACCACAGCAATAGAAGGCCCCTCTTGAAGCGGAGCGTGTTCGAGGCATGATGGTTCTTGTGAGTTCTTCTTCGTTTTGGCAAGAAAATTATGAACCCAGTGTGTGTGGCTTTTGTGAAGCGGCAACGGCTCATTGTCTGTTTCGTTTTGGGGCCGTTTTGCACGGCTCAATGTCTGTTTCATCTGTTTCGTTTTCGGGCCGTCTTGTTTTTGAGTGATATGTTTCAATTCAGTTTTGATTTTGAAACAGTTGAAACCTGACCGAAACCCAACCATTGCAGTCATTTATACACCTATGTTGTCAAGGAAGCATGGAGACTACGAAGCTGCTGGAGCCAGCCATCCTCCCACGTAGAAATCGACCGAAAGATCCGTCGTCAAAAGAGGCCGTCAAAGGTCAAAGGCCGTCGTCGAACGAAGTGTTTCAAACGGAATGGGTGAAGAGTCAACCGATGCCACTGTTGTTATTGATAGCAGCCGCTACTGATGGTACGGTACAGTAGAGTCATCATGGTCGCTCCTTTTCTTGAGGCCCCGTGGAAGCTGTCGTCGATCCACCGAACCAAAGAAGTCACCGATTGATAGGTCGAACCCAAGAAGAAGCTCGCTGCCTCTATTTCCAGCATATCCAACCAAACGGAGCCTGCCATTGTGGAGACTTTGTCAAAAGGAGTAGCCGCTGTAAAGAGTACAGAGGACGTAACACATCACCTTGATAAGAGTACATGTACAGAGCACGTAACATCTCTTCAGGATACTTGAGAGATCAAACAAATCGAAATGGTACCTACTAGACGTCTAGACTAGCTAGCTAGCTGTTGTAGCTAGCTACCGTAGTACAGTCGTACCTAGTAGGAACCAGGGTGTGGGACTCACATGAAATACACGCTGCGTGTACTCGATGTGAGTACGGGTACTGAGTACTGAGTATACTCAGTACCCATACTCACATGACCTCAGAAAATGTGAGTATTACTCAGTACCCGTACTCACATGACTCCGGATTTTGAGTACTTTTTGAGTCTTCGGTGAGTACTTCGGTGAGTACTTCGAAGTGAGTACCAGTGAGTACTCGGTGAGTATTTTGTGGCTTCCAAGAAAGAGTTTTCAGTTCTTGTACATGGTTTGATGGAAAACTCAGCAATGGACAGAAGGTTGACATGACATTCCAAATGCGCCTTCTTTGCTACAAGAACAGTGCATTCATCCAGAACTACAAGCAATGCATCAATGATGCAAGAAAGGAATGGGCTAAGAATAGGACCAAGGATCTCCTCAAGCTAACTGCCAGCAGATGTGAAGAGGAGGATTATGACAGTGATATTGATGCCATGGTGGACCTTTACAACAAGATTGATGAGCCCCCAGCCCAGAACTAGAAAAACGTAGATAATTTCTCTAAGTAATTGATTTATGAGTACTCAGTGAGTACTCTATAGTACCCACAAAGTACCTGTACTCACATGATACCCGTACTCACTTGACCCTGGGAATTGTGAGTATTACCCAGTACCCATACTCACTTGACTTTGGAATTGTGAGTACTACTCAGTACCCATACTCACATGCTAAAACAGTGTGAGTACCACGCCCTGGTAGGAACAACGTACAAAAGAACTCGACTGGACTGAGACTCGTCACTCGTCACTGGAGAAAGATGTCAGCAAGCCTCTTGTGGCTCTGAGGGTTGAGGCTAATACTTTACCTTTAAGTCTTTGTATTATTCCTAAGTCTTTTCTGGTTTCCTTTAAGGATTAGGCTAGAATTTCTGCCCCGCAACAGCTTTACCGCTACGGTACAGTACCTGGTACCTCGGACTGTACCGTACCAGTGGCTTCGTGACGACCTCGGGTGTGCGACGATTCGAATCGAATCGATTCAATTCGATTGAGAATCATTCATTCGATTTGGCTTCATCATCGGAAGAGCCCGCGGGAGTGCTTGTCCGAGAACTTGGGAAACTCGAGGAAATTTTTTGCCTGGGAACCGTTGCGCTTCTTTGGTGGCTCGGGGGAGCAAAGTAGAGGTGGTTGCCAACACATCTGTGGGGATACTGTAAAGTCGTGATCGACCGAGCATGGGCCTGAACGGAGAATGGTCGCGCCTCAAAAGAGCAAGAAGAATGGTTTTCAGTCACCCATTTCTGCTGCTGCAGGCAATGATACTGCTTCAGCCTGCCTTGATCCATTCAGCGTTAGGATCTTCTGAGATATTACACTTGCGGAGAAATGATGAACGGCTTCAACAATCGCAGGCGCAGCAAGCGCAATACCCGCAATTTCAGCCCTCTTCATCTGCTCGATCTCTAGAATACGAACGTGGCAGTTTTGGATCCCTTGTTGATGTTCCAGCCAGTGACTTCACAGACGCGAGCCACAACAATATTGCTACTAGCCACTACCGCTACAATGAACGAGATTGGAATGTTCAAGTGGACACGGGTGGGCCGTTTGTAGGCCCGCAAGTGTTTGCAGAACCACGTTCGTCCCGGAATGACACCACGGGTCAAAGCTACAGGAATAACAACGCACCATGGTACGGAGCAGAACCCACCAAACGCATCATTGGAGGATACGAGGCTGACCCTCATCCATTTCACTCCATGCTGCTGTTGCGATATGGTGGCGGCTGGAGATGGGCCGGTTGTGGCGGAACTCTCATATCGAACTGCCACGTGTTGACAGCCGCACATTGCACCGTTGATCCTTCCAAGCCCGTAGGGGCAGTGTTTGTCAATGCACATCGTCCGTATCAAGACAACCAGGGACTCCCCTTTCACTTTAGCGACGTACAGCATGTGACTCGACATGCAGGCTTCAATAGCAGTACCAATCAAAATGATATTGCCGTCATCAAAATGACTAAATGCCTCAATGTTACCGAGTTGACCGAGTTCCCTCCAGCCATTCCAGCGGCTCCCACCATGCAAATTCCATCACAGATGTTGGCTGATATTTTGGGATTTGGAAAGCTCTCGGAACAAGGCAGCCTCTTTTTCAACGTTGAAGCTCTGCAGAGGGCTCAAGTACCTGTCATTTCCCAACAAAGCTGCAGACAGTATTATGGAGATCGTGTCAAAGAAGACATGTTTTGTGGTGGTTTTGCAGAAGGTGGTGTCGATGCTTGCCAAGGTAGGTAGCAAACAGAACGATGTTTTCTTTTGTTTGGATGGATAGACAGGCTTTGTATTCCCACCTAAACGCTTCTTCGTCCCGCTGTTCCTTGCTTGTATCTACTAGGGGATTCTGGAAGTTCCATGACATTTGAACAGGAGCAGGATGGGACCACTGTCATTTTAGGGGTCATCAGCTGGGGGGTCGGGTAAGTATAGCCCAGTGTGAAAGGCTTGTATTGTTTGCCAGTGGTGGTCTTCTTCCTTCATGATCATTCGATTCTCACTTTATCCTTGGAAATGCGTTGGTAGTTGTGGTCGAAGCCAAAGTCCGGGTGTTTATGCGTCTGTGCAGTATCACTACGATTGGATTGCCAGACAGGTTTGCACCGAACCTGAAACTGGTAATATTACAACCTGGTGCTCCACCGAGACTTTTGGTCAGACTCTTAGTCCCATCACAGGCAGCCATTCTTCTGCTTTTGACTTTGGAAACATCACTGAATACGAAACGCTTCAACCAACAGCACTTCCTGCTACCTACAGTAGTACGAAAGGTGACGGAGGCAAAAGATCCTCCAGCAAGGATCGGTCAGAGGAGGATCGGTCGGATGATGCTGCTGCCAGGTTCCAAGACTCTCCCTCCTCTTCTATGTTTGTCGTTCTTGATCCATTGCCCACAGATGATGCGAAGGCGCCAGCTACCATTTCCAGCAGCATCACAATAAACACTGTCGAAACAACAAGAGTTGTGACTAGGACAGCGCAACAGTCAGGGGCAAGGTCTGCCTCGTCGTTCCCAAATCGGCATCAACATTCACCCATTGTCCCTCAGTCGACCCACAAACAACGGACTTCATCCCATGCTCACCGCAGTGGTGGAGCGGTATCTTTCTGGGCTGATGGTGCCAGCGGCTGCAAGCCTTCGGGAAATCCCTGTTGGTTAGGCAATGAGTGTTGTTCCGGGATTTGCCGTCACAATGAGAGTATTGACTTGGGTGGCACCAGCAGTGCCGCTTCGTCATCGGTGTGTTTGTCTGCCAATGCGTTCCAAAGAGTTTTCGACGACACCCCAGGTACCAGATCTGTCGCTAAGGGGGGTAGCTTCCACGATCAAGGCAAGCCTGGAGGAAGATGACTAGGATAGCAATCTACGAGCTAGATCTTTCGGAATGGCACACTAAAAGAAGATAGAGAGACAGACAGTTGCATGGGTACTGTTCAGGATTTCCAAATGCATCTTTCCTTCAGCATGAGTGCAACAAGTTTCTTTCTATATAATGCTTGTACCAGGTATCAATCGTGATGGCAGAGTGCAGACTGGCTGCTGCAGAGAAAAAAAGTATCTGTGGTCCCCTCCTTGTCTTGGCACCAGAACTTAGTAGCTTATAGAAGACAGTTTACTTTGAGATACATGGAGGTTGCTGTGGAATTGGGGGTGATACGATGTACCACAAGAATGGTTGCCCACCCTACTAGCTCGGATGGCCTGGATAGGAATCTTCAATCAAGGTGCAGATGACATCGTCATGGATAGCACCTTACAATAGCTAGCCACGGTTTCAGGCATCTTCAGCAGCCAAGGCAGCTGCCTGCTGTGCGGTAATCTTATCAAGCTGTCGTTGGTACATCGAATAAGTTTTGAGAACCGAAAAGTTCTTGACGGTGAATTCACACGAACTTGGAACCTCCATTCCAACAAAGGGTTCCCCAGTAGCCTTATAATCACGATGTAACCCCTTCAAGTTGTCAAATTGACTCTCAGACAATGGAGGCAATGTCCCACTCTTGGACCAACAACAGAAAGCCTCCAGACGAGGACATTCACAGGTAACAAACACGTTACCAGCTTCCTGAACATCCAATGAACGCAAAGAGCTGGACCGGATAACGACACATTGGCTTCCCGAGAAAGGCCGATGCATGGAAATCAGTTCCAGTCGTTCCAGCTTTGACAGCTTGGGGATGTGCTGGACAAGAGAGCTCAAGTTTTCAGGATTCCAAAGATCCATGTGTGACAGCTTGAGGCGCAACAAGTTGGGCATGTTGCTCAACAGTTGGCAAGGGATGTCCCTATCCGAAACTGTAATTGAGAATTCCTCCACTGTGGAACACTTTGGGACCAATGCTTGGATCAATGAAGAACGTTGTGCTATAACCTCTCTCTCCACTGCAGTCCGTGGTCCGACTACAAGATCAATATCCAGAACTTTGAGCTTTGTGTCCAATGTATTGAGCAACCTGGTAACGCGAGGTATGTCACGGTGTCGTTTGAACCGGATGGCTCCAAGCGAAACGCATTTGTGCTTGCAAACCCAACCAAAATGGATGTTGTCGAATCTTGGCCTCCCACAAAAGTCGACAACTAGGGGTGCCACGATGCTACACATTTGACTTGACAGATCACTGGATTTATCACTTGAAGCAACCATATCCTTCAGAGGTTCGCTCCAAGGTTTGCTAAGCAAGTAACGTGTCATTCGAAGGCCATCTGAGCTGGAAAACTGACTGCTTGTAGCGTTTTCAAAGACAATGGCCTTATGAGCATTGTTGTATGACACTGCTTTCTGGTTGTGACTCATCGCAGCCTCTCCATTGACATAAGACAGGACTTGCAATATTGACTCGGGCCTTTTACCGAGATCCAGAATGATTTTCTTGAAGGGATCAACTTCCACGTTTGCTGCTGTACCTTCCATGGCAGCAGCACCATCACCCACCACGGAGGGATCCACGATGACTGCCTCCTGGTTGTTGGATGTATTGGCATTGTTCTTGGGCCGTTTGGCTCCACGACGACTTGAACCCTGTCTCTTATTCTTTCCTGAAGAAGACTTTGCCATCTTGAATGAATATAGCTGCTGTCTTCAAGAAAGGGTTGCGTTTTTAGTTGGTTGGTTGGTTGGTTGGTTGGTTGGCTGCGGGCTCGCTGGCTGGTGAGAGGAAGGTTTGTAATGCTATTGCATGCAGCTCCGTGAATGTCTCCACTGGTGCTATGATGTGAGAGCCGAACTATGATTGCTGAAATCGTATGAACTATGATTATAGTTTCCACGGAGAAGAATGAATGGAGTTCCACGCTACAGGTCCGGACCCAGCTTTCCACCGGCCGTTAACACACAGATAGCTAGAGTATCTACAAATAAGCACCCGCGATACGTAGGTCGACAGCCCTCGCGGCTTGTGGTCCCCCGCCGCTCGACTCATCACTCACTGTCACTCATGCAACGGTTTGAAACTTTCGAAGAGGTCAGGAAGCGGGGAAGCTCAGCCATCCCCCCCCCCATTGCTATGGACATGCCCTGTGGCATGCCATGAGGTACCGGTACCAGGTACTACCGGTACCGTAGGGCAACATTGACTCTAACAGATGGAAGTAAAACAAGTGCCTTGAGCCAACTAAGGGAAGTGAGCGTTGGTCGTGCTTTTGTACCATTCTTGGTATACTTACTCTAGCTAGACAAGTGCCTGATTTCACCGTGCACTTGGGTGACAGGTTCAGTGGCAGCTTCCGAGTTTGCTCTGATCGCTGGCTGGACTTGCACCCACCCACCCCCTCTCTTGTATTGAAGTATGACTGGGAACCAACCAGCTTTTGCTGCGGGTATCATGATTTGTCATTCCAAACGCATCAATGAGCAACCCTACTATCAAGCTCTGGTGACAGACCTTCCATCAACCTTGTAAAGGACGGATTCGATTCAGCTACCGTACGTCCTCCATGCCCGGCAAATTTCTGGTAGCTTCGGCAGACCAACTCATGTAGAGAAACCAACTGCAGACCTTCTGTGGCGTTGTAGTATTATTTTTAACATTTAAAATAGTTTAAAATCTCCGTTTTTCTCTTGTGGAAGCGGGAAACTGGAAGGATGATTTTTTTGAGTGTGTGTTTGGGAATAAATCAAGTAGGGAAACAAGTTGTGTGTAATAGGTAAAAGAGATGCAATCATTTGACCCAAATCAAAAATTACACCATGGAGTCTTCCGGAGGAGAAGCAGAAGAAGACGAAGACTCGGTACCTGCCACGGATTCGAGATCAAAGTTGCAGAGAGGACAACGAGTGTGACCCGTGGTCCACGAAGAAACACAATCGTCGTGGTATATGTGTGCACAGGGAAGTCGAACCAATTTTTCTCCGTGTTCATATTCCCCTAGGCAAATGGAGCAGTGGGGACCATCTTCTTCCAATCCCTTGGCATGTTCTTCCTGCGCTACACTCCCATAATCGCCTGCTCCCTTGAGGGGAACGGCCATTCCACCTTCCATGCCTTCTTTAAAGGCAAAGTGTTCCCATTTGGACTTGGCATCATCACTGACGCCACTACTTGCATTGTTGTTGGGTCCATCGGGATGTCCATGTCCTCCCATTTGCATTTGTCGCTGGGATTCCATCATGGCGAGTGCAAGCTGTGCTTGGAAGGACAAGAATCGTAGGTCGTTTCTGTCAATTTCAGTTGTATTGGGATCGGCGTTTTCCAGGTAGGAGCGGATGCGTTCATCGAGGGCTTCTTCGCGTTCTCGGTTGTGTCGAATCAAGCGAGCGGTCCAGGATGTCCCAAAGAGACAGAGCATCATGACAAAGACATCGCCCGACTGGAGCGCTTCGACCCACAATCGAAAGAGGACAAAGACTGCCAACAAGATGCAAGCACTGGTGCGTCGTCGTGCCAATTCACGTTCTTCTTCCAATTCGGTTAGCGTGACAGTTCCACCTCGGGTTGATAAACGAGGAATGGTAGCAGTCAGTTGTGCCGCGTCGTCCTGGTCGTCGTCCTCTTGGTTGTTGTGGTTGTCCATGACACCCGAGTCATCTTCATCGGTTGCAGCAGTGCCCATTTCTTCGTCCTCGTCGCTGGCAACAGTCTCAACAACCACGCTGCTGCTATTGTTGTTGTTGTTGTTGTTGTTGTTGGTCTCTTCGTCATGGCTCACACGAGACACGGAGGCTTCGTCCGTCGGAAGTCGCTCATGTCTCGCTCCAAAGGTAAAGAGGCTGCTGATTGCGGTGGCCATGGTGAACGCCTATGTATGTTATAGTATGAGAGAGTTTGGTATGTACTGGAAATTCTTCTCCTGTGGAAGGATCTGGTGTAGTTATTTGTTGATTGAGAGGTATTGAACGATGGATAATGACAAGAATTGACAAGAAGGAACCTGTACAACAACAGTTATTATAGTTGTTTGCCACCTGTTCGTTTCGATTCCTTGCTCCTTTGCTTGTTGAAGCCTGCTTGATGAGGTACGGTAGGAAGTGCCAAACGCTGGATAAAAGTCAGTGTCAGTCATTCCCATGCTGTTTGGTCTTGAAAGGAAATCCCTCATCTTCCTTTAAATTTACCCTTGCTCTCGACGGTTGTTGGGCGGGTCGACAGTCGACAGCCCTCGCGACTTGTACAAAAGGTGTCCCGCGCCACTCGACTGAGTCACTCGTCACTCGCTGTGACTCAACGGTTTGAACTTTCGAATCACAATCATGAGGCAGCCAGCATGCATGCACCAGACCGCACCAGAGCAGGCAGCAAAGGAGAGGAGAAGGAACATCTTTTGTGAGTACAGTACTGTACTGTACTGTATCGATCGATCGACTGACTTGACAATGTCGGAATCCCGATCGTACATGTATGCATATGGAGGTCCTCTGGCCAGAGTACATGTAGGTCGTAGCAAACGAAGGCAAGAGGAGAGCAACACGGATGCTGGTAGTATTTTGATGGATTACAGCAATGACAACATGGAGAATTCGTATTTGATGGATGTGGTGGGGGAAGACTCTGGCGACACAATTTTGGGAGGGCTGTCTACTTCCTTGTTGTCTTCGGAAAGTCATTTGGATCTCCATGTACTGGGAAGCAAGCTCTCGTCTCAAGAAAAAATCATCCAAACTCCGGCCAAACAAACACAAACACAAACACCCACTTCCATCATTACCAGCAACCTGCTCTCCCCCTTTTCTCCATTGCTTCAACCGCACACACGCTCACAAACACAATCACAATCAAACAACAACAATGGCAGAGACTTTGTTTCTTGGCAACCACCAGACTCGTTCAGGGAAGGAGACTTGTCACTGCAACCGTGTCGAAAAGTGTCCGTGGTTGTTCATGTATCGTACCAATCAAACAAATGCTCTCCAGATCCTACATGTACTACCAAATCTCCACAGCTCTGCCTATTTCCTCTCGTGCACAATGATGATAACCACGTACTGTCACATGACAACAATTCAAGCAACAACAACAACAACAACACGCTATCACCCACATCGGCGACCTTGAATGCTGCCGTCGGAGCACGGGATCTCATTGTCGTTAATCCCTCGGCTTTTGGAAAATTCATTCCTTCAGAAATCACAATGGAAACTGCTCGTCTTGTGGCACAGGTGGCCAACATTGAGTCGGAAGATTGGGCGAGAACATACAAATTCCAACATGTCATTTGGCCAGATCAACAGGTTAGATCCTTTCATCACATGGCACAAGCCATGGCCAATGATATACTACTGTTCTCCAAAAATAACAACAACAACAACAACAACAACTCAAAGACACAACAACAACAAAAACAACCACAACCAAAAAGTGCCACAAAGAGCAACGAACACAACAACCCAATGACGCCGTCGACCAGCAGAATTGTCATTGCCACTGGATCCAGCAGTGACAAGACCAGCGTCATCTTTGGAAGAGCCAAGACTCTGAAAACAAACGGCAACACTACCAAGCAGTCAGCAGCAGCAGCAACACAATCAAACACAAACACAAAAACAAAATCTTCTTCTATGAATAGCAAGCGAGAACGCTTGGAAGAGTACGGAGTGCTGGGCGTCACGTTCGACTATCTACTCCAAAATATGCCACAGTATGCGGTATGCGCGCTCTCCGTATACGAAATTGTCCAAGAAGACCAAATACACGATTTACTGCTGGTGTCCCCGAAAACAACAGCAACAACAGCAACAGCAAACAAAAACAATGTCACTACGAGACAGCGAACGCCCAACTCGGTGCAAATACGACAACCCAGGGATGGAAAAGGTGCAGTCGTAGAAGGATTGACAGAGTTTCCAGTTGATTCCTTGGAAAGTCTGAGAGATTGTTTGGAGCCCATATTAGTGGCGGCGGCCAAAAAAGGTCAGGTCAACAACAACAACAACCGAAAAAGGACGCCCACATGTTATCAGGGCGGGCATATTGTAGCTTCTCTCAAGCTATGGCAGAGTGCGGTCCAGCATGATCTCAATCGACAAACGAAATGTGCCATCTTGACATTTGTTGATCTTGCTAGCGCCAATACCACCACTGCCTTGTCATCGATGCCGCAAGTGCCGATTGAATTGTCCAAATCAGATGACCGCATGTCCCCTGGGCGAAACAGCAGCACTGCTGCTGACATGCGACGAGGAACCGCGACAACCCGCCAGTCTGCCTTTTTGAGAACATCCGTGTCCAGCTTGGGTGGTGTGCTCAAGGGGGCAGTTATGAAAGAAGCAGGGACTGATACCGTCATCCCATATCGGAATAGCACCCTCACCAAAGTGTTGCAACGATCTCTCGATCACCCCGACTGTCGTGTTGTGGTGCTCGCAAGTTTGTCGCCTCTCAGCGATGCATATGATGGAACGCTCAGTACCTTGCGGTACGTCGAACGGCTTCTCGTCAGAACAGGACTGCCAAAAAGCCCGTTTGAGAAAAGGCCGATAAAGTTGCCAGGCTCGATGCAACCATCGCCTCAAACGGACACGTCGTTATCGACATCTTCCCCGACGATGCCAACAACACCCCCACAACCCCAAGCATTGATGGAGCAGTTTGCGGGGAAAGAATCCATCTTGGAAAGCGTCGTCTCAGATCCTCGTCAACGGCTCGCCAGGTTCTACAGGTCACAACAGCTTGCCAAAGATAGTCCAACAGGCAGCGCTGCAGAAAGCAGCGAGGGTGTCTGGTGGAACGGCCCTCACTTGGGACAATCACCAAAAACGGGCTATATGGAAGTTGATCCTGGAACTATCCACAAGGAAGAGGCATCCGAAAAGGCCAAGTCGAACGGCGCTAGTGCTGAGCCAGCCACACAGAAAGAAATCGAGCAAGACAACATGGATCCACTGGAGGAAGAGCGACGGAAGCAGTCGACTTCGCTGGCTGAGTACATCATGCCACCGGTGTCTCCAGTGGTCAATGATGATGATCGCGATCAACGTTCTGAGAGCAGTTTTGAGTCCATCCAAAAGCAGGAGCTTCCCAAAATGGAAGTAGCAAGGTCTTTCGAGTCTGACCCCAGCTATCTGCATTACCGACCTCCTGCTCCATCCAATGGCGACATAGTTGTGCAGCTGGCCAAGGAAAAATTGCGGCACATCCCACAAGATCCACCGCAACAAGAAAGTCCGGCCAGACAGGACAATCAGCATCTTGACAACGACAACTCGCCAGGAAGTCCCCTTGATGGAGACTCATATGGAGCATTCAACGGTCAAAGGACGCCGAGTAGGTTGCTGGAATCAACGAGAGAGAGTTCTCCAATTCATGACTCGTCGCCTGGCACCACGAGCCACCAAGATTCCAGCTTGCCACCAGAACCTGTTGGCATGTACCAAGACCCAACGAGTGGTCGAACGTCCACTGGTTTTTTCCGTGAAATGGCAACTCTGGAGAGCTCCGTAGATGCTATGAAAAGTGCGAATCATGGCATCTGGCAAGCAAGTGCTTCGTCCATCCGACAACTCAAGGACATCCAACTGGCACAGCAATCCACGCTTAATGACTTGATTGCACAGCGAGATCATGCCATGGATATGGCACGCAAAAGCCAGGAGGAATACTCCAAACTGTCGCTGCAGATTGGCGACCTGTTAAAGGAGAAGGATTCGGAAATCATTGCTCTGAAGGATGTTGTTGACAAGGCGCAGGCTGACCGATCTGATGTCGAGAAGATCGCAGAGGAAGCCATCGCAGCCCAGGATACTCTTGAACGTGCAGTGTCGGAATTGGAGAAGAAGCTCATTGCAAACAGGTCAACTTCCCAGGGAGCGCAAGAAGAACTACAAAGAGTTGCGCAGGCGAAAGAGCAGGTTGCAGAAGAGTTGTTCAATGTCAGGAACGAGCTATTTGCCTGCAAGTCAACTCTCAACGACAGAGATATCACTGCGAAAGAGCTGGAATTCAAACTAAAGAGTCTAGAGGAGGAGTTGCAGCAACTTGCGCAGCAGCAAGCCGACAGCGAGAATTCCACGAAGCTCCTCCAAGATGAGCTCCTGGGGGTCAACGAAACTCACCAGAACGAGAAAAATGAGTGGAAGAAAGTCGTCTCCGGACTGAAGAAGGAGAACAAGGCATTGTGTTCAAAGCTGAACAGTCGGGAATCAGAAGTATCAAATCAGCTTGGAAAGGCGGACGAGGAGCTGAAGCGTTGCCAAGGGGAACTTGCGGAGGCAAGACGAGACCTGGAGATGCACCTGCAACAGGATCAAATCGTGTCGAAAAGTATGCAATCGGAACGAGCAACTTTTCGTCACGAGATCTCTCAACTCAAAAATGCCGTGAAAGCTCGCAGCAGCGAACGTGACGAAGCCATCAAACAGCTTGAAGCAACACGAAGAAAGTACGATGACGCCACCACAGAACATGACCGCACCAGAGACGATCTGGTCCAACGAGTAGCCGACGTCGAGGAGTTGTCGGCGAGCTTGCAACTGGCACTTGAAGAACAAGAGAATCTGCGAGACGACCTCTACCGAAAAGAAAGAGCCCAGGAAGACGAGAAAATCGAGATGAAGCATCGTGTCCAGCGGGCATCGAAGTATCGCGACGAAGCGGCTGCGATGTTGGACAAGACAGTGGTCGAGAATCGCACGCTTGTGAAAACCAACGAAAAGTTGCAGGCAGCTGTGGAAAAACTCAAAGTAGAGCGCGACGAAGCCGTCCGCGACCTGGCGAATGTTCAGAGCTCTGTGGAAAGCCTCGAAGAAATGAGCAAGAGAGGCGAAAGTGCTCATTTCCGATTGAAGCACGAACGAGACTCCTTAAAGAATGAAAGAGACAAGCTAAGAGAGCTCCTGAGGGGCGTACATCATGACCACAGCGAGGTACTAAATATGCGCACGAAGGAACAGGAAGCCCTGTCTGCGCTCCGACTAGAGAACGACGCCTTGCTCCGCAAGCAAGGCCGGGGCGGCGGCAGTCTACGACGAGAACGAGATTCTTTGAAAGGAGAGCGCGACAGGCTGCAAGAAAGGCTACGTGAAGTCATGGCCGAGTCCTCAAATACTTCACAGGCCTTGGTGTCAGCCAGAGCTGAAATCGAACGATTGAAGACTGAGAAGAACATGGCTCGTCGCACCACCACCACCACCACCGAAAGAAGGCGCCGCGAAGAGATTGATCGTTACAGCACGCCCCTGCATACCCGCACGGAACGTGAGTTCATTGGATCCATCGATGTTCCACCAACCGATCCAAAAACTCCCCACCTGGCGCGACAAAGGAGCAACGTAAATGATGCGGAGCCCGATGGCTCACTTGGAGCAGAATCTCTTCGTCATCCGATGGCTCGGATGGATGGGTTTGCAGGCCCATTGCCTACCGGCAGGCCTGTGAATAGAAACGACATGATGTCGAGTCCACCGCGCAACCGGAATAGCCAAAGTAGGGAAGTAGCTGACTCAGGTGCTTCCGCCACCACAGCGAGACGACTGCCCGTCATGCCAATACCGAATGACTTCTTGTCAGGCACAGTGGCCAACATGAATCGGTATCCGGAATACTATCTCTCAGACGAAGACGACAAGGAGCTTCTGATCGCTGCATTGAAAAGCAAAGTGAAACTTCTTGAGCGGGCTTTCATGGTGGGGCATGAGAGTCCGAATTGGCAGCCATGACCTCAATGTTAAAACTGGCGCTGGATAGTTATGAGACCGAGTGGGCTCCAAATCAGCAATAACTTCTTGTCGGTTACAAGCTTGTAGTTCATCCCAATGACTGACCAAAAGCCATTGCTGGTTTGACGCCTTCCTTCTCACCAAGGAATTGTCAGAGAAAAGGCTTCGACGAGCATTTCAAACCTGCTTGGATGCCTGGCGGGCTCCTGCATCATCTGGAGTGGTAGCTACATGTAATGCTGGGGCTAGCAGCACCACGGGAAGGCTTAGCATTTCAACAGTACCAGTGCCCTCAGTCCAGGCAAAGGGGAACAGATGGTCGCGTGGGTACCTTAAAATTATTTAATAAAATTGCTACAGTGTAGTAACCTGCCCTGACCAACGGTATCTTCTCCTAGCCTAGCTGCTAGCTAGCTAGCTAGTCTAGTAATCACTTTTTACTTTGTATTTGTTGCAAGACTAGACTTCAATTGGTTAGGGTTAGACATTATTTCAAAACGCGTACGTCAGTCCTCCGCCTTTTGACACGAAAATTGAGTGGAAGTTGAATTTGGGGCCGCAAAGTGTCTCCCTCCGACCTCTCCCTCTCCAAAGGATCAATTTGAGGAACGGTGGGGACGTGGAACCCACACCAAAGCACACAGGAGTGAAGCAAGAGTACTGTACAGAGCTGAGCCTTTTGGCATTGGATCCGTTCATAGTTATTTGTTCAGAAGAAACTTCATTCGACCTATAGACCAGGCAGCGAAATATCTTCCCTACCTCACATCACTAGACAAGATGAAATTCCGATCCGAAACAGCGAGCTTGCTGGCATTTCTATTGGCGGCTACAGATTTGGAATCCACATCTGCCTGGAGCCTCAGTGGTCCTTGTGCCCCCAGCTTGCATGGATCCAAGAGAAGCAAGAGTTTTTCCCCTCGAAGGCGTGTTTTTACCAGCAGGAGACTGGCAGCTTCCACAAATGATAACTTGAACATGGAATCCCTGAACAGCAAAATGGGTGAATTTGAGTATCTGCTTCAAGAAACCGCTGACCCGAGTGTGGTTGCCAAGGCCCAGGCAAACACGTCAGGACGACGAAACTTTCAATTGCAAGTTGGTGATCACCAACAGAAGGTTATCCTGGCATCCAGTACCGCGGCAATGGCTACCGAGGATGCAGAATCGGCCGTCCTAGAAGAGGGCGAAGCTGCCTCTGCCGACGCCTATGATCCCTATGCTGAGGTTGATTACCAACAACAATTGGGAAAGATTCAATCTCTGGAACAAGCTCCACCCTCTCTAGAGGATCGGTTTAAGTCCATGGACTTGCAGGATATAATCACAACACTCATCCTTCCTGCCATTATCAGTTTTGCTGGACTTCGCTGGGGTTTCAACAAGGTTTCGGGGAGAGTAGCAGAGAAGGCCGATACACTTCTCGATCAGTTTGCCAGCGAAATGGTATTCCATGATGGCGATATGGAGGAGCTGAGAATGTGCCATGCCGATTATAGTCGACAACTCATGTGGCTGGGACCACGAAAGGGAGATGCCATGATCAAACGATTCTTGGAGGCTTATGCCAAGAAAAAGACTGTCAGTCCACAAGCTATCGGGTGAGTAGTGTGTGTGTACCCGGCGGAATCTATCAATCACTGCAGGTCTTGTGCGTCCGTACTCGTGTGTGTTGTTTTTGCATACTTGCTTGGGTCCTTGGTTCTTGGTCCTCGGTCTGCATTCGACCATTTGCCTTCTAGAACCCCCTGATGTAATGCCTTTGTCTTCTGTATCATGCACATGACTTGTACGGAATTTCAACATCTTCATCATCTAACCACAATCTTTTATTACTCCTCTTGTTCTGCATCTCTGATTCAATTCCTGCCTCAGAACCCTCTCCTACGTCTTTACCCTCTTTAAGTTATCCGAAGTCAAAGCTGCCGATACCCTGGTATCCCTCTGCCGAGAAATGGGTGCCGATAAGGTCAGTTCCGCCGGGAAAATCCTCTTCTTCGGATCTCGCATCTTGAAAACTCCCGAAGGCAAGCAAGAACTGGAACCAATCAAGGACATTATCAAGGGAACTTACCGCGACGAGGCCGTTGCCGAGACGTTGGTCGAAACCTCGCAACAAGCCATGGGAGAGGCGGCATACCGTTCCACAGTACTGGCCGGTGGCAAGAAACAAAAGTCACTGACGGCGGGATGGGAAATCTTGGGATTGGACAAGGAAACGGCCACGAGGATATTCGAAGATGCCCAAGAAGACGGGTTCGTCTCGGAGCGTGAAGCCATGTATGGCGGACAAGCGCAAAAATATGACAAAAAGGGACGTGTGATTGATGATGAGGGTAAACTGAAAAACCCCGAGGAAGCAGCAGAAGATGATGACGATGACGATGACAGTAGTGCGACTTCACCGTCCAATGTGTATGTATGCGGCAACTGCGGGTACACGCTCTTCATTGCCAAAGGTCGAGAGTTCAAGTTTTATGGCGATGATTTCAGCTGTCCCGAGTGCGGTGCCAAGAAGGATCAATTCAAGCCCGCCAACATTGAGGAGGACTAGCTAGGCTAGGATAGGCTAGCTAGACGCTCCAAGCAGTAGCTACGTACTTCGCTCCAATGAATGAAATGAACACCTGTATTCCTAACTTCCACGTAGCTAGCTAGTGTTCACTATTTGCTACTGCTGCATAATACTATCATGGTGGATTAATTAAAAAATTGCTATTATGTAAGTACCGGTATCTGTTATGTTGCCATGCTTTGTTCTTTCTACTAGCTAGCTGGACTAGCGCCTTCGTCCACCTCCTTTTCGAGCGTTGCCAGCGACGGTCAAGTGTGCCGTGGAAGGACCGGAAGCTGCCGCACTATTGTTGAAATTGCTATTGTTGGCTCTTGCAGCGACATCGAGTTTGGCGGCATCCTTGCTGGATATTCCGCCTTGTGCCCCTTTGTGTTGCTGCTTGTTGCGTCTTCTACTTCTTTGTCGTTCATGTTTGGGAATCCACCGTTCGGGATCAGGGCGGGTGGGTTTGAGGGGATTGTAGAGTCCCTTTTGAGTCAACTTGTCTAGGTATTCTTGTCGTTTCTTGGCACGACGACGCACCACGGCCGCCTGTGACTTTGTTTGATTTTTGTTTGCGGCGGCTGCATCCGTGCCAGCCGTCGCCGATGAAGTGAGACCAGCAGCAGCAGCATCATGTTTGATGCGTGGCAATGCTCTTTGTTCCAGTTCTTGTCCATCCAAGTCTTCTTCTTCTTCGTCATCATCGTCTTCTTCTTGGTCCATTTCGGTTTGCTCCATGGTCTTCCATTCTTGCAAGGCTCGTGCTGGGTCAACGTGCGCCAGTGCTTCTACCATTCGTGCCCGTATAGCGAGATTGTTTGGTTCCGCCGTCAGTATTAGCTGATAGAACTGTACGGCTTCCTCGTAGTTTCCTTGTGCCATTGCCATTTCCGCCATGATTTGATTTCCGTTGGCATTGCTGTCGGCATCATCATTGAGTTTCATGAGTAGATCCTTGGCCCGTTCCGTTTGGTTTTGATCTTGATACGTCTTGGCCAGCGTTGCAATCATGGCAGGATGAGTGACGGCGTCTTGCGATTGCACCTGTTGCAGCAACCATTGTTGTTGCGCTGTTGCGGCTTGAGACTTATTATTATTACTGTTCAGTTGCATCAAGTGGAGTTGCAAGTACACGAGGGTGCTGTCATCATCCTTGGTGTTTTCCTGCTTGAGAGTATCGCATCGCCGTTGCAGCTTGTCGATGGCATCCTGGAATTGTTTGTCGACGTTGGCATTGTCACTAGCGGGGTCGTCGTTGCTGTCGTCGTCGTCGTCGTCATCATCATCTCCACTTTCTTCCGACTGCAGCATCTGCTGTTGTATCTGTTGCTGTTGATAGTACAACGAGTACGCCATGAGAACTTGAACTCGCACCTGCCACCAGATGGTGTCGTTGGTGTTGCTATCATTCGACTCAGCGTTGTTGTTGTTATTCTTTTTCTTTTTTTTCTTGTTGACAGCGATGTCCGTGTGCAGTGTCGTTTGTGCAAATGATTGCAGCGTGTCTCTGCACTGTTGGTACTGCTTTGCTTGTAGTTGTGTGAGTGCAAGGTTGTAGTAACAAATCTTTAGTTGCAGTGGTGATAGTTTTGGTTTTGTTGTTGAAGTATCATCGGGTAACAGAGACTGTAGTGCTTGAATGAGTTTTTGAAGTGTCTTTTTGTTCAAAGCCGGCAACTGAATGAGATTTGGTTGAATTACGTCCTGGATCAATGTCATGATTTTTTCCGAGGGAGTGTTTGTTTTGTTTTTATTTTTGTTTGTTTTGGTGTTGACGTTACTGTTACTGTTACTGTTTGCAGCAGTGCTGGTAGGTTCTCCCCAGAGTATGTTTCCCCAGGTAAGGTTGATGAGTATGGGTTTGATTTCTCGAGGGTCATCGGTGCACGTTTTGTGTGCTTGTTTCATGAGAGTAATGGCTTTGTGTCTTTTGGCGTGTGTGTTTGCTGTGAGCAGAGCATGTGTGGCCAAATTGTAGGCTAGATCGTAAGGGTATTCCATATTGGTGTCCTGTTGTTGATTGAGGAGTGTCTGAGTGGCCTGTTCAGTAACCTGTTGGTGTTTGTCATCTGTTAGGTAAGGAGTAGCATTGGCAGTGATGACGGCCATGGCGTTTGTGTACAGTTCCATCTGATTATCATCATTGTCTTGATTATCTTGATCAGTGCAAGACTTAGTGGAAGTCTGAAGCAATGTCTGATAGGCTTGCATGGCTCTTGTGTTTTGATGGAGATGATGAAATGCTTGTGCTTTGATATGTTGAGCAGCCGTGGAAGATTGAGGACATTCTTGTGCCAATTGTAGTGCTTTCTCGTAGTGTTCGAGTCGGTAGTAGGCGTAGGCTTGAAGGACGGTGAGCCTGTCATTCTTGCTGCCAGTACTAGTATTAGTATTAATAGTATTAATATGCTGTTTGAGCAGTTGCTGGAATTTGGATTCATGAAGAAGACACTTGAAGTAGATTTCCTGGACTATTAATACCAGATCCAAGTTACCATCAGTAGTAGCAGTAGTAGTAGCAGTATCAGCAGTACTTGTAGTATCAGTGCTGTCCATGTCTTGCAAGAGCGCTTCACACAATGGAATGGCCCGAGCATAGTCTTCCTCCTCATCCACCACCGTCAACAGCTCGTCCAGACGTTCCAACAATGACAACGACGCTGACATGATTATAGTACTAGTAGTACTCAAGAATGAGGATGATCAAGATGACAATGATGGCCAGGATACAATCTACGGATCTATACCGGTATCTGTGCGGCAGATCTATGAGCACCTCGTTCGTTACTGCCGTTGCTTTTTTCTATATTGTTGTGTGCGGTGCTGTGAAGCGTTGGAATGGACAAACGGACAGACCAAACTGACGTCGACCAAAACCATTCTATTCTTGCGGGATCGAACTATAGAGCCGGCGAAGTTGCCGTTTTGGATCCAAAAGAACACGCGTGAAGCGACGGTATTTTAAAGTAGTAGTCAGATGAATGAGGCAACAAACGGCGACTATTACACAGCAATCAGCAATCATCACAATTAAAATTCTGTAATTCTTCGTCGACTTGACTTGCTGGAAGGATAGTAGGTCAACAACGCAAGATAACGACAAACACGCAGCAGTGAGCAGATCGGTCTGATCAGGTTCTCTAGACTATCGTACCGTACCGTCCATCATCTATCTATTAGCAATCCATCCAGTAGTCTAGGTACGGTAAGTTCTGAACGAACGAACGAATGAATGAATGAATTGTTCTTTTTCTTTTCCTCTCCCCTCATTGCGTGTCATGTTGGTTGTTGGATCTGTTTACTCTGTCCTTCAGTTACTACACTGTACCAGTACTATTATAATATAGTTGACTTGACCATGGCGGCGTTCAATCGATTGACGGAAGCTACCTATGAGGTTCACGAATCCGTCAAGGTGGATACACAGGGTACGTACTGCTAGCTAGTAGTAGTAGTAGCTACCGATACCTAATCCTTGATCTAACCTGGTTCCTCTGTTTCTATGCGATTCATTCGATTCAGACAATGAAGATCACACTTTCTGGTAAGACTAACGAAGCAAGGAGTTGCTTTACGACAGATTGAACTCAATCATATCGCTCACCACTCACCACTCACTACTTTCACTTACTTGGTCTTCGAATATAGTGGAATCATGTTCCCCATCAAATGCAAGGATCTATTGCCTGTCGATCACATCTCCATTCGATCTGTCGCGGTCAGAGGAGAATTGGGGCCGCTGACTGTATGGGTATCCAAGGAAAAGAAACAGAACAATAATAACAATAACAACAACGCAGCGACGCATGTCTTTCGACTCAAAAAGTCACACTGGCACAAGGTATACGAAGCGGTTCATCCACCTTCCCCACACGAATACAAACAGCTCCTTCTTAACGAACCCATCATTCTCAAACCGGGACAAGTCAGAGCCTTGTACATTCACTCCACGCTGCCAAACGATAGAGCCATTGTATACGATAATGCGGCCTTTTACATGCCAAGAAGATTGATACACTTTGGACATGGACATCACCAAAATAATAATAACAACCAAAACAACAACAACAACAACAACAACCAAGATGAACGAAAACCAAGATACGAAGATCCCATGATTGCCATTTACTCGGGACGGGCACACGTTTCCACGGCCATCTTTGGACAGGAACCCATCTGGTACGTACACATACATACATACATACATATATACAAACATATATATATATATATGTCATCAAACCATGCTCACAGACATACCGTACCGCACATTGATATATATTAGGGGATGGGGCAATGCTTGGAGAGATCATCGAGAATTTGTCGGACAACTGCACTACGGAGCCGTTTATCAACTCTGGAATCCAGATAGAAATGTACTCACCAAATTTGGACCCAAATTCAACGAAGCACTCTTCAACCTCAAACTATGCCAAACACGATGGGAATCACCCATATCCAGATTGCCCGATGAATGCATCTACTACATTCTTAACATGTGCCGCTGGGATTGGTTCCAAGATACACCTAACATTATGCACCAAAAAAGAAGCCAACAAAGAGCCAAACTCAAAAGAGAAGAAATGGAACGAAAACGACAAAAACAAGCTGACATTGAAGCGGCGGCAAGACTACAAGACGCAACCAAACAGGAAGCAACAACAAATAATAATAAAACCGATAGTGGGCCCAGTAATGATCAAGACAATGTTGCTGATGCTGCTACCGCGGCACCTCCGTCGAGCAGCGTCTGTTGTTGCAAAAGCAATAGTGGCGACGATACCGATGACAACAATAACGACGACGACGACGACAGTGAAGACAGTGACTACGCCGACGCTGTGGAACGAGAACCCGATGAAGTCTTTGATGATGCCATGGAGGAAGAAGGTGCCCAACAAGAACGAGCAGAACAAGAGCACGATGACGACGATGACGATGACGATGACGTGCATTCTACTCAACTAGTGGGTGGTGCAGACGAAGACGACGCCAGTCTCGAGGAAGCAGCAGTAGCAGCCGTCCAGTACGTACATCTACAAGAGATTGCTGACGACGAAGAAGAAAATGACGATGAAGCCATTGAAAACGAGGATGGCGACTGGGAAACCACCGACGACGAGGACGCTCAAGATGGCGACGACGACGACGACGACGACGATGATGATGATTCCGATGCTTGGGAACGAGCCAATGGGTACCGAGCTGATCACAATGTCTTTCGATTCGTCGACCACGATTTGTTGGAACCCGAAGAGGAAGGCGAAAACAACAATGGACAAGAAGACGAAGAGGCCGCGCTACGCCAAGCTTGGATTCGACGACAATTTGATCGCATCAACGTGCTCCGTGCTTTGGCACGGGCACAGGATGACGAAGACATGGAAGCGGACGACAACGACATGGACATCGTGTTTTGAACAATACACGAAAAGAGAGTTCTGGCGGGGTACCAACAAGAGTGATCTCATCAAATGATTGGTCCAACTACTTGCGATCAGGATCATCTGATGTTGGGATTCATCTTTCGTTAGGTACTAGTACTGGTTTATTGCCCATACCTACGGTACCCGGTACAAGTAGTGACTGAATGATTGCATATAAGATCAATTTTCTGCACACGTCCAACTTTCGTCATTCGTTTTCTGTGATGCATGTGTGGGAAGGCTAGCTTGCTAACTAGTTAGTTTGACGGTAAAGCTTGAAACCAGGACGTTTTAAAAAAAGTCAAGTCCAACTAAACAAGCGCAGCAACAGGCGTTTTGGTTCGCCTATGGTTCCACACTGACAAAACATGTGCAGGTCCAAGTATCACGTCACTCCTGGCCAGCAGCAGCCCCATATCAGTCCAACAGGACGACTCGACTCATCCCTAGCGGTGCAGAGACTAGTGTCCGTTATTGTTGATTCAGCGTTGAATCTGCGGCTCCCTTCAACGTTCCCGAGTCCTTCCAGCATCGGCCATTTTGTTTCAGATGAACATGCAAGCAAATACTTTGATTACGTATCGTCTTCAGCTGCTTGTTCTCTTAAAGTAAGTAGTGCTTGGTAGCGAGTACCGATTGCGAAGCAAGCACAGTACGGGTAGTATGGGTGATTTCGATGAGGCCTTCTTTAGAAGTCTTGTCTCGGCTGTACTGTACTCTGTCAGTCCCCATACATAAAGGCAGTGAACTGCCGTCGTCTGAATATCCCACACGTTTCTCGCGAGGCCTACATGAACAATAATTCGCACCTAGTAGGAGTCAGGTAACAAAACTCTATTATGCAGTTCTAACTTTTGCAAAGCAGAACAGAGAGCGCTCGTGCGCCCACTCGTTCTGCAAAAGTAAATGTATACTTTCAATGTCATGTAAAAAGATGTTTACTCATCGTCTCCCAACCCCAAATCGTCGATTGTGTGACTGAGAACAGTAATCTCGGAGACGATCGACTCATTGGAAGAGAAGTTCTTGTTTCCACCCTTCCCAGTGGTGCTTACATCGTCCCTATCGTCACCATTTGCCGACAGAACACTCATGCCACTGAGACTGGTGAATGAAGATCGAAAACCACCTGCTTGTTGCCGGTTCACTCGCTGTATACGTGGGGGTGCGCGCCCTGGTGTCCCCACAGCAGGAGGATCCGGACGGGGATCCTCATTGCGGCTTTCAGAGACGCTTCCCATGGTGCTTCTTGAAGGCGAAGCCCGGAGATGACCATACCGCCAGTCACCAAAGCTTCGCACCGACATTAGATCGTCGTTGCCACCCTGGTGCTCGTTGCAATGGTCATCGCCTTCGTTATCGGAGTATATTTGGTCTGTGATGGTGATGTTATTGGTGGACACATAAGCATCCAGCGTCCGACGATATTCGGCAAGAGTCATTTCACCATCTGGGTCCGATGTTCTTTCCCGATCGTTAGAAGGCGCAACCGCAACCGCTTCTCGATGCACATCTTGCGGTATGGTGGGAAGCACTGCTCTTGTAATCTCTGAAGGTATGACATCGCGTGGAATGTCAGGAGATACTTGCGCCGGAGCCAGCTTGGATCCGAGGTTGTCGTCGGGACTTGGGCTGTTCGTGTTCCCGGCGGCTACTGCAGCAGCAGTTGGAGGGTCGGAACCTCTGGACCCTCGTGGGGGAGGTTGATAGGTCGGAGGTATAGGTATATCTTCTTGTGGGGTGTTATCGTTGTCACCGTTTCGTTCTTCCGAGTCCAGTGGAAGAGGGTCAATGTGTTCCCCTCTGGCTGAGTTAGGCAGAAACCCTGGAGCTTCGACACCGCGACCGTTGGAATGCTGTGACTGCGCATGTGAATCATAGGCCATTCCTCGACCCATGGAGCTAGGATTCATGCCGTGTTGAATTTGCATCTCACGCTCCATCTGCAATTGGGCGTCCAATTGCTGCCTCAATCGATTCTGCTCCATCTGCATCTGCTGCAGCTTGAGTTGCTGTTGCTGTACCGAGTACATGGAACATTGCATAGGCCCCATCATGGGGTGTGCATGTTGGGAGAACTGTTGTGCTTGAAGAGGATCCATGAAAGGGACGCCATTATGAAAGGCAGCCGCATCTGCGGGCGACATTGGGGGCATGACACCTGGCATTCCAAATGGAGTTCCATTGTTCCCGAAAGCCGCTGATCCGAAGCCCATTCCAGCAGCCCCTGCGGGTCCCATCCCCATTCCCATGCCTTGCATTTGCATCATCGCCGTAGCATTTGGAGAGAAGGACGACATGTTCATGGCCATTCCATGGTGAGTTTGTGTCCCCATTTGACCCATGGATGCTTGCATGGCGGCCGGAAGACTGCCTCTTCGGTTCATGAATGAGGAGGGATGTTGAGGAGTGCACTCATTCGGCATGCTATTGCGACGCATCATGGTCTTATCCATCATCATCGGCGATGGATACATCATCGACATACCGTCCGGTGCCATGTTCATTGCCATGGGGTTGATGCACATGTCCATGGTCCTGGCAGTATGAGGAGGAGTGAGTCCCCCAGGCATGAATGCCGGACCGGGCCCGGTAGTTTGCCTCCTGCCATCTTGGTCGGGACCTGCCTTGTCAATGTCATCTGAAGACTCTGTTCCCTGCTTTTGTTTCTTTGCCTTGCTATCCAGGCGTGCTACCTTTTTGGATTGTCTTCCGGGAGTTTTGGACCTTGCGCGTACCTTTGAGTTAGCTTCGTCGCCTTTATCAGTGGGCGAGTTTGACCTGGATCGAGGATTAGTCAGTGTTTGCTCGTTTGTATTCGAACTACTTTTGTTACTATGGGGTCTGGGGCTCTTGCTCTTTGTTCTAGACTGTGCAGTATCGTTACTGCTGTCCCTTGAACCTGAAGCAACCCGTCTTTTCCCTTCTGTCACTTGTTGCTGTGCCTGTTCCTTCATTTGCCGAATCAGAGGCAGAACATCTGGTGTTCGTTCTCGAAGACACTGAGATGCCTTTTCCCGTGCTTTCTGGTTTCCCACTTCTACCCACACCTGTCTTGGCTTAGGAGGCTGTTGTTGTTGCCCCCCATCAGAGCCGTTAGATCCCTCCTGCTGTCTCTTGGCGTTTGGGTCTTCTTGCTTTGCTAGAAAGCGACCAGGAGGGTTCAGCTTCCTCCAAATAGCGACAACTTCTCGAGCCACATTCGGCTTCTCGACCTTACTAACCGTCAAATACTTCATCTTGTGCTCATTCACAAGCTTGCGAAACTTGACATTTCCACAGTAGTTATTGGTGCCTCCACCTATCCCAACATCAGAGGAGATAACGAGGTTAATACACAACAAATCGCAATGACAACGGTCGGACGAAAACTAGCTTCCTTACCTCGACCCAGCAAAACGTCATGGGGACCTAACTCATGCACAACCATACCCTCCACGGGATGCTGGACGTGGATGGTACGCTGTGGACCTGGAGTCTGCATTGCCATTGGGACCGAGCTGTGGTGAGACATACCGCTTGACGGAGGCATCTCCATACCCATCATCATTTGATGGTTCATGGTGGTTCAGGCTCTACTAATTGCTAGCCAGCTCTAGAGGATTTCTACCGGCCGACCACCGCAGAACGCAAACTGGGAAATGTGGCGAAAGATGAGCATCCGAAGCGCTTTTGCGAAGCGCGATCAACTGGAAAATGCCTCCAGCGCGCACCAGTACCATTGCCACTGTATATTATTTAGGGAATTGAGCACGATTCAGGGTCACCAAGTAGGAATGCAATATTGCAGTGACCGAGCTAAAGCGTAACCTCGATAATAAGATTATAAATTAATGGTCGAATCAAACTGGCTGGCCAATGCCAGGCAGCCTCCGAAAGACCACCAGTACTAGCTAGTAGCTACCGGGAGCTAGAGTCAGGGCGGTTATATTATGCATAACTTTACCTTATTTCTAGAGACCAAACACATCTGAGCAACTTTTCCCTTTTTTCAGAGCTACCAAGCTGGTACCAGGTAGCTATAATCTACTTCGAAGACTTGGTCGCCCTGCAATCATGACATGGGGAAACTATGGGGCAACTGCACACTGCACTCTCCCCCTTCCATGTTTGAGAGGACAACAAGTGAGAGTAATTCAATCGTTTTCATCCTGTAAGCGTCCAAGGGGAAGGAAGAAAAGTGCAACTTTTGGAGTTTCCTCTTTTGGTCAATCCTAGAAATTTTGGGTAAATCGCAAACCGAATTCTTACTAGTAGTGTGGAATATCTTATATCCAAGTGTAGAATGTAGCAGCTCAGCTGCTCAGCTTGTCACCAGTACTTTCGAGGCTTAAATATTCGTTTGTGTACCGCGCAGAAGACGGTCATCATTTCCCGAACAACTGTAATTCGTGAAACAAAACAACCAGTTCTATACCCTTTTCTGTACTTGATTGCAAGGAAAAATAACCATGCGATCGAAGTTATTTAACGCTTAATGTTCAGGCATCTCACATTTTTCAGGGCGAATGGAAGGCTATCCATGTTTTACTTTTGCCCTCCAGCAAACTGAAGTTGCGGGAAAAACGTTTTTGAACTTGTTTGTCAGGTTTCAATTCTTTTCTTTTGGAAGCAAATTCAAATTGGAAGAATGACTGAATGTGGATCCGGAAGGATGACAACAATCGGATCTGGATGTACCAACAGCTTACTTTTTTGGGAGAGTGATGGATCAGGAATATGGAAGATTACCATTTTTGGTACAATGATAGCATGACTCAAAGTGTAAGCTTAACTCAAACTAGCAGTTTTGATCTGCTCAAAAAGCCCATTCCCCGCAACTCCACACACATCCCAGAGTAACTTGAACATGAAAGTACCGGTACTCCGTATTGAATATCGCGCATAGAGGTGCTAGCGGTCCTGAAACCCTCTTTCTTACACTCCGCCTGCGAGGGGGGGTACCCGTAAAAGTGATTAGTTGAAGGGGCTCCAGAGGGGAGAAGGAGGAGGGTTAAGCTAGTCTGGACACACTTGTTTCTTTGAGTTGCGGGTAACCCGTAAAAGTGATTAGTTGAAGGGGCTCCAGAGGGGAGAAGGAGGAGTAAGCTAGTCTGGACAAAGGCATCTAGTTGCACATGTTTTGAGTTGCGGTACCCGTAAAAGTGATTACAGTTGAAGGGAGACACACAGTAGGGGAGAGGGAGGAGGTTTAAGCTAGTCTGGACAAAGGCATCTATTTTCACATGTTTTTAGTTGCTGGTACCGTAAAAGTGATTAGTGAAGGGGCTCCAGAGGGAGAAGAAGGAGAGGTGTTAAGCTAGTCTGGACCAAAGCATCAAGTTGCACATGTTTTGAGTTGCTGGTACCCGTAAAAGATGATTAGTTTGAAGTGGCTCCAGAGGGAGAAGGAGTAGGGTTAAGCTAGTCTGGACAAAGGCATCTGGTTGCACATGTTCTTTGAGTTGTGGTACACCGTAAAAGTGATTAGTGAAGGGAGCTCCAGAGGGGAGAAGGAGGAGGTTAAGCTAGTCTGGACAAAAGCATCTATTTGCACATGTTTTTGAGTTGTGGTACCCGTAAAAGTGATTTAGTTGAAGGGGCTCCAGAGGGGAGGAAAGGAGGAGGGTTAACTAGTCTGGACAAAGGCATCTAGTTGCACATGTTTTGAGTTCGCGGTACCCATAAAAGTGATTAGTTGAAGGGCTCCAGAGGGTTATGTACAAGTACGGTACATGCAGGTACAGTTCGTACCCATTCGAAGTATCTTAAAACAAGGGTGGAAAGCAAAAATCC